CAACCCAGCGTGATTGTTTCCCTTGCAATAATATTCCATTGACCCCCGTGACCCAGACCTGCCGAGACAGCCGAGAAATTTATATATTGTTCTTTCTCCCAGGCCATCTCGCAAATTAAGTTTGTGCTCGCTGCGAATCACCCTGATTGCTGTTGGCGGACGCTAAATGATGTGGCTGCGTAAGGATTATCTCGGGGTCTCGGTCCGGCCCACTGTAAAATTGCAATCCCGGAAAACTATGGGCGCTGCGTCCGTGAGCCGCACAACAATGGCGAGAGAGCCTCTCTCCTGCAGAGGCATTGAATAGTGGCGGGCAGAGCTGAGATCAGGGGCCACAGGAGGCTTTCTCACACTAAACAGCTGGTAGCTCACTCCTAATGGCTGCCTTTGTGCATCACTATTGGGAGCCGCGGCTGTGATACAGAACCTACCGGGCAGTAGGAGCGGGCCACACTCGCTGTGTTGTGAATCATAATTAATACATAGCTGGACCTCCCCGTGTTGTGTCTCATAATTAATATATAGATAGCTGGGCCACCCTATGTTCTGTATCATTAGTAATTGAAAGCTAGGCCACCCTCAGATTGAGTCACTGTTTGTACAGAAATTTAACATAAACATCATGGCTACATACTAGACTACACAAAGACAGGTACCAAGCTACCATTCTCCATGGCCCTGCTTTCTGACCCCATAACCAATACAGATTTCATACCAAAAGCATCAGCACTGAGAAGATCTGATGAATTATAGGCATCTCTACTCTTAAGTCCAAGTGTAAAGCAGCATGAAGCTTTCAGTCAGTCTTCCATTAGATATAGCTGGGAGTTACAGGTTCTCTTTTCAAAACCACATCTATTTGAGTATTTCTACATCTATACTGTCTGCTCTTTCCACTAGAAAAGTCATGAGCTGCCAGCACAGTCAGAAGTGCTTCCTTCTCAGTTTCACGGTTGTCACTGCTCGCTGTTGAACTGTTCCAGGCAAGTGCCTGTTGAAGGGCGAGACCCAGTGTGGCTGGCCAGCCTGTCACAACAGGGGAAAGGGAATGTTTGGACAGCAGTTCTCACTACAAACAGAGCCCTCACACTGGCAGGCAGCAGCACACACATACTCCGGCAAACACCATATACAGCACGTCTAGGCCTGCCGCATCCTGGTCCACTTGTGTGGCAACAGTACGTGTGTAGCACAAAATCCCTACCTCGGTAAACAAACCTAAAGCTATGCTCAAAAGAAGCCTGCATTTCAAGTGGTAAAAACATTCCCTATCACCAAACAAAAGCTGCAGAAGCACAATTATCCTGTTTGAAGTGTTTAGTTTCTTCTATGGATCATCAGCGATAAATATTCTTTTCATTACAACCAACTGCAAGAGATAAACAAGATGCCTGTTTCGTGCATTCCGAAAACAAACTGCATGCTGGCTCCTGACTTGGCCAAAGCTTACCAACACTAAACTGCACAATGAAATGCTGATAGCATCAAACCTTTCTGACTGATTTTTTGTCCTCTTGTTTTCCCCTCAAACACTGTTATCAAACACTCGGCTTAGTAAGCAAGTAGAAATTCTTTATGAGGAAAACTAAAATTAATTAATCATTGGGAATTGGCTGGAGTTGATATGGCCTGATTTCATCGCCTAACTGGTAATGTTTTGTGGCAACGCTGTTTGTCACTGCCAAATTCATCTACAGACTGATCCAAGGCCAGAAGTGCAGCACTCTGCCACACAAAGTAATCAGTAAACTGAAGCGGATCCGGTTCCAGTGGGGCTCCGCTCAGTAGCGGGGGAACGCCCGTCTTGAACAGTCTCTACCAGACCAACAATGTTGGCTATGCATAGAAGAATATTTCTTATTTGTAAGGGGAGCTTTGCCGCCTTGGGTTTGACTAGCCGCACAACTTCAGAAATTAACCCTCTCACAGACTGACTCTCCTGGCCAACTGTTTCCCTTTTTTTACCGAATTCTAGGATCCGTACCTCCATAGGAAGGGCTGGTGGAGGCTAGGAACCGTCAGTGCGGCCTGTACAATCAAACCCACACAAACACACAGGAGGTGTGAGACACATGGTGCCACCGTGCACACAACATAGCCAGGGTGGTCTCTCCAACCTTTAGACAGGTGTGCGGCACATACTAAATACAGACCTGCGTTTATTTTCAATCCGTCAAACTAACCTGAGAAAACATTTTCACAAATGTCTCCATGTTTTCCCCACAGGGAGCTTGGAACATTCTTACTTACACTACAAACTGCATTTTAAATGACGAGATCTATATCTTTTTGAAATATGCAGGTGTCTACTTGATCAGAGGCAGCACACTCAAAGAAGGAGCATTTTCCCAAGGTCCCAAATCAGAGCACTCATGCCATTTACATGACACAGATGTACGTCATAGCACTACTACAAGGGACATTGCAAACCAGAGAGCTCTTAGACAAACCTTGTTGAACTTTCTAAAGCAGGGCTCTCAAATCCTCTCTAAATTTTTCAATCCACTCACTGCCTTGTAGTCACTAAAAGTGAAGAATTTCTTGTCTGAATACCCTGAGTTATGGTTCAATAAAAGTATTCAGACTCCAAAACATGTACATGTATTTCTTTTACATGATATGTGCTGCAAATTGGTAGTTTTTTCTATAAAAAGAAACAGCCAGACATTTAGGAGGTGGCATATTCTACTGAGTAATCCCTTGCTGTGGTTTGTAGTGAGGCTTGAAGGCCTCCTGCAAAGCATGATGGATGGCGGTGAGTGCATGACCTTTCGCCAAAGTTCCATACTCAGGTGGGGCTTGAAATACCACGTCTACACAAACATGTAACCTAACATGTTCTGTACCAGCAAATTCACTCAAGTATCTATGCTGGTAAAGAGCAGAGGGCTAGTGGAAGAGAAGCAGAGAAAATGCACCAGACTTGAAAAATGAGAGACTGTTTCTTTAATTGTTACGCCAGCTACACAGAAGTACAGAATGTCGAATGACGGAACCCCGGGATAAAGGTTCGACATATTGCACAGCGGGGGTAACACTTGATGGAAGAGTGCGATTAAAACTCCACGCTAAACAGGGTGCAGATCTCCTGTGGATGCGACAACGCGCCCGGGGGTGTTCCGTAGGTACGGTTATGGATGATACGATAAGTCCATATCTCGCCCAATCAATCAACGGAATTACTTTCCGTCCCCCTGACTAATGTGGTTGTCATCGTTTCCGCGAAAGGGCAAGCGAGGGTAAATTCTGCCTGAAGGAAGGCGGCACGTTTTATCCCATTTTCCTCACAAATTTGCCTAATAACATCTAAATAAATAATTTACTAAAATCTGCAGAAATATACAGCAATTATTAAAAAACACAAAGCAAACTAATAAAAAAATTTCATCTGATTTTATAATTTACTACAAGGAAGTAACATTGACTGGTTTTATAACATCACAAGCACCCAGACTGCACCAGCATTTTTGTAGACGTAGCAAAATGTAAAGCAGCAGCCATTGCTGTGTTCACCAACGTATCCCAAATTCGATTAATTCTCCCAATCGAAGGTGTTTGTCCGGTACAGCCGGCCAGCACTAATCCCACATCCATTAGGAATCCCGCCCGAATTTTATAATCATAATCCCACAACTCCCAGCCTAGCTTTCTGTGCCATCAATGACGGGTCTGTAAAGTATGTGGCTACCACGAGACACAGCAGTTAATACAGCTCCGCTTTTTACACTGCCGCGCCAATACCCCACGGTTCCCTGCGGCTAGAATTCATTTCTGTCGATCACATGCCATTTGCTTCCCAAAATGAAAAGTGTTTCGATATTTACGAGCCATTTAGATGTACCAGGAATTTCATTTACAACCGACCAATCCAGGAAGATTTCCCTAAAGGCATCGGGCAGAGTGCTTATGCTCAGACTGATGCACTGAAACAATTTTCAATATAAAAAATATCCATATTTGAACCGGCTTCCTTTTAGGCCCAAACACTGGCAGTCTTGGATCATAAAGTCTGGTAACGTAGACATCCAAGCAATCTGAACACAGTTTGTCCTGATGTCCCCTATGCTAAAAGGATGTTAATTCTCTGTAATGCTCTGGTGTGCAGCGCTTCTCCCAGCCAGGATTGGTACTTTGCATCTTTATGAGTCATCAGCTGCCAGGTCTAAATTTTTCATTGATTGGACTGCAAATGCCCCAACTGATTATGACCATTTATCAGTCCCTCCTGTCACTCAGAATTCTGCAAGGCTGGAAAACAACACTAAAAATCGCACAAAATTTTGGAGTGTGTTCAACACTTTTCTTTCTCTAACTCACACACCCATCATATAAATTTCAAGGTTTGCCAAAAGTTGTGCTCCAATCAAAGAATAAATTCAAATTTGTTTTATTCATTTTCAAACACAGCCATAATTTGATCCCGTTTGACGCCAATGCTTGGATAGTAAAATATATCTTGTGCTGTCTTGTATTTTTAGTTCCTGGCGCATAAGTTATTTGTGCAACTCGTACTCTGACTCCACTCCTATGAAAAACTTTCACGATGAAAAAAAGCTGGCAGTCTTTGGTTTCAGCCAAGTGAGTATTAATATCAGACTTTCCAAAGTCTGATTACTAAAAGCTTTTGATTCCTATTTGTTCCAGACAGCGACAGAAAACTGACCAAGAAGCGCTACAGCTGATGTCTACGTATGGACAAAACTGGTATGTTTACACGCAGTACATTTCACACAAACTCCGCCAACAAACGCCCCCAAAAGCCCCTGCCAGTACGCAAACAAAACCCACGCGGGAAGAGATCTGGAGTTATGCATGGATGAATTTTTTTTTTTCTGGAGATGGAAACTAGACGCTTTCCTTCGCCGTGACCGTGAAGAGGCCAGCGGACGGCGCCGGTGCCTCCGGCCGAGCAGCCGGCCCCCTGCCGCCCGCTCCTGACCACTTTCATCAGAGCACCGCTCACGAGCACACAACTCCGCAGGTAGCGAGCTCAAACTTACCTTGGGGTAGGTGTGCAGCGGGTAGGTCATCTCACACGACTTGATACACGGCGTCACATCTCCTAAGAGCTGGTCGAAGGACTCGGACGCCGTTGACAGCGAGAAAAACGACGCCAGCGTCAGCATCAACACTTTCGGCGTAGCCATTTTTGCCTTCCTGAAGCTCTCCGACTTCTCAACTCCCGCGAGACTTGCAGATATATCACGTGATGGTGAGAGGAAACGTGATCTTCATACTGGAGGAAGGCTATTCCATTTGGAAACTTTGAAGGGGGTGAAGCTTGCAAGTATTAAAACAGATAAAGTTGGTTGAAATCAAAATGCAAAGCAATATATTAAACGTCAAACGGTTTTGATTCTGTCGTGAAAAGATATCAAACGTCTTAGTAATAGATTGTTTGTGTGCATGCAGAAAATTTTGATGTTGAAGTTTTTGCATCTCGCATTGATGCATGGAAATGAAAGTCCACTCTAGATCTCAAATTTGCCAACAAATGATGTTACATTGTACATTAGAATGCTCTTCTTGCCATCTACTCCAAAAATAGTGTATTTATTACATACCTAAATGAAAATTGCAATATCTGGCAAACATTCTCCCTATTTGGCCAATTTCTATTGCTTTTTTCAGCCCCTCTGGAGTTTTTCATCTGGACATATTAGAAATCATATTTGGATTCATTTCACAGGTACCGTTTCAGCAAAGTGCATTCCTGACATTTTTGGGTTGGACAGAATTTACATATTCTCCCCATAGAATCATCAAAAATAGATTAATCAAAAGAAAAATGCCCCCATGGAGGATATAAGGCAAGCTAGCCTGAAATCAAATTTTAGGTCATTCAGGCTTGAAATGAAGGACTGAACATGTGATTGACACTCACTGGATGGGCATTTGTTCCCAACTAGTAGTAGGATAAAAAGACAAAGACAGAATACCAACCAAATACAACATTGAACAGATTGTTAGGGAAGTTTAATTTCATATTTGGACTTGGAGTTGTTTCTTTATGTAATGTTTAATAAAAATGGCCATAAGGCCACACTGATTTAATTTTATGGATGACATCCGCACAGGCATTGATTTTCGCCTGTTCTCCAAGGCTTTTGCCTGGCAGCCATCCTCTGTAGTCCACGGAAGCCAGCGACGGTAGGGAGCCAGCAGTAACTCTGGAGGATGGCACCCAGGCTGCCCAAGCTCTACAGAACTCAAGCACTCAGTACTGGGCCGATTCATAAATTCTGCAAAAGGCCAGCATGTGCCAGCTTGTCAGTAAAAGTCGCTATGTACTACGACAAATTTGACTACCAGCTTTGTATTCCTGTGGTTTTAATAGCAGCATTTTAATTTTTTTCAATTATTCGCCCACGCACACTAGTTTGGGGGTCTTCAGAGGATGTCATCCATAAAATTAAGTCAGTGCCTAAGTTGTATTACTAAACCTTTAGTAAACATGACAGCAAGCTATATCAGAGCTGATCAGGACTGGTATTCAAACAGGCCTCGGGTTCTGTCAATGGTATCATTAAAGGATGCCCTTGCTTTTCATACAGGGTTCGAGTTCCACATAACGATATTACACAAGATGATTGCTTTAGCATACTGACTGCAGGATTTTGCTCAAGAGCGCCCGATAAGCAATATTGCTTTTGCCTGATCCTCAGAAAAAATATGGATAAAAGAGTAGCCAATTTTCCCACTCAGGCCACACCAATTTAATTTGTTGGTTCCTGAAATCGGTCGCTTAGTTTTTTTCTGCTTTGCAAAAAAACTATCATCATCATCTATCAATGTATTGGTTTGACAAAAAGTTTAAAATCCACTGTTAGAATTATATAAAACGGCCTGTTATGTTGACTTCATGGCTCCTATCATAGCTTTTGGGGCTGACATAGAATGCCTAGGCCTAATTAGAATTTTTTTTGCCGTCAGTTCATATTTTTTCTGAAAAAAAAAAAGAACCAACAAATCAAATTGGTGTGGCCTCATGTAAAATTCCTTTTTCGTACTGTTATCCATCCATCCATTCATGAATCTGCCAATCCATCCATCCTTCATCTCTCCCTTCATCCAGTTTGCCCATCCATCAATCTGTCACTTCATCATTCAACCACAAGGTAATAGGTAAAACATGTGCAGCCACTGGTAATTATTACAAGAGCCACAGACCATGTTTCAGGTATTTCTGCATTGCCACCCTGTTTATTTCTCCCAGGACATGTACAGTGTATGTACAAACATGTGCACTAGGTATCACACCAGTGTTTCATGTGCACTAGGTATCAGAACAGTGTTTCTGATATCACAAAACTGGTTCAAAACACTTCAGTCCCATCTTTTCACATATTTAGATTATCCTTATTCAACACTTTGACAAAGATTATACTGTATTAATTAAAAGCATGATTTCTATACAGTCAGTTGTAAAACTAGTCAATTAACACAGATAATGCAATAAATACTAATGCGTTAATGACAAAGTATCTACGGTACAGATTGATAAAATGGTAAAAGAAACAATGCAGGTAGAAAAACGACCCTCTTCAGTATCATTCTTGCACAGACTATTAAAAGCCAAAAATGCTACGCTTTCTTCCAAAACATCTGAATGCTGTTTACACCTGTAACTAGGCTAACATGGACATCGGTTCTATCAAATGGCACACCTGTTTTATATCCTTGGCTAGAAAAATGAAGTGTGAGACCAACATAGATACATGTACTGCCACCTCATAGGACTGTTCTATTTCTTGCTTTTTATCAGTCAACAGTTTTGTTTCAGTGTTGTTCAGTTTTCTGCCTATCTTTTTGGTTTGCAAAACTCCAAGAGCAATGTTTCTTACTTCTGCCTACATTCACCCACCCTACAACACTTCAAAAAATACATTCAACAAGGCAGTTATGTTCTCTTACTCCGAATTCTCCAAACAACTTTCTCGAGATACAGACATTTTTATCTCTGTCAGTTCACTCAGCCATTAGCACTCTCACTCTCAATAGTGCTAATCTTACAGTGCTAATCTGATGCGGAGAGGCTGGGAGAGGTGTTGCAGTGCTATCTGGTAATCTTCCTGTGAGATTGTGCCAATCTTGAGTGACACTTGATGTGTAATAACTGACTTTTCGGAGAGCACACAGCTGCTCTCGGGTCATCCAGGGCACTGATTGGGTAGGTGTGAAGTGATGTTCACAGTATGGTCAGGAATGGCTATCAGTTCAGGGAGGATCTGTCTTTGCTCTGATTCAGTCCAAGATTTGGCTTCACAAAATATGTATTCAGCGAAGGAATATAGAAGCAAATGAGCAAAAAAATACACAGGTCTCATACAGCTAATCTTTTCATAATACATGTACAATGAATCACACAATTTATGGAACGGGAGAGGTTGAAAACATGCACCAGTTTTATCTATTGTACTAGTACTTTCCATATGCTTCCTGTGGTGACCACTGCTCTCAGCACCACCTAGCACTGCATTTGTGAACTGCAGGGCCGCTGACATAAACACTCAGTACAAAACAAAACAACCAAAGAGATTCTAGAATTATTTACAGAACATCGTTGCCAAGGCATGACAGTGAGTGGGAAGTGACAAGGGCTTCTGACATAATCACATTGGTATGTATGTATATACAGTGTATGCTTGGCTTGGATTACAATCTTTTTCTCCAGAAATTGTGCCAAGGCAAATATACAAGTTGCTGGAAATCATGTACCATATTTGCACTGGTTTAGGGCTAGGCTTGGAGGATTGTAGGAGGTATACCTTCTTCCAGTTGGCAATATACATGTATCTGCAACAAGTTATTTCCAGAGAGAGATCCATATATGTATGTGCATCTCTAGTTTCAAACTTCAATCTTTGTGCAACCTTTTTTCAACCAGCCAACCTTCTCAGTTTATACCCCCTACAAGACATCCTGGCCTGCACCACAAGCCTGCAATTTAGCATTTTTACATGAATTATTACATGCCAATTGTGATTGTTTCCAAAAAAGACACAGCATGAACTTTTTTCATGAGTCGGTTTGTGTTTATGAAATTTGTTCTGTATTGCTGAATCGTCAAAAACACAACAAGTGTTGACATGCACATCATGAAAATTAAATATTACAGCATTAGACAAAATGGATGTGTGCTGTTGCACTAAAACATGCAAAATTGCTCCATTCCTTACTTGCGAAATGAGACAACAAAAGGGAAAAATGAGGTAAAACTGCCTAAAAAATGTAGCTATGAAGCAGATGTACAACGTGCAGATATCCACCACCCAGCACCAGCCAACACCACCATGCAACATGCATCGCTAAGGAAACGGTTGCTATGGTAACACATCACCACTGTAAACAAAAACAGCAGAAATACAGCAGGTTAGTTATGAGGCAGTTCAGTACAGTTAGTCAGGCCGGTGCAAAAGAATGATTAAATCAAAAGCCAGGAAAAAGCAGAAAGGTGAGACTAAGCTATGAATGGAGATAAACCATGAGTCAGAGCAGTACTGTTATCTTGAAAGTTCATCTGTGTTGGTAGAAGTCATTATGAAACAAGTTTGAACTGCAATATCCAACACGAAGAAATTGGACTCACCCAAATTTTCAACTGTACAACTCCAATACTAGTCTCTGTCAAGGAATGAGCAATCCACCGCTTCCAGTCTCATTGGATAAAGTAAGAATCTTTGACACAGAATCAGACTTTTTCGCACAAGGGATTTAAGAGGCCATCTACATCAGGGCATTTCAACCATCCCTCAACAGAGACTTACTGCAACCTATGATCCACTGCTCACGGAGTCACGTGCGTTATCTGTGTGATGTCACAGAAGCGGTGGATTGTTTCATTCCTTGACAAAGACTGGAGTTGTACAGTAAAAAATTTGAGTGAGTCCAATTTCTTGTGTTGGATATTACAGTCCAAACTTGTTTCATCATGAGAGCAGTTAATCTGATATCTGATAGCCATGTTGGATCACATTCTTGCACCAGAATGAGAGGAACAGATTTTTTGCCAGAATTTGTAAATTTTGCCATTATTGATTCATGTACAGTCATTACGTAATTTCTGTTGATCTAAAAGAAATACTTGTAACAATTTCAAACACAGTCTTAAACTGCATCCAAACTGGTGTGGCTCTCAATATCTGTAGCGGTTGTTGAACAGTGGTAAGCAATGCTCAGTAAGGTAGATTACATGTACATTTGTACATGTATCTGTGAACATCAGGACTGTAAAGTTTACCTTGCACTAGATTCTTTCCTACACTCTGCCATGTGCTTTTGTTGCATTTGTGTTCTTGTAGGATCTTGTATTTATGCAACGTCTGTGCCTAACAGTTTTTATAGCGATCATACTGCTAAAAGCAGCCCTCTATAAAAATACAATCTATCCATCTAAAAATACATACTTACCACAGCCTTGACCAGTTGCAGGAAAAGACAGTGTCAGAGTCCTTTGTTATTTTGACCATGGATCCATTTTGATGGTACAACGTTTTAGTTAAAGGTATGCCAAACCCACATTGTGTGAGTGTTAGGTACTGCTTTGTCACCTATACGTTTTGTCAAGCTTATGTTTAAATAGTGGTTTATCCTGCTGTGATAGTATTTACATTTAGTAAATATCCAACAATAATTAATAAATCAAATTAAAAATTCATTTGACCTGGTCTCACCTTCTTTTCTAGTCTCAGAAAACTACTTTTTACTGCTTTAAAACTATTTGAAGGTTTCTTTCAAACACTAAAACAAAGACTAAAATGTAGCACTGAAGAGCTCAATTTGAGCCTTTGATGATTTCTTTTTCTGAAGTTATTGTAAATAAGCAGATTTTTCCACGTGCTCTTTGCAAATCTTTCTTTTTGTTCTGCTTGGTTTTTCTTTTTTTTCATACCATTAGTATTTTTTAAATGTGTCTTAACTAAACCATTAAATAAAATGATACTTAAGCCCACAATATGTTTATAATGCTTAACTAGTTGACAATCATAATTGATAAACGGTTAAACCCCATTGGTGCATGTTGCCCGGCTCAGTTGACAAAGTTTACAGACCTCGCGTGACCTGGATGTGTGGTGGAGACCGTGGACCGGCGCGAGGTGGCCTGCCGTTGCCGTGCGAGGAAGGACTGACCCCCCTGCATCGGCCCTCCGTTGGCCAGTCTGCCCTCTACGGCTTTCCTGTGGAGCTGGGCACCCTGGTGGGAACGGACACAAACAACATTGAACCCTGTAATTCACTTTATATTTCAGTTCGTACCATGGTATGGATGAAATATATTGTGTTCTGGAGATGGACTGAAACATGCTGTATTTGCTCCCAAGCAAATGTTGGCCTTTCTAGTCTGCCCTCTACAGCTTTCCTTGGCACCCTGGTGGGATAGGGCATACAACATCTGAGTTGTGAAGCTCAAGTAAGACATGGTATCAAATAGGTTCTAGGAAATATATGTTGTGTTTCCTGTTTCAGTCCTGAAGAAAATTAGGTTCTTTTTATTAGACAATACAGTGTAACAAAGTAAAACTTGCATGAGGATACTTTCATTTTCACTGTCAATTGCTTGATGTTTCATCACTCAGGTGTCAGATCATGGAGCTAGAGAATGGTCGACCAGCTTGAAAAATTTATGTCCCATGCAGGAGTCTACACAAAAAAAAGGATAGGGTCGGCAGTTTAGGGTCGGTCAGGAAATAGGAAATATAACATTTTTTTCCTAGGCCTAATGTGGGGGATAGAAAAAGAATGAACCATTAAAAATTGGTTAAGAGCGGTAATATCAAGTACTACAAATGTATTTCATACTACATGTGCCTATGCATGTTGGTACTTTTGAGTGAGCATTCAGTGAGCATTTAGAAATACAGCGTAACTACTTTTGTAACCTGGCTGACTACTCACCATGTTATACCAGGCAGATACAATCAGTTTTTCTTCCTGCTCTCTCGTCAACTTGGCTTTCTCATGATCTCTCTGGAAAAAACAAAAGCAAATTATAACACAAAATAAAGCATAAACAAGAAGTTAAGAAGTTGAGTCAATTCTTCTATTCAAAGCAATGCAGACACATATCCTTCCAAAAACAAAATTCCTCCAACAGTAGTAGGAACTGTTGTCCACCTCTAGATGGTCGATAAGTCGTTCCTTCTCAGTCAGCTGGTTCTTCAGTGCCTGCACCTCTGGGGTCGATGACTGGTTCTGCTTTGGGTCCAGCGTTCGAATGACCTTTAACAGAGAATAACCAGGTAAGTATTTTTTTTTTGTTTTGCATAACCAGTTAACCGCATGGGGTGTGGAACCTCCACGTAACATCCTATCCGAGGGACATCCCTAACCGAAGCTAGGTACTCATTTCCACCTGAGTGAAGTGAGAAAAGTCATGTAAAGTGTCTTTCCAAAGGGTACAAGATCAGTGACGTGTAGGAGGGCCTCTTGGTTCTAAGCCAAATACGCTACTGTTTACGCCACACGACCTCACCAAGGATGATCAATCAGATAAGGCAGGGCCCACTCTCGCACTTTCAGCATACAAGTCATGTTTTCTATGCCTTACCAAAGGGCACAAGATCAGCAGCATGGCAAGACTCTAACCCGGGACCTTGGTTCTGAGTCAAACACCCTGCCGTTATGCAACTTGAACCCACATTGTAAGTGATGTTTGTGGTAGATCTTCAACAGGAAGGATCTCTTAGATGCTGGATGGAAATCAGAAAACTAGCCATATGTCTGTCAGAAAAGTTAATAAGTTAAATTGATAAGTAAATAACTACTCACACTCTTGGCCTTCTCCAGGTAGCGCTTGTACCGCTCCTCCATGGCCTTCATGTCATCATCCTTCTTATTCAACATCTCCTGCAGCTGCTGGATCTTCTCCGCTGTGGAACATACAGATGCAAAACTCGTAACCAGCAAAATGGTAAGATTACTAGATATACAAGGTATCTTTTCATTGTCAGGAAATCTTGGGTAGGGCAGAAGAATAGAGGGGTTCTCAACTATATTGCACTATAAACTATAATGCACCCAATTTCAGGGCAGCAAAATTGGATTGTCAAGTTAATTTTCTGGCCATTTTTTAAAATGTAGCAATCAATTTTAATCAACCCTATTCCATAGTACACTGATACCTGTGAGGCAAGAATGGGATGTCCTGATGGGAAATAATTGCTTGTCTATTGGCAGTACCCAAAAATGGGTGACCTAATTTTGGGTTATTTCACATGCTTCAGGTATGAAATGATGACGAAAATGCAGTGAATGTCAATTAATATCAGACAGATTTCCTCATCCAGAATATTTTTTGTTCTCCCGTCCTGCAATCGTATTGGATGCCTTTAACCTCCAACACATTGATGCTACAAATTCTCTATTCAATTTGGTAATATGGGTTAAGCAGTAGGAAGAAAGTCTGATTCCTCACCACTGGAGGAGACTTTAGGCTCCAGGTTGTCAATATACTCCTTCTTCTTCTGCAGCTGGGAGTCGGCATCTTTCAGCTTCTCCCTGAAAATATCCAAGGAAACAATCATCATGTCATCCAATCATCTTTTCATCATTGCTAAAAAAAACAGTCCTGTTTCTCAGCAAGGAGCTTAACTACTTAAATACTTCTGTGTATTTCATCAGATATGAATTGTCAAATATTACAATATCTCTTAACAGATTAGACCAAACTAATAGACCTAATAGACAAGTGGAACAAGTAAGTCCACAAGTCCACAAAAAGGACACTTCTTCTCCCCAATTTTGTATCGATTGCTCCATCACTGTAACATCTACAATGTCAAAAGATTGCCCCCACCCTATTATGTACATTTTGTACTTAAAATCAGCAAGGACAGACTTACATGTGTTCCTCAAGCTTTTTCCTCAAGGCAACCGACTGAAAAAGAGAAGGATGCTGAGTCAATGATCTGATGTATGATTGTGTACAGTTGGCCTTTCAAGACATACCATACAGCCAATGTTCTTTATTTGATGCTGACCACTTTTCAGAAATAACTGCACTAGCTTTTGCTGAAATAACACCTTCTTTTTCACACCACCTGACTGTGTACCCAGGTGCTGGTGCAGGTGCTTCTACAGGTGCTTTAAAGGTGCTAAATAGCCTACGGTACTGCTTAACATCCTCCTTCAACATTGCTAACTGTGGAACAGATAGGATACATATACAGAGCTGTCCACCATCCTTTTCAATGAGGACATTTTAGGTGCTGGATGGGCTCTGTTTTTCAAAAAGTACAGTTAAGATGGCTTCAAAAACGGCACTCAAAATTATTTCCCAGCATTCATCAGGGTTGTGACTCATGTCTGTGATTGGTTAATGAGGTGATGACATCACACACCAGGCACACACTGATTGGTTAAACACAACACCACACTAAATAGTTGTAAGTGTTAAAAGTCAAAAGACGAACATTTAAACATAAGACTTTAAGAGTCCACAAAAATGTAAGAGATGGTCTGACAAACATTAGTCCACTGTGTCACAGTATCATAGTCCAGAATCATGTAGAAGAAAGTTAAGTTAAAATCAGTCAATGGGGAAACTTTAGAGGAATTTGTTGAAGTGAAAATCAAATAAGTGTTTGGTCTTTTTCTCTTGTTTATGTTCCAAATAAGACTATTCTTCAACAAAAACAATTGACAAAAAAGTGTAAGCTGTGGGTTGTGTGTCATTGATCACCCAATTCACCAAATACGCACTGCTTGCAAATATGGTAAATTCAGAAAGCCAGCAGCAAATTAAAAAAGAAAATAAGTCATCAGATTAGCGATCAAATAGCCTTGCTATTGCTGAAAATTTTCTTATAACTTAAAAACCATTCTGGGTACTAATAATATTTTGTATATAATTTCTGGTGCTAGTTGAAAGTTACTGAATACACACAAGTTTCTACAGAAACTACAAATGTGGAACTTAAAGGCATCCAATGTGATTTCAGGACAGCAAAAATGGAAATATTCTGAATAAGGCAATCTTTGTGATATTGACACGTACTGTTTCACATACGCACATTTAAGTCAGCATTTCATACTTTGGGCAGAAACAAGCCCCAAGATGAGTCCTTTATTTTATGGGTGGTACCCTAAATATCAGCCCAGGGCCCTTCTAGTAACCATTTTCCATCAGAGGTTTGGGAAATTTTGCTCCATGAGGGTCAATATACATTAGGATAGTGTGATTTCAACTCAGTATGTAGATAAGTAACTAGAATATTGGCTTTGAAAAACTGGGTTTCCAAGCCCTAAAAACCGCACTGGATGCCTTTAAAGAGTCTGCAATGATCGCAGACAACTTACAACCATCTCGGTACTCTAAATACGCAAACAAACTACACACTGTTGTTAGTGGCGCTGGATTAAGCAGTGAAATTTCGGCTGTGCGGAAAAAAAAGGAAACTGCAAGCAGCAGCAGCAAGCTCTGAGCTACAGACAAAACCTTACTCATACTTACAAACTCCTGAGATTTGTTTACAAGGCATGCAAGAAAACAAACAAACACCAAGTTAGAACATGCATGGCACAGTTGGAGAAACAACTGAATGACATATGAGCGCTGCACATCAGCACCCTCTGGCAGAAGCATGCTGAACTCCAACCGATATGACGTATGCACTGAAGGATGGAACACTATGGCACCTTCTTGCAAAAGATTATTGACCTGCAACTGCTGAAACAAGTCATGCATGCAGCAAAGTAACAAGTCTGCTGTATACAACTGAACTAAACAGGAAATAATGAATGACAAAGTTAGCATGAAATAATATGTTAACACATACATGTAAGATATGTTTGATGTGAGAGAATTTAGAATAGGTTTGATGATGTTGTTAATTCCTATCACAGATTATGTATGACTATTTAACACTGAAATTGTTCACATTGAAAAGTAACACTCCTACTTTCCACTTGTAGATGGTTTACAGTACTGTTCTACATATACATATACTTCTTCACCATGACCCACCTTACTGCAAATACTTTTTATTTGACCTTGCAATAGTTCTAGACCTGCAATAGTTCAAGGTCATTTCTATCATGTCCCTTGACAGAAAATATCTTCTAAATCGTCTACGCCAGAGACCTTGCAGAAGTGGAAAGGTCAGAGTGCAAAGGTTACTTACATCCTGGTCCTTAGCAGGTGACCCGACCTCTTCCTGTTCTGTCTGCATGTCCTCCAACTGACCTTGGAGTTCCAGAATCCTCTGATTGGCCAACCTGTACATTTCAAATTAAACAGAACAAAATAAGCCATAAATGACACACGCCTTTGATGAAAGAGGATACATATATCCTTATAACTATCATTTATTAGATAATTATGAGCAGAAATCTCGGAAAAAGAATTTTTGACAAGTATCTCAAAATATGTACAAACTCTAGACACTGAACAGATCACAACTAATAGGTGGAAATTAGAGCTTATTTTAGACCCACCCACTGATTGAAGTGATTTATCCTCTGTGTTGGCATGGTAAATTCAGTTAAGTGCATCATTAATTATGCAAAGCAGGCCTAATAATGGGCATTTGAGACTAACAACCCTGTAATTCAAAACTGTCGAAGTGGCCTGGTAGGGTTGCCTCGAAGTAGAAGACTTAAGTGCATGAATCAAGCTAAAAAGGTTGGGTGTGCAAAAAGATTTTTGGGTGCACCATACATGTACAAAATAAAGTAGAATGGCAGAAAAAAACTTATTATGTATCATTTCTAAAGAAAAGTATTACATCAATTATTTTATTATTTTTCTGACACTTAGATGTTGAATATGCCCCCACTACTACATTTAACATCTTTCAATACATAAGGCCACACCAAGTAAATTTTATGGATGACGTCCGCGCGCGCATTGATTTTGGCCTGTACCTAGAAAAAAAACAAGAAATTTCGCTTCCTGTAACTATGACCAAATTGCCAGAAAGTGCCGCAAATTGTCAGATTGACGTGAAACCCGTAACGCCAAAAGCCTGTGCCTGGTTAAAAAAATTAAAACAAAAATGAAAGAAAAGAAGGCACTGAAAAAAATCCTGTCAATAGTTCCAAAAACGGCACTGCTGACAGGACGGTCCTGTCAGCAGTGCAATATTTCTAATCTAGGCATCTTGTTTTTTAGGGCCCTTCTTGTTTTTTTTCGCCCTCTCGCATTAGATTTAGGGTCTCCAAAGGACGTCATCCATAAAATTTACTTGGTGTGGCCTAAACAGAAAAAAATTGGGTGCACAGCTCCAAATTTGGGTGCACTAAGGTGCACAAGCACCTAGTATTTGGAGCCCTGTAACCCCCTCCCCAGCCACACTCCCCACCTGTTCTCTGTCTCCAGTTCGTTGGTTCTGGCGTTAGCGTCGTCCAACATGGCCTGGGAGACCGCCAGTCTCTCGTCATCCGAACCTTCCGCTTTCAGCTTCAACATCTTGTTCTCGTGCTGCAGGCGAATCAGCTTCTCTCTGGAGTAAACAAAAACAGAGGTAAACAAGTCAACAACTCTGCTACTCATCTGGTTGGCTTCCTCTTACTACAACACAACACAACATGTGAAACAACTTGTTGACAAACATTCTCGTCTCATGACATCATTTGGAAACATTAGGTAGCACTTACTTAATTTCGGGTGGTACCACTTCTGGGATGGGGGAGCCAACAGGGGACTCCACATTACTACCAATGCCTGCTAGAGACCCTGTGGAAATAAAACACATTTATCAATGAAAGTAATTTTATCAAGTATACAATGGTAGTTTTGTAGTAGCAAGTCATACAGTCTTCAACACTGTTCTGCTACAGTATGTAACCAAACACCACCCGTTACCATGGAGAGAGACGTCTGGTTCAGGTCATTGACTTTATTTGTTTGGAGAGGAAGAAGAAACTGTAAAAACAATAAACAATATGTTTTCCTTATGTGAAGGTAAACATAAGAAGCCTTACCCTGCTGAAGCTGCATGCAATGTAGTTCCTCGTTTGTCTCCTTTAAGGTGTCTCGTTCATTGACTATTCTCTGTAAAATATAGTGGGCAGAGTTTACTCTCCAAGCAGAGGTTGATGGTGGAAGATCGCTTGCTTTTTACATATGGCCTTTTTATGTCTCTACCACCACCAACCACTTGGGTGGGGAAATGGTTACAGACTGGCCAATATGATACTGTCTTACCCCCACCAAAAGATCTGCTTGGAGATTAGGCAGAGTTCAAAATAATTCCTACAACAGTGTGACACTGATCAATCACTATAAACCTAAATCTAATCCTAAATCTAATGTATTTCTAAACTGCAAATGGGACATAGCATGCTTATCTATGCTCTTACTCCTACATCTGAAGACCCTAATCCAAATACTCAAAAGTAAAACATTCTTGTTTCTAGAATTTTCTGGGACATACCGTATCATACCATGCAAAAGAATGCTGACAATGACTTACCTGTTTCTCCTTCTGAACAGTGTCCAGTTTTTCTGTTGATCTTTTCAGCTCGAACGCTGCCTTGTCTGCCCTCTTGGTCTCCTCTGACACCTTGCTGTGTAACTCCTGAACCTGTTTCTTATACATGTCCAGCTGGGAGCGCAGTGTGTTCGCTTTTCTCAGTTCCTTTCAAGAAAAAACACAATCATCATCAGATGGTGCTTTCAGGCACTAATCCATTTCTTTTGTATTTTTTTGTCAGGATTTTTTCTGCATTACCATACAGTATCTAATCAACCATGACAGTACATGTACTTTCTATGAATAAAGAAAGGACAATTAATTATGAAGTTTCTAAACAGTTAACACAATAAGGTACTCACTATGTGCACCCAAAGTACAATACAGTTGTTGATGTGCTACATGTACCTCCTCCTTTTATACCTAGCCCTCCTTCCTCCCAACTTTGAAATACATCCAGTGTTGTGTTGACGTCACACTTCAAACAAGCCAAGTGACAAGCCTCACTGGTTTAGTCTACTGATTGGTCGAAAGCTCTAGGTGAGAGAACTTCTTTGTGCTGGATCAAAAGTTTTACCTCTAAACATAATCCTGTGTTCTTATAATGCTCACCTCTTCTAGTTCAACTGTTTGCTGCATGTAAGTCGTGTTCTTTTCCTCCAGGATTCTCACTGTTCTCCTCAAGTCAGCCAAGTCCTCTGGAAAATACAAGTCACCATTTATACATGTTTATTAAGGAGCACACATAATCAGAAAGAATTGTCATAATAGACTTCAAATACAATCAGAACAGTTCTTTTAGCAGTAATGTATGATGTACAGGAGTCTTGGATGTATTTTACATCTACATTTTTCAACATTCCATTTAAATCTGACTCACCCAATTTTTTCTTGTATGTTTCTATTGTCTGCTCATACTTGGACTGTAAAAGAAAACATTTGTGAGCATAAGAAACAAAAGTTCAAGATGAAAGATTGACAAGTTTTTTGTTTTTTTCAAGTAACATGTAATTTATCATCATGTTTAGTTCTATGGGACATTCCCCACAATATGACTGGTACACAACAATTTCCTTCTCCCACTGAGTTTCTACAGAAGTGAAAAAGGCATTTATTTTTATTTTACTGACCGTTTTCTCAGCAGACTGCCTGAGTATGTCCATCTCATCCTTCAGCAGCTGTGTCTCTGCAGCCAGAGCCATCAGCTCTTCATTCTGGGGGAGGGAGAAGGGCAGCATGAGTAAAGTAAGTATAGCAACATAATATCACTCTCAGTCACTGTTGCAATTTCTTCCCAAATCCATACATTTACTTGCTGGACACTGTGACCCATGTTCTTCAGTACACAAATGTACTGTGTGTACTTTATTTCAAGAATTTCATACCATACTATTGTAACCTCTCATACTAATGGATTTCTAAAGGTCAAAAACGTTCTGTCTCACCTTTCCTGCAAGGTCCAGAATCTCCTTCTCCATTTCTTCACATTTCAGTCGGTATTCATCTCGCCCTGTGGGGAGGGGGGTGAAATAACTTTCAATAAGAGAATTGTGTTTGAATTTAAATTGAAATTCAAAACTGATCTAAATGATCTAAAAGCTCCTTAGAGAACCATTAATGTGGTACAATATCTGAAACTGCTAAAATATCTACATCACTCATTTACTTCTTACTAAGGCCACACTGACTTAATCTTATGGATGACATCCTCTGAAGACCCCCAAACTAGTGCGAGCGGGCGAATAAAAATAATTCCAGCCAAAAAAAAATTGCCTGTAAACCACAGGAATACAAAGCTGGTATTGTGAATCTGCGGTAGTACATGTACATGGCGACTTTTACAACAAGCTGGCACATTCTAGCCTTTTGCAGCATTTACATTGCTATGAATCGGTAAGGTACTGAGTATGAGTTCCGTGGAGCTTCAGCAGCCTGGGTGCCATCCTCTGTAGTTACCGCCGGCTCCCTATTGTCGCTAGCTACCATGGACTATGGAGAATGGCTAGAACTAGGCGATGCACGAATGTAATTCATGAAATCAAATCAGTGTGGCCTAATGAGACATTTTGGGCTGATGTGGCTGACCTGTCTCTAGCCTGTAGGTCTCCTCCTGCAGTTGTTCCACCTGATGTGTCAGCTGGATGTACCGTCTGCCTGCTGGGGTGCTGCAGGGTCCACAAACATGTCACTCAACAAAACTGCAAAAATTAGCAGTGTGGTGCAGATTGCCCCAATTTCAGAAGTCTTTCCAAAGTTAATCAAATACCTATGACAACATACACTATGTATCATATACTGTTTATAGATACACAGTTGAATAATATTAGTACCAGCTAAAATATGTCTTACTGAGCACGTCGGCAGAACATACTACGCCAGCACGAAACCTTGATTTTTCAGTATTTGTTGGGTTTTTGGTCATTTTTGCCTGTTGCAGACAATATCTTTTCCAATGTAACAGTTGGAAACTACAGAGGGGATCCGATGTTAACCTTATACATGTATACCCGAATAAAACCTTAAATGCTCTTCTGAAGTGCTATGCACAATACATTACGGGTTGCGCACAGGTGAAGTATGTTCTACCGACGTGCAGTCTTATTGCAGTACTAGAGATAAAATTGTTGTCAAAGAAATAATATAGGATTCTCAAAGTAACAAATTCTATAAACTCATATCAAAGTCACAGTGAAAGTGGTGAAAAACAACAACTTTGAGGTCCTCTCTCCTTCAACAACTCAAAAAGTATAGTCCAAAATTTCAAAAGCTTATCAGTCAAACAATTTTTCTAGGCTTCAAAATTTCAATGCAGAAGGAGGGGGTATGTAATAAAATTGATGTTGGAAATAAAGGTTGCCCAGTCTTCTTTTGGTTGAGGTTTGTCTTAAGAGCAATGGGTTTTCAAATTTTAGACTAAAATCAGATGTTTCAACAGCTTTGACAGTGTACTACCGAATAATCATGGGAATAGCTCTGGGCTGGGAACTATAGGTAACACTGGGCAACTTACGTAATGTTTAGCCAGATTGCGCAATGTGCAACAGTGGCTGATAATTCATTTCAATGCAGGGCTCGAAATACTGGGTGCATGTGCACCTTAATGCACCCAAAATTAGAGCTGTGCACCCAATTTTTTCTGTGGGTAGTCTGGTCATTTTTATAGGTTTACATATGTAAAGATGCTAAATGTACTATACTATACAGCATATTCTGGTGTCAGAAAAATAGGAAAATCTTTGTTGTAGTACTTTTCTTTAGAAATGAAACAAAATTAGTTTTTGTTTTATGTTGGTTACACCAGTGCACCTATTCCCAAAAATGAATTTCGAGCCCTGGCGGCTGCTAAGTGATTTCAATGCCTGATGAGGAGAATGGCTTTTACCTGGCGTCGCTCAGAATGGTTTCTATAAAGCTGGAGGATGGTGTCGACAGAAGGCAGAACGTTGTGACAGAACAAACAACACAACAGAACAGAGGAGAAACCAGACGTCAGAGCAAGTCATACAGGGAAGAGAATATTTGGGAAAATCCAAGAGGCACAAATAGACAATAAGGCACTTCTAAAAAAGCAATATAACAGTAACAGAAAAATGTACTTTAAAACAAGATAAATCAAAAGTCCACAGGATCTTAACAATTGAAATATGATTTACCTGTTTCTTTGTAAGATTTCTGGTATCCCTTTAACAACTAGCCCCCCTCCCAACCATCTTTGCATCTAAACCGTGACTTGACTAATGCAGGGCTCGAAATACTGGGTGCACATGCTGGTTACCAGTAGTGCAGGTAAAATTGGAACTGTGCAGGCATTTCTGATGTCTATCTGCACCTAACCTGCACTGGTCCATGTACTGTGTATATGCAGGTTAGTGCAGGTAAAATTGGAGCTGTGCAGGTATTTCTTGACTCTTCCTGCACCTAACCTGCACTGGTCCATGTACTGGGTATGTGCAGTTTAGTGCAGGTAAAATTGGAGCTGTGCAGGTATTTCTGATGTCTACCTGAGTGCAGGTAAAATTTATCTTGTGCAAGTAATTTTTCATGTTGCGTACACCAGTGCAGGTAAGCGGAAAAAAAAGTATTTCAAGCCCTGAATTAATGACATACTCCATGTTCCAATATCCCAACTACTTTAACCCTTCCCCCACCGGTCTCTTCCTATGTACCTGGTGTCTTCATATCCGTCCACCTGGTTGACTTTGTCGGACAGTTCATCCTTCTCCACCTTCATGAGTGTGTTTTCCTCCATCAGCTGCTGCACCTGCATGTCTAACTCATGACAGCGCTGGGCAATCTCCTCTTTCGCAGCCCGTACCTGTCAGGTGCAACACAACCTCATTATACATTCAGCAGCTGTCACACTTCAAGCACACAGTCCACAATCTTGGATTTCAATGCTTACACAGCATATCCAACTTTACAGTTATGAAAATATCCACCAGTTATATGTATGACAGAAAACTTATAATATCAAGATCTGGAAGAGTAAAAGATAGATGTACAGACTGTAGCTCACCTCATTCAATTCTTCCATGGTGTCTCTCAGCTGTTTCTCCACCTCTGGCAGGACTCCAGGTGAAGCAGGTGCCTCTTTGTTCATCAGCTGCAAGGAAGAACAGGCATATTTGTAACCTACCATTGTTAAAATGATGGTTAAAAGGATAAAAACAGCTATATCAAGTAAATCTTTTTGTGTGGCTTATTGACCTGGAAGCAAATTATAGTGTTTCCATCATGGAGTCTCATATACTATATTGAACACAAGGAACTTCTACCAACTACATCCACCAACCTCCTGAATGGCATTCATGACTGCATGTTGCACTGCCTCTTCCATCCCCATGATGTTCTGGATATACTCTGGAACACGAACGAAAATGGGAATACATCATTATGCAATTTAGCTACATGTATGCATATGATATGTATACAAATACAATGTATCAGGTTGTTACAAAACATTTTCACTGATATGTCCTTGGGTGCTGTCAAATTTGAAAGAACATGTAATGATAACTCGTACCAGGTGAAATCTATAAAATTGTTTGTTTGTTTATTTGTTTGTGTCTGAGCTATCTCACCCTGTTTACGATCACAGTTGACAGCACACCCCAGGATGAGCTGTAACAGTCGGCCCATCTCCTCCACATCATAGTGCTCAGCAATGGACGTCACATCTGGGAGGGTGAAGTCATTTATCTGTTGTCCAAGAACCTAATGAAGGTAAGAGATATAGAACAAATTTGTACATTGAAATATACAAAATATACAGTGGAATGTTGGAGTGGCATTTAGCATAAGGCCAAGGAAAAAAATGTTATGATTCCTGTTTCAGTCCTGAAAAAATTAGGGTCAGTAGGTAGGGATTATATTTTTTTTCTTCTTTTCTTAGACTTTGGCGATATCTAGTGATCCAACTTATACAACAGTTTAACAAAGTAAAATGTGCATGAGGACATTTTCATCTTTAATGACAATGTTGGAAAACTGATTGTACAATGTTTCATCACTCAGGTGTCATATCATGGACCTAGAAAAGGTCGATCAGCTCGAAAAATTTATGTCCCTTGCAGGTGTCCAAACAAAGAAAGACTAGGGTCTGCAGTTTTTTCTAGGGTTGGTTGGGAAACAGGAATTACAACTTTTTTTTTCCTAGGCCTGACAATCAATTTTTATTGGAAAATCACCAACAGTTACATGTACCAAAAACAATGGAAACACACAAAACTTTTGCTTACCTCACTGTAATAGTCCAGCACTCCTGTAAGAACCTTCTTCAAATTACTCATCTGTGGAGATGAAACAATACAACAAAACAAAGTAAGGCAACCATTAGCAAAAATACTATCCACAATGATATATATGAATAAAACTTTCAATTTGTACAAATGGCTAACTGTAACAAACACTATGGCGTCAGTTCATTTTCTGGTGAATGCCTCTGTAGAATTACATACATACATGTATGTGTCTGCCATCTTAATTTTTCTGTTTAATAACAGAAGTGACAGACAGTACATAATGTACATGTGTATAAACAGAAGTGGCAAACATGTCTATAGTCCATTTTTTAACATGTCAAATATCTCTTGAGGTTCACTGGGAAGAAAAAAAGGGAAGACCGAAGAGATCAACAATTATTAAAGTGTCAGAATCACAGCTACATCTGCCGATGATTATTACATGTAGTATCATTAGTACGTCTTTTTTAAATGAAAATGAAATGAAAATGAAATGAGATTTTCAGCCCAACTCACCCTGAGTCTCCAGTTTTCCCCTGCATCCTGTTTTATCTTGCCAAACCAGGCCTCACTGAAATAATCTGGGGCACTGAGGGAGGGACAGAGACACATGTCGCATAGTGTTAGAATGACTGTTCAGTCACCAATTCTCTAAATGTTTTGATTACTAGATGGATGTCAGGTAAAATTGCATACTAGTATTATTTAATGCATGGAAGCCAAGAAACTTCTCACACTGGACATATCTTAACCAAGTACTGTACTAATACTCACTACTAAAAATAAAGTCATTCCCAATTTTATTTCATATCTATTTGGGAATCAAGAATGAAATAGAATGATCGAATACTTACATCTGACACAGTGCTTCACTCATTGCAACCCCATCACCGAGATCCTCCACTGTTTTATGTGGGGCGTTCAGGTTAAATGTCTGCAGCTAGGGAAGGAGACAAGATGTCAGAGACCCAGACATTCTGTCTGATTTGTTTAACGTCAATATACAACTGCAAAAGCAGTGTTCTAGCCATTGTGAATTTTTTTCTGTCATATCAATTTTGTTTGATGTAACATTATGTCCAGTGCCAAAGGGCCCCCCCGCCCGATGCATGCTCCCCCGGGAAATTTTTTAAATCTCCACTCTCAGAGAAACGCTATTTCCTGCATTTTGAGGGGCAAATTTTGCTGGCACATCATAGACATAAGCTTAGTTTAATGACATCTCTTTTCATAAATTACATGCTGATTTTTGTCTATCAAAGATGAAGGATTAGACAAATGTTGTCCATCATAAATGGCAAAATTCTGTCACATGACAGAAAGATGCATGTTGGCTAGAACACTGCATCTATTCCTTCCTGACATTTAGTCAGTTTTGCATGACACAGTATCTTCAATTGACCTTTTACCTCAGCAGTGGTGACAGAGTTTTTTTTAATTCTCTTGAGTACATAGGACAAAGTTAAGTCATGCAGATATAGACTGTCATTACTTACACTAAGTTACAGGGACTAACTTATTAATGTTACAATGATTGGGATGCATTGTGGTAAACTTTTCAACATCTACCAAATGTTAAATTTTATTGGTTACAGACTCCACAGCACAATATTTACTGTGTCTTTACATCATAGCCACTTCAGATGATTGCAATGTTGACTTTAGCAACAGATAAGAATGTCCAGACATCAGCAGTTGCATAAGGTGTCCTAGTTCTCACCGAAATCTGCAGCTGTTTTTCCCTTACTGTATCATGATATATTATGAGAATTTCGCATGTGGTGTTCATATCACAGTTTTAATCAAAATTTTATGCTTGAAAACATGTAAAAACATATCTGTACCTTATGTATGAATCCTTAAATAGATGGCAAAGAAACATTAACACACGAAGACTTCGGAAGAGGTCTAATTATAAAATGAGGGAACCCCCAAAGGCCCAATGCAATTCTGTCCTGCAAAACTGGAGACTGACTTCATGTTTAACAGAGGAAAACAGTTGTGTAAGACTGGTAACAGAAGACGTTTTCTCAGTAAATGGTCATGACATTGTAGTTGGTATTGTGATGTCACTGAAATGTTTAGTCATGTTCCTCAATAGTTTTGCTTCCACATAATTCTACAAACATTGAAATAAAGCATCATCTTCTCTACATATTCATATGTTTATGGCATGAGAAGCCCTGTGTTTGTATATTTCAATCTTGTTGTTGACAGTTCCCATTTCATAATACATACATCCGTCTATTTGACCTATATCAGACAATGTGTCCCAAAATGTAGAAACATATTTCTCATTTACAAGTTTAACTTGTAAATAATTATTCAATATCATTTGTTTCTGTTCTCATATTTCAAACGCCACGGTAACTTATGGAACTTAAAGCAAAATCGCAAATTATATGGCTGTAGCATAACTAAAAAGTTGCAGGATAGTCAAAACTATGCCTGGAAGACAACTTATCCTTCTAAGGTCACAAGTTTTGACCTTTGAAATTTGTATGATTCAGAATTTCCAACGACTTTACAACTTATGATATCATATAACAACATAACACGTCGTCTGAAACTCAAAATTCTCCACATAAACTACACAAACACCCCTATTATTCTAATGTCAAAAGATGAAAGCAAAATTCCAACGTTTTTAAATTCGATTACGACGTAAACAAAACATTAGGAGTTGTCTGGACGTGTGTAGTCTCCGTGTTGTGGCTGCGTGAGTCCAGGGCTTTTCTTCACTTCCTGATCACGAACCGTCATCTGATAAAAGAACTTTGTATCCTCAATATCTCGTGATGGTAACAGATGCCCCAAGTTGTTTGCAGACAGAGCCCCCCCCCCCCTTTCCTCAAACTAGGCTAGTGTATCTGCCACGCAGTCACACACGCAAACTTACCCACTGTACCAGGCACTCGCACAGCTCCGTCTTGTCCATGGCGACCCTGGCGGCTTCTATGTTCTTCTCTCGGCTCTAATCGTTTGAAATTCCGGTTGAAGTGATCAGATCATGGGGAAATTCCGACGTTTTCGCCGATCTGCGATTTTGGGAGGAAACCGACAACCCGCCTAGTACGCAATCTCTGGGGACTGTACGTTAACTCTGTTGGACTCGTCTGAACATGGATGTATTGAGAAAACTGGTCAACAAAAGATGTCAAATGATATAGTTAATCGTATTTTGTATGGTTATAAAGTAAAAATTCTTATTTTGGTCCAAGTAAACTTGAATCACATCCTTTGTTTCCACCCAACTTTGATCTAAAATGGTTCATCCCTAATATACCAAAACCTAAAGGTCATGACGCATGCGTACTTATCAAAACATTTCTGGTCAGTCCACTTCCGGATTTGGGATTTGGAAGCTACAGGTGCGTCCGGATTTCTCCGGATTATGGAGGACGTGCTGGACGACATGGGCGGTCCGGTTACCGGGACGTTAGTGGAGGGGATCGGGGACGAGCTGGTGTACATCAGCCTGATGGTGGGCATGATGATGGTGTCGTTAGGCTCCGTACTGTACAGATGGAAGTGAGTATCGCATGGGGGGAGGGGGGCGTGTACACGTCATGTTACTTACTTACACTTTCACAGCATATTTTGATAGACAAGTAAGAACGACGCTAGACATTTGAGAACTTTCAAGTCTTATATGTCAGCGTCTAGCGTCTTGAACAGTTGGAAGTACGTGAAGCATATGTGGGGGTACACACAAAGTATTTGGGAATTACAATGACAATGTTTCAAATTCAATTTTGTTGTTGACACACATACTAGTAGTATCACACAATGTGTCCCAAAATGTATCAACATATTCCTCATTTAGTAGTTTAACATGTAAATAATAATTTATTCATAACAACAGAAGAACAAGTTACTCTTACATACTTAGATAAAATCTAATACAATGTACAAGTTGGGACAATATTCCATGTAATCAACAAAAACAATATTTCTGATTCATCAGTGAAGGTTAGACATCCAGTTAATAAGATACACCAAAAAAACAGTTACTCAACCAACTGGATATGATTTTGGAAACATTTCAGGTAGCATCCAATACCTTTTGCCAGTGACACTGGAGAATTTTCAGAAAAGCCGGTTTATAAGTACAAATAATATTTCTGGTTCCTCCCCTCTGAACCAGCCAACAGCAGGCCATGGGAACTACCATCCACCCTGATCACAGGACACGCCTCCACGAGGCGAGACAGCAGCTGGGATTGGACGATGAGCAGGACAGACAGCCCAGGTTCACCAATGACGGGCAGTGTCCCATCTGTATGGAGAACACCAACTTTGCTGTGGAAACAAACTGTGGACATGTCTTTTGTGGTCAGTCAGGATAAAATTCAAGTCAGCAATTCGATAGTTTATCTATGTTGGGGAATAACATTATAAGACACAGCAAAATGCAGACACAACAAATTTCTGACCAAGTTAGAACAACCATATTTGACCTCTAATGTTTATATTGCAAGAAGTAAGGTCACATGGTCAGAGCAATTTAAATTAGATCAGTTATCTCAAAGAAGGACAAGATTGGGGTATACATTTGATGAGCCAGAATTTTGTTGCGTGGAAAGAAAATTCAATTCCATATATTCTTCTAGATACATGATATGCTTCATTTTAGAACAAAGATTGAAACAGTTCCTGTGCTTATTTTTGAGCATAGCATAGCACAGCATAGCATCTACAGCCAGGTAGGATGTCAGTCCAGTTGAGGCCGCTCCTGTTGACTTCCCCTCTTAGCTGATCATCATTGTAGGTTTCTGTGGATGATCCAGTATCCTGAAGTTGTATTTAACCGGGTGTTGTTCCATGTCATTTTTGTAGGCTGACTTACTGCATTTGATGGTTGAATGACAGAAGCTATGTCTATTTGTCATTGCTGCACAGCTAACTGTATCCTGATGTACTGGAGACATGGAAGGTGGCTGGGAGCAGTGGGCTGTCCTGTCTGCAGACAAACTGTGAGTACAGAGTGTCTTTCATTATGTTTACCAAAGGAAAACATACTGTTTTTGCTTTGTTTTCTCTTCTTCTTTTTCAAACAAATAACGTCAATGACCTGAACCAGATGTCTGTCACCATGGTAACTAGTGTTGGGTTACATCATGTTGCAATTTTATAGCAGGAGGGATTTAGACCTATTTCACCATATATATTAATGTGTGTGAATTTGGTAGCTGCCACTGCCAATGGGGTGTCACTTCTTTCAAGTAAAGGCTTCCCATTGCTTCTTCTGACACATTTCATGTTACTGTTTCATCAGGTGACTCTGTTGCTACCGCTCTTTACTGAAGAAGAGAATGGGTCAGATGACTTGGTACAGATGGCTGGAGAGATAAACGCTTACAACAGAAGATACTCTGGAGAACCCAGGCCGGTATGTGGTGGTATTTTTTCAGGCTATTGTACTGTTGTTTTGTACATACTGGCCAATATATATACATGTATAGTAGCTGACATTAAGTCTTGCTTTTTGCAAAACATGTCTGTATTTTGCTTGTTCATCTGCTACAGGAGAAAGGTTGTCTCATTAGCATAATGACTTACCGGTATGTGTGTGGATAATGTGCCTACATGTTTATCATTGGTTGGTTTTGGATAATTGAATTGCTTTGTCAGATAGATAAGTTTATGTGTGAAGTGTTTTTGACCTCTGATCTTTGACTTTTGCCCCCTCCAGCTGCTGGATTACCTGTATGACCTTCCGACCTTGCTACGCCACGCTTTCATTGAGCTGTTCACCGTTGGCGGACTAGTCATGATGTTTCGCGTACGGGTGTTCCTCATCCTCCTCGGTGCCATTTTGTACTTCATTTCACCACTGGACATCATCCCGGAAGGAGCGTTTGGCCTCCTTGGGTTGGTGGACGATGTTTTTGTCATCCTGGTGTTGCTGATCTATGTGTCAATCATGTACAGGACCTTCGTGGCCAATAGGGGAGAGATGGGCCTGGGAGGGGATGTGGAGTGAACCATTTGGGCCATCATATAGGGAGGGACAGGGTGGAGGAGTAAAGAATACATGACAATCATGTACAGGACCTTATTGGTGAGCCTTGGGATGGACCATTTTGGTCATCACATGGGGAGGGACAGGATAAAGTTAACACATGACTCAATAATAAACAAGAACTTTGTGGCTAACAGGAGAGAGGTAAATTAGGAATGAACCATTACACTTTTGTATGGGGAGAGGCAGGGTGAAGGAAAAATGACTTTTTCTTCAAGTTTGTAACCAAATCATAAGATGAAACAAGACTGATATAAAAGCCAGTCATATATGGAAGACGAGAGAAAGCTATGGTTGAACATTTACATCATCTGTGAAGAGGACAACCAAATAAGACTTGTGATGGGCTCCTGTAAACTTCATCTGCCATGTGGTACATGACAGAAAAAAGGAGAAAGAGAAGAAATGTTTTTAAGTTTCTCTGAGTTATACATACTTACAGAACAACTTTACAAACAAGGAAATCAGTGTAAGTTTTGGATAAGGGACATGCAGTTGCACTGAACTTAATAGAATAGGAGGACGTAACAGATTCCTGGGTTATACTATTCCTCCAATACCATGTTGCCTTATAAAAACCATGGCAATACTGGCAATAAAATTGACACTAATACACAGCAAAGTGCAATAACTAGACATACTGACACAGTGGACTGAGCTGTCAGTTATGCAGAACAAACAAGTCCCAGTAGCTGTAGTATTTACTGAGGTTTTGCATAAAATTTAAAAGGTGCCTTTTCAACATTACAAGTGTAGAAACATCCAAATTTCAGGTCATTTTGGAAAGGCTCTTGTAATGTTAGGAGATATCATCAACTCCAAAGGCAAGAACATATACAGCATCTGTATAACCATCAAGCTTCTGACCCTGAAGTATACCATGATATGAAGTTCAGCATGTTGTTTCATTTCTCCTGTGAAATTGTATATTTAAGATTACTGCTCAGTCTTTTGATACGTCTTGCAGATACATGGTAACACTGCTAGATGTATCCAGACGTCTGATATCTGTTAAAATACTTACCACCTTTGACTAGACACCATCATCTACCATTTGAAATATGTTATCATGTACTTTATTGATACATATGTAAATGTGGTCTAAAATGTCATAACCATCAAGTATCCATGACAGATCTAGACGGCTGTCAAAATGACAATTTTTGTAATGATTTTTCTACTCAGTGTCAAGACATGAGCTGACTATTTTAGAGACTTTCAGGTAAACAAAATGCCAATGACAACATTTCCATTTAAACTTTTTGGTAAGTTTAAATGCCTTTTTGTACTCTCTTATCAAACTAAAAACCTTTGGTTCCCAAAGAGGACCTTGAATGAAATTTGTTGCAGTAAAATCTGCAGCCTTGCAGCATGTCATTTGACCATGATCATGGAGGTAAAAATCTACCTACATGCCACGATGAACAACAGCTTTTTTTTTACACAAGGGCTAGTAAAAGTTGAAAACTGCTTGCAGATGTAAAATATAGCCTTTGCACTGCACTATAATGCAAAACTGTTGTCTGAAAGACTTCAGGTTGAAGGTACAAAAACTTACAATTTCCACAGGAAACAACGTCCTGAAGAAAGGGTACCTTCATAGTGAAAGAAACAATTTTTTTTAGGAACAAAATGTTGTTGTTAACAGCAGCTTGGTGATAAACCAGTATTATTTCAGCCATGGATTACTTCAACAGGATATTTGTACCTTTTTCACATAATTTGTGATACTTGTATATATTTATCTCCATTTTAGACTTTTGCATAAATGTGTGAAAATCAGATCACCCAGCTGACCTACAGTTCAATCTTTGTTTAATGCTATGGCTGCTGAGCTTTAGTTGTATTTATTTAGTGCTATGAGTTGCTGATTTGAAGTGTACAGTGTATGAGAATTATACATAGTGGACAGATTATAAATTGTTTGTACTTGTACTTAGAAAAGAAGATTTTTATTGATGTTAATTGATGATGGGAAGTTATTTTAAGTTAAGAGTCGAAGGTTACACTGGTGTGATCAAGGCTGAACATTACTGTAACAACAGATGTATGAGGAATGCTGTTAAAATGGAGGCATTAAAAGTAACGTTATGTGTACTTCTGTCACTAGAGTTGGCCTAAGAAAGATAAAAGAAACTAATCACAGACAAACATCAAGAGCCCAGCATGTATGTACATATGTACATACTTTACTGCTCAGAGTAGAAAAAAGCCTGAATCAAATTATGACAATTTGATTGATACATGTAGCATTACATGTATACAGGCAGCTAAAAATACATAAATAGATAAATGGCAATACATGTATATGTAATTTGAATCATCCATGTCTCTATGCTATATTCACTTAACGGGTAGTACCCATACACATATCTTCATTTAAATGAACATTGGAGCTCTAGATTTCTCAAACTTAAATTATTGTTCACAATTTCAGCCCAAAATTCCTGAAAGGAAGAAGCATTTCTTCAAAGCATTAACCTTTTTTCCGAGCAATCAATGCAATATCACCAGAATATCACCAAAAAACACTACCTACCATTGCATGCAGTGAAGGTGCAACAAATATTAAACAGGTCACAAAATCATAATATAGAATCAGTCAACTTCAATTTCTGCAACAATTCTTCTATAGACGTTGGACACATATATCAGCAGGCGTATGACAACATACGCATCATCAAGGAGACCAAGTGGCCCAAAGAACATCTCGGGGAGTACGTCAATAGGTGAGGCCAGGTAGAGCGCACAGGTGAATAGATAGACAGGCATGCGCTCCCAGGTGAGCAGTGTGAAGAGTCCTCCCACTGAGAACATGTCTGCCCAAACATGCCGCAGGATGGTGGGCAGGTCACGCAATGATGTGATGAACTGTGCGGATGAGAAAAAATTAAGTTTTATCATTGTTGACTAAATGATACTCGTATTTCAAATTTGGATCTTCAATTAGAAACTAATACCCAGTAACTTTATCGCCAAACATCTGTACTAGCTGTGACAAAAAGCACTACTGTGGTGTAGGACTTGTGTCTGGTCAACAGTAGGACATGTGGTGTGAATTCAGGGACCAATGTGTCAGTCTTCCACAAGTTTTGCTGTTGTATGGACATCTTTAATTTGCAGCTAAAATAAAACTGGTGGCAGTGGCGGGATTCCTACCCTTTACTTTTAAAACATCATATTGGGTAATTACAATACAAAGACATACTGTTCTGGCTTTTATGAACATTGTCTTGCCCAGGAATGAACATAATTAGGACCACCTACCCCTCTTGGCTCCTCCAGGAATGTCCTGTTATACTGGATGACTTGCTGACTGACAGAGTCCTGGTCAGGAGATCGCAGGTCCTCTTCACTGAAACACTTCATCAGCAGGGTGACCTGGGAAGGAGATCACGTCACATGATCAGAGCAGCATAAGAACACAGCAGACAAGATATCAACCTTCTCCCTATGGTCTAATCCTACAATAAAAGGAAACTTAATTGCTGCCAGTGGTATTCCTTAACAGGAAGAAGGTTAAAAAGCCAATATACAATAAAAGAAGGTTGTACAATGTATAATCTTTCCTGAATACATGTACTTACTGACTGTCTGCAGTAGGGGCATTTGACAGGTCTGGTGTCTCTGTCCCAGTATCTCAGGATACATGGACCTGTAGGAGGTGTACCAATATAGAGTGAGGGAATGAATGAAAAAGGTCAAACAAATTAATAAATCTGTCAAAAAGGCATAGGTGGCAACTGGCAAGCCTTTACTAATGCTTATGTGGTGTATAGTACACATGTAGTTCGATTGGAGCAGACCTCACTGCCACCAAGTACAGTAGGGCATCATCACTAGGATAGCTTTAAAAAGTGTGTACAGTTAGATTTGCAGAGCCTATGTATATGTGTAACAAGTCATTTAGTGTAATATAGCCAGCTTCCCCTGCGCTACATGCCTGCAAAGCTGGTGTGTTATTCCAAAGAGTGGCTATACCACAGCTGTACAGATACAATACTATTACTAGTGTATTGTTCTTACCACAGAAGACATGCCCACAGTTGGTCTCAGTGGCAAACTTGGCTCTGTCCAGACAGATGGGACAGTCATAGCTGACTCCTGGGTCCCTGGGCCGGCTGTACTCTGAACCAGAGGAGCCAGTTTGGTCCTGGTTTTGATAACCACCTGTTGTACCACCTGCAGTACCATTTGTACGGCCAGGGGGAGCTCGAGGTAGGCTGTTGATGTATTGGTTGAACTTTTCCCTATAGCAAGGACAGATTGAGCTATTGAAAACACATTTCACAGACTATTGTATATGTTGATAAGAAAAATGCTGTATAGAAAACTCCTGTTTAGAATACTAGTATTCACATTGTCACCATGTTATTCTCCTAAATATTTGAACATCCTGTCTACTAAATTGACCTGCAGAATCTTGTTGCATGAAAAGTACACATATTTTTTTTCTGATGAAATGTATCTTCAAGTAGAAAGGTAACATTTGCAAAGCAAGTACTTATAATAATGTTTACCTTCACACTGTCTAGCCCAGCAAAGTAATTCTGTTTACTAGTATTACTCAAACACATTCATATATATGGTCACACAGTCCAATTCTGTCACCTGCTACATAATGTAACACAACACCACAGAAGCATCGGTTACTATGGTGACAGACATCTGGTCCAGGTCATTGACCTTATGTTTTTGGATAACAAGAAGAAACTGAGCAAAAAACAATATGTTTTGCTTCTGTGAAGGTAAACATAATTTATTTTTACACAGACATAGTTACTAACCTGCAGAAGTTGACGACTGTCTGGCCCAGCTGAGGGAAGAAGTAGATGCTGACGAAAACTGCCAGTGCCAGCACCAGGGCCAGCACGAACACCAGCCATAACAATATCACCAACACCACTACTGCAAACTCAAGCAACATGACTAGCAACATGGCGGGTCCTCAGCAAGAAGTTGTTGTTGTTGTCCTTGTTTTAAGTCTAATATCTCGCTAGATGTGGTTTCTTGATGCTGGTTTGCGCATGGCCCAGTTCAGAGTCAAATATTAATTTAATAATTGTCTCTCGAGCTCTTAAAAAGGTATTTAATTTTTGGTGCCAACAACGAAGCTATGCACAGTATAGGGTTCTTGGCAGACCCAAACTGTGCAGTTACCAGGCTTTTCACTATAGAAATCTTTGTTATTCCGTTAGTACACCACAGGTATACGTACAGCGGCCTTGTTGTTTGTCTATGCTTTCAAACTGAGTCATAAAGTCAGATGTTCCAGTGCTTACGTGTACTTCCGGGTTTTCAGTACACAAGGGGAATTTCCAACACTTTCTCTGACGTTGGTTGTCTCTCAAACAAGCAAGTCGAAACCAAAGGGTCTCTTCTGTCCTCCGGCAATGTGGCTACTTCTCAGGAATCAGTCAACTGCAAGTCCTTCGCTTCGATCGTGAAAGAATTTATGTCTTGTAGGCAAAATGTTGTGGGAGGGCAGAATCTTGAGGTGACCAAGTTGAGTCATTCAAACGTGAACCACTCGCGTTAGATCATGTTCTTACTATCAGAAAACGACGACCTGGTCATTAATGAAACATCACCTGCCTGTGATAAAAATTACGGCATCTGTAGCTTCAATAAACTTAAAAAAACAGACAAGAAAACACCAGAGCCCCACAAGTGGGAGTAACCTTGCTTCCGCACAGCTGACTACGGGTCAAAGGTCAAGCAAACCAAGATGGCCTCCGTAGCTGTGTTGGCAGTGTGGTTTGTAGGTTTGTCGGCAGTTTTAGCGCTGTTAAGGTTGTATTTTGTGTTCAGAGGACTTGGGAAAGACAGAAACCCTACTGCAGCATCCAGTGGTTCCATCAGAACGGTAGTTGTTGTCGGCTCAGGTGAGAAATCCGTGTAAAAGTGCGTGGGGAGGGGGCACGTAATTTTGCGAACTTTGGAGTTTGCAAAATATTCGAGCTTATAAATTATTTTTACGTTAAGTATGTATTAATATTTATATTGCACATCTATAGGAGGTCACACGACTGAGGTTCTCCGTCTTATGAGCGGGCTATCAGACAAGTACGCCCCTCGGTATTACATCATCGCTGAGACGGACCAGATGAGTGAGGAAAAAGTCCACAGGTTCGAGAGGGAAACCCACCCAGGGAAGAAGGATTCGGCAAGTCTTTCATGATATTTTGAAACCCTTGTCTTCCAACATGAAGTAATACATGATCTAAAGCATTTGAAAACAGCGCCTGATCTGAGAAATATTATAGATAGATAGATAGACAGACAGGAGTCTAAATCCCTGCATGCTGCTATGAAATTGCAACATGATATAACCCTAGTTACCATGGTGACAGACGTCTGGTTCAGGTCATTGACCTTATTGGTTTGGAGAAGAAGAGGAAACAGAGCAAAAACAATATGTTTGACTTCAGTTAACATAATATTATAATTACAATAGATGCTGGATACTGCCCTTTTTATTGACTTATTGAGAACCAAAGATTGTACCCTACTTTCCTCTACAAACTCAACATAACACTATGTTGTTATCTTCCTGCAGTATGAGATACAGAAGGTGCCCAGGAGTCGTGAAGTGGCCCAGTCCTGGCTGTCAACTGTCTTCACCACCTTATACGCTACACTCTACTCATTCCCTATGGTGTTTAGAATATCCCCAGATCTAGTGAGTCTTATTGTTAAGTTCATTTTTTCACTGACATATTTATGACATTTCAGGACAATGTTATCTGAGTGTTTTTTCTGCATCTAAAGTAGACAATCGGGAATTTATTAAATATATGTTTGTTTTTTTACAGATTCTTTGCAATGGTCCTGGAACCTGTATACCACCATGTGCTGCAGGACTTCTCATGACAGTGAGATATTTTTATTATTATATAATATTATGGGCTGAAAATGGCATCAGGCAGAAAAACAATTGCTGACTGGTCAAGTAATATATGTGGTGCAAGGTTTTTTGTGTGATCAGATATATTGGTGCAATAGGTAGAGTGCTCACCTTGTGTTCGGTAGGTTGTGAGTTCGATCCCCAGCCAAGTCATACCAAAGACTTTAAAAATGGTACACATGTACATGTACATACTGCTTTCTCTGCTTAGCACTCAGCATTTGGGAAAGAGTATGGTAGTTAAACACACACCACTACCAGTGGACTAGCCCCTGTTGTAGTGATTGCACTACTGTGTGGCCCAAGGGCTACTGAATCAAAGATGGGTGCCACCCTATGCACAACCTGGTGGTGAAAGGACTTAAACTTTTATTAACAGATACACATATAACAATTCAGTAAGTTGCAATGATGACTACATAATAAGTATGTGCTGTTCTAAAGATTATTCTTAACCAAACTTCTTCCCACTCCCCCACAGTTCTTGGGACTGAAGAAGGTGAGCCTGGTTTATGTGGAGAGTATCTGTCGTGTGGAGACGTTATCTCTGTCAGCACAGCTGCTCTACTACCTGGCTGATCACCTGCTGGTCCAGTGGCCACATCTGCAGCAGAAGTTCCCACGTACTACATACATTGGAAGGGTCATCTGAATAAACGCTGAAGTCTACACTACAATGGAACATGTTTGCTTGGAATGGAATAAGTTTGCAGGGAATATTTAGCAAAATGTAAATAGACATGATCCTGATGTAGCAAAATGGGTTGTAGGATGATGTGTAATCTGTGTCACACAAACTGGCTATGCCAGCCCCTCACCGTGGGGCTGGCTGGATGTTAACTCTACAATTTTGTATAAACTAACATACTACAATAAATAAATGTGATGCAGCATTTGCTTCCTAAAGGTAAACACTGCTTTTACACATGAGGAGAAAGTTTGTTGGATCTCAATTGTTGTGCACAGCTTTAGATTTCAGAACTGGATTCCTTATGTGTTGATTAGAAATTCTCATAATCTGCAATAAAGGAAATATGCCAATATTGTCTTGAGTCTCAGTTTTTGGTCTGTATTCCAGGGGAATATTCCACACTACTTTAGTTTGTACCAGGGTAGTTTTGTTAATCCTAGCCCTCCCCTGTGTAGATTTTGGTGATACCTTCCCTCTCAGTTCAGCCTTTATTCTATTTCCGAGTATTAAAAGAAAATAGACCATCCTTTCTATACGTTATGGATAGGGAAATCTTCCTCTAGCGGTTGGAATTAGTACTGTAGCTTGTATGGCACTAGTACGTAGACCAACCTGCGCCGGTGAAACCACGACGTCATTGTCATTTATAAGACAGATGGGCACAAATATTAACGATGGAATAGCTTAATATAGAAACAAACCACTCAAGATACAGAATAGTTAGAATATAAGAAATATTGCATCGATTTTTGCATCATTTGCGTTTTTTTAAAGCTGCAATACAAATAAGATGGTGACAAAGTGGGACTACTAAGATCTTTATAAGATCATCCAAGTTGTCGTGGCCGAGTGGTTAAGGCGATGGACTTGAAATCCATTGGGGTTTCCCCGCGCAGGTTCGAATCCTGCCGGCAACGTTTCTTTTTTATGGTAAAAAAATTGATGAATTCAGCTCGTAGAATCGTTAGGCGGTGCTGAAGTCGTCTACAATTCGCATGGCTCTGACATCTTCAGTCCTGTGGTGAAATAAAATGCCGCTGTTTTTGTTTACCTCATATACATGCAAATTATCTGAACACATATGCAAATTATTGGTAGGCAAATCATCCAACCGTCACCCGCTTTTTGCCGACTACTCGGTGGCAGTGACGTCATGGTGATGTTAATATGACCAACAATAGTATCTTATGCTTACGCGGACGCAGTTGAAACATTAATTCAAGGATTTATCCAAATGCTACGCACCTCTCGTACATCGGATTCTCCACAGCCAGCTCGTCGGGTCTGTAGTGGACAAAGTGCGTGACAATTAACGTTAACGTTGTTGTGCTTACTTGAATGCGTTGTTAAGAAAATTCTGTTCTAAAAAAATCTACTCAAACGCTACTCACTCCATGTCTGCCATCTTCACGTTCTCTCCATAGTCGTCCATCAGGATAAGTTCAGACGGCTTTTTAGACCTGAGAAATGGAAACAAAGAAGATCAATGTTTTAAGACTCAGCACAGAGGCTTAGAACTTAATACCTGCTTTCCAGAACTTTTCACAGGTCCAGAGTCGATGTGTTATGACTTGTCGATATCAAAACAACACCCGGCTACCCTCAGAAATGAACACAGGTAAGACTTGAAGGAATGATTTCACGTCGTGTCTAGCTTGTTGCGATAGATACAGCACCAGTTATATAGCTCACCATAAACTATTACTACTAGGCCCTACACACCTTCTTCTCTTGTACAAGACGACTCCAATCACAGCAGCCAATAGTACAACAGCGCCCCCTGCCCCTGCAGCTATGTAAATGGTAGTCGTGTTGGAGGTGTCAAGGTTGGACAGACCGCCAGGTTTCTCGTCCTTTGCCGCAGTCGTGTCGACTAGGCTTACAGTGCTCTTTGCAGTGGACGATAGCTTTGCGTCAGTCACAGGTTTGTAAGTTGTGCTGGCGGTTAGAATGGCTTGCGTGGCTGTAGTCAAAGGGTCTGGCGTTGTTTTATGCGCTGCTGTGCTGTGAGGGTATTTTGTTGGGGGTTTGGAGGGTGTTAGAGTTGTTGCATTCGTATACGTGGGTGGAAATGATGTTGCTGTGTCCGAGATTGGTGTGTTGTAGAATGTGGTGAGCGGCAACGCAGTTGTTGTATCCGGAAGTGACGTGGTGGTTAACGCGTTGGTTGTATCCGGGACTGGTGTGGTTGGTAATGAGGTGGTTGTATCCTGGATTGAGTTGGTTGGCAATGCCGTGGTAGTATCTGGTACAGTTGTTGGCAACTCGGAGGTTGTATCTGGAAGTGAAGTGGTCGACAACGTGGTAGCAGTTTCGGGAAGTGACGTCGTTGGCGGCAATGCCGTCGTTGTATCTATGGCAGTGGTTGGCGATGTGGTAGTTGTGTCGGGGATAGTGGTTTCAATCGTGGTGGTTGTATCAGGAAGTGACGTTGTTGGCAATGTGGTAGTTGTTTCTGGAAGTGACGCCGTAGTTGTGTCCGGGATAGTGGTTGGCACTGCCGCGGTAGTATCTGGGATAGTGGTTGGCAATGTATCGGTTGTATCGGGGATAGCTGTGGTTGTATCGGGGATAGTTGTGGTTGTATCTGGGATAGTCGTTGGCAGTGTCGTGGTTTTCTCCGGGACAGTGGTTGGCAAAGTCGTGGTTGTGTCTAGTATAGTGGTTGCTTGTGTTGTGGTTGTGTCTGGGATAGTGGTTGGCAACGTGGTGGTTGTGTCTGGGATTGTGGTAAGCAATGTGGTTGTAGTTGTTGTCAATACAGTGGTTGTTTCTGGGACAGTGGTTGGCAATACAGTGCTTGTGTCAGGGATAGTTGTTGGCAATACAGTGGTTGTATCTGGGATCGTTGTTGGTTGTTGGCAATACAGTGGTTGTATCTGGGATAGTTGTTGGCAATACAGTGGTTGTATCTGGGATAGTTGCTGGCAATACAGTGGTTGTATCTGGGATAGTGGTTGGCAATTCAGTAGTTGTATCTGGGGTGGTTGTTGGCAATACAGTGGTTGTATCTGGGATAGTTGTTGGCAATAAAGTGGTTGTATCTGGGATAGTTGTTGGCAATACAGTGGTTGTATCTGGCATAGTTGTTGGCAATACAGTGGTTGTATCTGGGATAGTTGTTGGCATTGTTGTGGTTGTATCTGGGACAGTGGTTGGCAATACAGTGGTTGTATCTGGGGTGGTTGTTGGCAATACAGTGGTTGTATCTGGGATAGTGGTTGGCAATACAGTGGTTGTATCTGGGATAGTTGTTGGCAATACAGTGGTTGTGTCTGGGATGGTGGTTGGCAATACAGTGGTTGTATCTGGGATAGTTGTTGGCAATGCAGTGGTTGTATCTGGGACAGTTGTTGGCAATACAGTGGCTGTATCTGGGATGGTGGTTGGCAATACAGTGGTTGTATCTGGGATAGTTGTCGGCAATACAGTGGTTGTATCCGGTAGTGAAGTGGTTGGCAGTGTGGTGGTTGTACTTCTTGCAGTGGTCGCTGCAGTCGTAGTTTCTGCTAAACCTGATAGACAAAAAAGTCCAAACCTGTTAGGCATCGTCAAAACTTGAAAATCTACATAGGTCTTGTACAGATAATCTTTACGTCATTGGTCATCAGCTGGTTTAATCCAGAATATTATAAGCTGTCATATTGCCCTACCTGTACATCCCAAGAGCTCTATTTTCATGCGTATGGTCTGTTTCCAACTCCTAGGGTTGATCCGGAAATATCTAGCGACAATGGGAGGGTCAAAACTGTGGTCTGCTGCGGCACCACTTTCCGGTCGAGAAATCTGTAACAAGAGCGAGTATCTTTTGTCGTCGACTTTGGCGATCTCCATGTTATAATGCCAACATAATTTGCAACAATAAGTTTGGTTTACTAGAAATTCACAGTATCTGTGTTGCTCACCATGAAAGCAGCAAGAGTAATACCGTATACCGTATTTACCGTGCTATCTCCGTCGGCATTGCTGTATATCTGCCAAGCCGCCGAGGTGTCGTCGCGGTAGCTGACCTCAAAAGTTCTGACAAAGTGGTTATTGTTAAACCCTTGTGAGATCAGGTTGGTGATGGTGGTCCTCTCGAGAAGGTCGACTTGGAACCACTGGTTCGCGTTGTTATTTTTAGCTCTGAAGCAAAAGAGCATTATCATGCCTTTGCACTTTCCAGATTGTAATGCACAAATTTTCGACTGATCAGAACAAGAAATGAATCTTTAAAATGGTGGCAATGTTTGTCAAGAATGAGCGTTACATCTACCTCCAGGGGAACCTGCCGTACAGCCGGCCTGCTCCATTTCTAGGGTTGAATCTGTTGTCGTTGTTGCAAACCGAGGATGCCGTCAGTTGAGTGTTGCTGATCCTGCCGTCTTCCATGCCGAGAGGGACGTCACAAGTACCGGCTGGGGCTTCAACATTAAACAATTTTGTTTAATGTGTTGAGCCTATTGTTGTGAGTGTTACGACCAGCATATTGCTAGATTTTGTATTCGGTAAGTGTGACTTAAGACGTGATAAAATGGTACACATACACATACACACGCGCGCGCGCGCGCGCACGCACACACACACACACACACACACACACACACACACACATGCGCCCCCCCACACACACACACGGCACGCATACACATTCAGACACACAAGCAAACAAACGCGCTGACATACGTATACATGCACACATGTACATGTACACACTCAAACACACGCCGTCACACAATCACAAGAACACTAGTGCTGGTAACACACGTAACACACAAACAAACACAATGACACACACAAACACACAAGTATAGACAAAAGTGATACTAACATTCGCATCCTAGCAGTTCTATCTTGATCCGGAAGCTATCACCGTACTGTGACACTGGCCTCAAGCGGAAGTACCGGAGGAACACGGCGGGCTCGAAGTTGTGGAGCACGGTTGCTCCGTGGTTATCCGGCCGGCTGAACACCTGAAACATCGCCGATAGTTCGACATGATATTCATAATTACAAAGTCAAAGTCGACACAGCTCATCTTTTGACTTCTAGGTTTATCCAAGGACATTATACACACAGTAATTACGTGTATAATTGGGATAGTGTTAGAAACAGGTACTTGACAAGACCATGTTGCCTGCATCTCATACGTGCCTCAATTGAGCGATACTCAAGTTGTTAGTTAGTATACATTCTGTACCCATTGTGTGCCTACCTACCATATTCTGTCCCGTTGTTGGGTTTTTGTAGGTCTTCCAATTCCCTGCCGGTTCCTCCCGGTACTGCACCCGGTACTCCTTTGCGGACGCGCCGCTGCCTCCCTGTGTCTGCAGGCCGGTTAGTAGCGTGGTGTTGTACAGGGAGACCTGGAAGAACAGTTGAGAGGCAGGGAGTTGGTCCGTTAGAAAGTACATTTTCCGGGCGCAGCAAAATGCAAAATGTACTTTCTAGCGGACCAACTCCCTCGGTATGTTATCTCTCTATTTGGCCAATTTCTACACTTTCCAGCCGCCCCCCGAAGCCTGGTAGAGGCTACGGCCAGTGCCCTTCTCTCAGTGCATATTTGTTGCCAAAGTAAGTATCAGACACAATCTCTCACCTGAAGCCAGTTGGCCGTACCCCCGCCGCCCGGTCTCCATGCCCATCCCTGGTTCAGCCGGCCCGCCCCGGTAGCCGGGTTGTTGTTGTTGGAGAAGGAGGAGTAAGCCGTCACCTGGCTGTTCAGGATGCGGCCATCCTCCATCCCCAGCGGGTCCGTACAGGACTGGTCCACGTCTGGACAAGTATGCAAATTACGCAATACAAGTATGCAAATTACACAATACAAGTATGCAAATTACGCAATACAGGTATGCAAATTACGCAATAAAAAATGCAAATTACGCAATAAAAGTATGCAAATTACACAAGTATATGTAAAGTTCGAAATAAAAACATGCAAATTACGCAATATAAGTATGCAAATTACACAAGTATGCAAATCATTCTTTACAAGTATGCAAATTATGCTTAACTGATGTACATGTACAATAGGTACATGTATTCGTTCGGAACTTTCGGAAAAGTGCACTTAAGGCATCGCGACAAACCGGATAAAACTTAAGCAAGGTGCATCGTGTGTTGGATAGACCAGGAGAAAATATTTTGTCCAAAATGTAAAAGGAATTAAAAATGATTAGTAGAAAAGAACTCAATTCCAGTGACTGAGAACCATTGTAACCATCTGTAATTTACGCAAGCAATCACCACATTAGCAAAAGAAATACACGAAATAAAAGTAAGAAATGTTGTTACCTGCAGCAGCTATGATTCGAATCGTCGTGATGAAGAACATCACCAAGACAACGGCCTTCGTTGCCATGACGACCTAACAATCTCCTTGTCCTTAGAAATGGACAAAACCGATAAAAGTCAGGTCATCTTTTTATTTGCACGACATGTCCGCACTCGTTACAAAGTTTATGTAAATACGTCATATTGTTTGGTGTCAGACGACCCGCTGATCTTTGGCTTGTTTTGCAGAGTACCTCACCTTCTTATCGCACACCTTTGAACCGGGGTATGGTGACCTCTACTGAGGCTCCAGCCCTATCCAGATACAATGGACTAGATATATATAGTACTCATCTCCAAGCAGAGGCTTGGGTTTGGGCTTATTTTAGCGTTTTTTGTTGCTTTTTTTTTATTGGGCCTTCTTTTTTGCACTGGTATCTTTTTTTTTTTGCTTTTGGCGTAAAAAAAATACCGGTCAAAAAATAAAGCCCGATAAAAAAAGCCTAAAACGCCACAAATGAGCCCAAACCTCTGCTTGTAATTGGAGAGTAGTGAACTAGTAGTTTGCTTTGAAATGATGAAGCTATTACTAGTAGTTACTAGTTGCAATGGTTGGATTTTCCGTTGAAATGCGCAAAAGTCTCTTACTTCTTGATCTATTACGGACGGAGACGTACGTACAAAGGATAAGATATGAGTAACAGTATACGTGTACTTTTGTTAAACTGTTATTGTAATTATACGAATTGGCAACAAGAACAGCAAAAAATAAGCATGTAACAGCGATTTCAATCAAAAGTTTCCAACTCCGTCATGCTTGTTTTCGTAGACCCTTGCCCACATTATAAACTTTGTCACTAAATAGACCATGATCGTTTGGAGCTTGTACACTTATCAAAAAGGAATGCAAATAGTCCTACTCACCGTATTCCGGTCCCAAAACTGCACTACAGCTTGAAGATATCACAGCAGTACTTGCCTGTGTTACGGGCCTCCTCCGCGTAAAGCTTAATGCTACTGCATAACAAGTATGTTGACTATGGTCTGTCTTGGTAAATAAAGCGGGCTCTCGCTGACCTGGCTAAAATATCACACTGATAACCCTGTTTGCTATATCGACCCAGACGATACATTGGACCAAACACTTACGTTCGTGCAAGATTTAAAACGTCTGATTTTCAGAGAAACAGTAAAGCGCTAGCGCTACGTCTTCAGTTTTATAAAAGAAATACTTATGAAAGAAATCTTTGTTAGCTTGTTGTGATAAAAAAAACTGTGGGTTCTGATATTAATTGTCATTTTATCTCCTACTTTTGTTTTGTACACCTATTTGGATTTATACAAAGGATCGCCATGTCTCGTGTTTTAAAGGTTTCCTGCTTCGATTAGTACTCCTCCAGGTGAGCGTACGTTCCTCCGGTTTTGAGCGTACATTCCTCCGAAATCGGCACACTTCTCAGCGGGCGGCGGTTTGAGCGTACACTCCTCCATGTGAGCGGACGTTCCTCCGGTTTTGAGCGTACATTCCTCCAAAATCGGCGCACTTCAGTCGGCGGTTTGAGCGTACACTCCTCCAGGTGAGCGGACGTTCCTCCGGTTTTGAGCGTACATTCCTCCAAAATCGGCACACTTCAGTCGGCGGTTTGAGCGTACACTCCTCCAGGTGAGCGGACGTTCCTCCGGTTTTGAGCGTACATTCCTCCAAAATTGGCGCACTTCAGTCGGCGGTTTGAGCGTACACTCCTCCAGGTGAGCGGACGTTCCTCCGGTTTTGAGCGTACATTCCTCCGAAATCGGCGCACTTCAGTCGGCGGTTTGAGCGTACACTCCTCCAGGTGAGCGGACGTTCCTCCGGTTTTGAGCGTACATTCCTCCGAAATCGGCACACTTCAGTCGGCGGTTTGAGCGTACACTCCTCCAGGTGAGCGGACGTTCCTCCGGTTTTGAGCGTACATTCCTCCGAAATCGGCACACTTCAGTCGGCGGTTTGAGCGTACACTAGTATTATTGTAGTCCTAACATGTGTCGGCCTTCCATCAGTTGTTTACATAATTATATATGATTTACGATGAAGTAATGTGTTCTTATCCGACACTGTACATGTACTGTGTGGATATGATACTTTTGTATCGTACTTCTGCATCGCTGTATTGTGGACATCTTCATCTTGCTACTTGACGATTAATATCTTGTCTACATTCTTTACTCTTCAGTATCATAAAGAACAGGCAACACAACAAGCTTTAGAAAGCCTTTATTGGCAAAACCACTGCCACCAAAGGTTAGTATATAGTATATGCGTTGTAACTATTAGAAGAATACTGTCAACAGTAAGATATAACCTGTATATGTACATTTTTCACTTTCTATCACGTTTGATATGTCAGGTTGTCTCCGCCATGTTCTAGTAGACCTGTGGTGTCCTCTGTTACACTGAGAGGTGGAAAAATAAATAAAATAGAATAAATGATCAATTATTGGATAAAAGTAGAGTACTAATCTGGCCAAGAACATAGAAAATGCAAATAAGCCCTGTTTTCAACACCGGCATCCATGCAGATGTTGGGACGGAAGATCATAATATGTGCTACCAGAACATTAGGATTCATATTCCTATTGGATAGCTTTTACCAACAAGTACAAGTAATCAAATCAAATACAGAGAGTGAAATAATTAAACAATTAAAAGAGTTTAACCAACCTGTCATTTGTAGGATTATCTGATGCATCTATAAACTCCCTGTGTTTGGCAACAAAAATATGATCAGGGCAAAGAATGTGTACATACATTGCAAGAACACAAAGATGATAAAGTATAAAGTATAGAATAGAATCAATGTGAACAGTGGGATTTCAATGCTGTTTACCCCATGTTGTGAAGAGGGGAGCTGTCTATGCTGAATTCCTCCATTAGCATGACTCGGTCAGTTCTCTTAGGCCTGAAATATAAATATGGTTAACATTTCTTAAAAAATAAGTAAAACGGAAAGTACGGAAACAATCTTATCGAACTTTTTACATTCTTCCCGATTTTTGAGCAGCTTTGGCTCGTTACTGACGCGTCACGTGTCCGCCACAAGTGTTTGGGTCATCCTTTCTGAAGAATGCTAAAGAATTGGTATATGTAGTAAAAAGATGTACCAAGCATATGTATCACAAAAATGGGGTGACAATTTGCAACTAGCAACTCACCTCTTCGCCCGCGAGCAGGCCACTAGTGCTATAAAGACAGCAATTACAGCGGCGCCCCCTATCACTCCAACCGTGATGTACAGAATCCGCGCACTTCCACTCCTCTGTTTGTCTCTTTTCTCAGAACTTCTAAACTCGTCCGTTCTGTTTAACTTTCCAGTCGTTGTTCGTCTTTCGGTTAAAGCTGATTGTGTAGTGCCAACATTATTCAATTGTTCTGTAGCCGTTTTCCTAGTAGTATGGTCTTGTTCCATTCTTGTAGAACTCAGTAGAGTGGAACTTGGCACAGTAACACCTTTTGTTATGGATGCCTTCGTTCCAGCTTTAACGATTGGAGACTCTGTTTTCTTGTCTGGTGTTGATTTTGTTGCAGAGTAAAAGATTGTCGAAGCTGTGCTTGGGCTTGAGTCTCCTATAGTTTGAGAACTACTGACTCTCAGTGTGGTAGATTCCGCCAAAGATTTCATAGCCGTAGACCATGCAATAGTTTGAGCTGGTGTCGAAGCAGTACTTGACCTTGATTCCCCTGTAGTCCGGGAATTAGTGACTCTAACTGTGGTAGATTCCGTCAAAGGTTGTTTAGTCGTAGATCTTGCCACGGTTTGTGCTGGTGTCGTCAGTAGTCGAGTAGTAGAGGTTGAGCGGAGTGAAGACTTTTCTTCAGGTGGCAATGCCGTGGTTCTGTCTGTAGGTAGAGCTGTCTGCTGTTCTGTGGTGTGTATGATATCATGTTTGGTTGTTGTTGACTGTGGTACTGTCTTCCTGACTGGTGTTGTTGTGGATATTACCGGTCTGGCTGTTGTAGTTGTGTGCGGGAGTCTGGATGTTGTTGACTGGAACGGAGAAACGGCAGTAGACTGTGGGAGTTGGGCTGGAGTTACGTGGGACTCCGTGGTGACCAATGGCAACGGGGTTGGCTTCCAGCCACCTAAAGATCAATAAAAATATAGTTGGTTCCACAATAATCTTCTCCAAACTAATAAGGTCAATGTCCTGACCCAGACGTCTGTCACCATGGTAACTAGTGTTGGGTTACATCATGTTGCAATTTTGTAGCAGGAGGGATTTCTAAAGACTTCTGTCACCATATATATGAATGCGTTTGAGTTAGAATTAACAGAGCAGACCATATGCGAAAGTAAGCATTATCTATTTGCTTTGCAAATGTTACCTTTCTAGTTGATTTTATTTCTTTTTCGTCGAAGCCCAGGTAGAAGAACTAAAATTTCCCGGCAACAAATCTGAAGCCACACCCACCTGTGCAGCCCAGCACCTCCAGCCTGAGTGCCTGCGGGGCGCCCGGGAACTTCAGGGGCTGAAACCGCAGATACCGCGTCACAACCGGCGTGGCTAGGGTATGTCTCATCACGTACCCGGTACCGGGACTTCCGTCGGACACCTGGACAAGAGAACAGAAGAGCAGAAATAAAAGTTTTGTATCTCACGAACCTCTTGCTCTTCAGGTCAAGATGTTGGCCCGAGAAATATTGTCTCCATCAGACTGAAACTCTGCTTGGAGTAAATAAAAGTAAAAGTAACTAAATTCTGACAATGTTAGTCAACACGCCACCAACAAACCTGACCAGGAAGCTTGTTTACCGGTACTCTTTTTTTACGCAACCAAGTGTTGTATTCAGCCCAAGTTTTGCGTTTGGGAACGCATCTATTCTATTACAGCATCACCCGTGCTGTGCAATAACGTCGGCTGAATGCTTTGTCGTGTCAAAAAAGAGTCTCTTCATTCAGTGACTTACCAACCTGATGCAACTATCACGGATGTAAGATTGAACTGTACATTACACTAACCGTCCTACTGGAGTCGCTGTACACCGTCCACTGATTGCTGTCGTCCGAGTAGAACAGCTGGAATTTCCGGTACCAGTAAATTCGGTACTCAGTCGTCGGCAGGTAGTTGGTGGGCCCGTCCCAGAGAGGCTGTGTCTCCAGCCCGGTCACCACTGTAGGCTGCAGCAGGTCGATCTGTAGCCACGGCTTCTCGTCCCCAGCGTTGGGCAGCCACGCCCCGGGCGCGGGGCCGTGCAGCCGGGCCCGCCACGCCTCGTGCCCAGGGACCGCTGATGACGCCGTCACCTGGCCGTCTGTGATGCCGCCATCTTCCATCCCCATGGCGTGGTAACAGTCGGGATAGACTGAGACAGAGATAAAGTAAAGGGCAACGGTTTAAAGTTTTGAAACCAAGTAAGGAGTCCCATACGCCAATAGACTAGTTCACTTGTTTTTTTTTTATTCAGAAAAACAGTAATATATACAAATGAAAGGACACAGACACAAAGTGATTGCAGCCACTTTTACAATGAAAAATAAAGGTATTTTAGAAGACGTTTGAGAGACCTAGTTGGTGCGTGAGTCGTAACTCCCAACCCAGAGGAAAGAAAGCAAAACAGGACACATACAGCTAAACGCGTTTTGTTTCTGTTATGTAGTTTTGTGTCGCTAACATAATTTTACAGTTGATGTCATAGGAGCAGAGAAACTACAGCGAAAACTAAAAGTTGTTTAGCATTATCAAAAGGATGTTGAGCGGGGTTTCGCCTTGTCTTTCTCAAATATATAGCGGTAGAAGAGACATTTGCGTGGAACTGAAACGTTAGAGTAACACCCCAAGTTGTTATTTACTGTTTTTAACGATTTATCTGGTTCATTAAAAAAAGTGTGCTTACTGTTACACCCTAGAACTTCCATTCGCAGACGGGGCAGCACGCCTGGCCACGTGACCGGGTTGACGCGCAGGTACCTGGTTACCATGGGAACGTGCAGGTCGTGTTGGACGATAGAATCACCGTCTGAGTTGCCTTCCAGAACCTGCCACAATACACACGTTATAACATCGCTCAATGACGTTCTAACATCACGTAGCACCACATAACTATGCGAGTGTTCTAGGCCAGGAAAGGGCTTGTTTGTTTGTTGCATGCCATAGGGTTGTTTCAAACAATCAATCAATCAATCAAACAAACAATCAACCAGCCAATCAATCAATCAATTAATTAATCGATATCACATTGTGACGGTATTGCTTGTCAAAGCTTTTGGCTATGTGTAAATCTTGTGCTAAGTTGGCTTTTTATGTACCATCAAATGTCACTGCGACTGATTCGTGAGCGTAGTTCACCCCCCCCCTCCAACACATACCAGACCCCCCCCCCCAACACATACCTGCCCCCCTCCGGGTTGTGTGTACACTGTCCAGTTCCCCGTCATGTCCTGTCCGTGGAACAGCAGCCTGTAGGACTTGACGTGCCCTCCCCACTTCCCCTGGGTCTGGATACCTGTCACGATCTTCAGCTGGCCTGTTCAGAGATGATAGTGGATAATGAAAATCTGTCCCTTCCTCGGAACACGAAGCATAATTCTAAAACTTGGTAGCAGTACAGATATAGATTTATGATGGATATTTTCGCAATTGCGTATATCATAAAAAGGGCGAAGGGTAGGCCAATCACTATAGTTGTTAGAGCTGACAATCTGTCAGGAGTCCTGTTCAGAGATGACAGTGGATGGTGAAAAGCTGTCCCTTCCTCGGAACATGAAACATAATTCTAAACCTCAATCTATGATGGGTATTTTGGCAATTGTGTGTACAATAACAATAACAAGGAGAATATGAATAAACATTGTTTAGCCTGTTTACAGAATGCTCATGGTAGGAATATGAAGAAATGGATTGACAATGTAAGGGATGACCTCCACCACCTCAACCCACATAACGTCAACCCACAGGATAGACTCCGATAGAGGCAAGTAGCGGGCGAAGGAATAAGATTGAGAAGCATAGAATTTGTCTCACATTTAATAGCCGTGTATCACGAGTACTTGCCAAAAAATGATCTGCATGTGTTTAATTTCGACAGTTCAAACTACATTTTGTACAATAAAGAATGGAAAGGAATGAATGGATGAATGAATGAGTGAGTGAATGAGTGAGTGAGTGAGTGAATGAGTGAGTGAGTGAATGAGTGAGTGAATGAGTGAGTGAATGAGTGAGTGAATGAATGAATTTTTTATGAATTAATGAAGTTTATTGTGAGAGTGAGTGAGTGAGCGAGTGAGTGAGTGAGTGAGTAAGTGAATGAGTAGTAAGTAGAATATTGTGGGTATATTCTATGTAAACCTTTCCTTACCCAGATCCACCTGTAGCCATTGCTGCGTGTCTAGCTGCGCCATGTGCCAAGATCGGGTACCGTTGATCCGCGCCTTAAAAGCCTCGTACCCAGGCTGCGCAGAGGACGCCGTCAGCTGGCCGTCTGCAATAGCGCCGCTCACCAGCCCGAGTGGCTGGTTACAGGCTTCAACTGAGGGTGAGTATAGATGATACATTAATGCACTGAGTTGATTTTAGGAAACACAAAAGGAAATCGAGAGGGAACAAATTTTTATAACTTTACCTGGGATAGAGGGTACTGTCCAACTTGGCGTTGGCCACGGAACTGCAGTAGTAGAGGGAGCCTCTGTCATGGCTGTACTGGACCCTAAAATTAAGCGACAAGTTTCTAAAACGAAGGAATTATGAAGCATCACGCCAAAAAAACAGTTCAAGCAACTGGACATGCCAAGCATATGTATCAAATGTTATCTTATTACCTGGATGTCTAACCTTCACCGATGACGACAACAACATACATACAACTGACTGTGTTTATGTAGACATGGTACCGTTATCTCCAACAGCCATATAGTAGTGTGCTTCACTGTGAGTGAGCCAAAGATGGTTTGAGTACTGTACCGATCGCAATTTGTTCTGTAGTTTTTCCTGTAGACGACGTCACTGCTAAAGACGGTGATGACCCCCTTGCTGGTATTGTCAGGGCGGCAGTGTTCGGCGGCTCGCTGGAAGCGGTGAGGGGTGATGCGGCACTCGTCACCGACACGGCAGCTGGAGCGGCCGTCGCGTTAACGTTGCTCGGCGGACTCAATGGAATTTCTTAGGAAAGAAGAAAAGAAACTTTCTCAAAGCTATTAATCTTATCCCTTCATACTTAGAATAACTTCTTGGGTACTCTGTTATTGCATCTGAATTGATTGTAAAGTAATACACATGGAGTTCAGCTCAGACACCTTTAGTTAGCTTGTTAACTTTAGGCTAATAACACAGGCCGTCTCCGTACTCAGAATGACTTAACTGTTACCTATGTTCATGTACTAGTATCTGAATTGTAACCGACATTGTTAATTATTCATTGTCCAGTTATGAGGGATAGTTATGAGGGTTATAATAGCCTTACGGCTAGCAGGGCAGTCCTGGCTGTATATCTGTTTATACAGTTTAATAAATCACATCAAATCCCAGAAAGATTGCAGCTGGTTTTATAGAAGTTTGTAGGAATCTTGTCGGCTTTATCAGGCCCAGCCTTACCGTTGCAGCCCAGTACTTCGACCCTCATCCGAGGGTACCGGGCCTTCCATGTGTGTGGGTTGAACCGTAGGTACCGAGCTACTACAGGCCGGCTCAGTTCGTGTGTCACCACGGTGTCTCCGTCAGTGTGCCCGTCAAAGATCTGGAAAAAAAGTCATATAACCGCCATAAACCGTTAAAAAACATTAAACCGTTAATAAAGCCTATATAACCGTTGGCTCATGTGGACATGATACAGTTAAATCGTTTGACCTAAAGTTGCAGATATTGTCGTTAGGTCTTAAACACCAAGCATAGATTTCTGTGCGGTAAAGTACCATGATCACTTTCGTTGCCAACAAGCACAGTTGGGGCATCATCACTAGAAAGCTTTAAATATCTCCTGCAATTAAATGTGCAAAGACTGAGTGTGACAAGTCGATCGGTGTTAGATATATATATCTAGCTGCCTCATGCCTGCGAAGCTGTTTTTTTTTTTACGCCGAAGGGTGGTTATACCTAGCCTGAGTGTCAGCCTTGTTAGCTTTCGTCCGCTCCCCAAGATCCACTCCCCGCCAAACTTGGGGAGCAGACGAAAGCTAACAAGGCTGACAGTAATAGGTTATACTGGCTATACCGATACAGATACAGACTATGTCCAGATACAAATGGTACAAATTTCCTCTTTTGTTCGATAGCGTTCACAAGCCATGCTCATTCACGAAATGTAAAACGGTACTGTATACTTTCCACATGCATGATAGGTACACATACCATGTCCTGTCCGGTGCTGTTCTTGTATGTCACAAACGTCGTGCCGTCGCCTGAGTACATCAGCCGGTAGGACTCCACATTCCCGCCCTTCAGCCCCTGCGTCTGCACCCCGGTCACCAGCACGTCTCGCAGCAGGTCTATCTGCAGCCACTGCCCGCGGTCTTCCGGGTCCATCTGCCAGGCCCTCGTGCCGTTTAGCCTCGCTCTCCAGGGCTGGTAGCCGGCTTTAAAACTAGAGGCCGACATCTGGTCGTCTGTAACAGCGCCGCTCTGCACTCCCATGGCAGTACTGCAGTAACTGTCTGCAGGAATAGGAAGAGAACTGGTCGTAGAAAGTGGAAAATCAAATGTACAAAATAATTGTTAGATAACGACTTTACATAAGCCTTTAACCCACCAACATGGCGGACGCTATATTACGTCAAAGTCACGTGAGTGCAAAGACACTGTACAAGGCACGTGGCGGAACGTACTGGGCACGAGCAAAATTGTGATGGAACGCTGACCAAACATCCAAAGAAAACCGTGAAAAATCCGGGTTTCGCATAGCATGTAGAACTCATATATATTATCATGTAAGCCATGTTCACCGTTATGAAATAGTATAGTGTTAGTTTCGATACATAGAACTTTTAAGCATTACTATAAACGTTAGAATAGATATCAGTTAGATATAGTAACTCTAAACAGCTTGCCATACATTCTACCTGTTACAACTGTTGTGCAATAAAGTTTGACATTGACTTTGAAACACCTACAGTCGCAGGTGAGCAGCTCCAGACGTAACTTGATCCCAGGCGGGCTCCAGGAGTGCGGGATGACCCGGATGTAGCGGGCACGGATGGGCGGGCTGACGTCATTCCGCATCGTGTCGCCGTCATTCAGATTTCCCTCAAATACCTGCACGGGAACCACATATCGTATCACATATGCAGCAGAACCAAATGAGCTTTCTAAACATTCTAAACATACGCCCCGATGTTGTGCCCTTGGGAAAGGCACTTTACACGACTTTCCTTACTCCACCCAGGTGTGAATGGGTACCTAACTTCGGTTGGGGAAAGTCGTATTGAGGTCACCTTGTGGCACCGAAAGGCAGCCGCACAGACCCTTGGGACAGCTCCACAAGTGTGTGGAGCAAATATGTTATATATGTATCATGTGTATTTTTTCATTGTTTGTGATTATTGATGGATTCTTATGTGATCCATTGTAAACCCTGCATCAATTCAGCTATAAAAGGCTGCGATTGCACGGGTAATGTTTGACCAATAGGCCAATTATTATTAATCATTCTTGTAGATCAAAAGAGTATTTGACACCATGCCCTTGCTTATAACATCGTCTCAAGATACGGTCAATTGTTATATCGTACCTTGTCACTTCCATCCGGGTTCTTGTAGATGGCAAAAGAGCCGCCATCCGTGACGTCACTGTAGCCTATCTTGTACGTCTCTACCCATATTCCCGTGCGGCCCTGGGTCACTACTCCTGTCACCAGTGTTGGACGGAGAAGATCCACCTATACGAAGTAGAATTGTAACATGATTGTAACAACATACGAAGTACTGCTGTCTTGTTATGTTTACCGAAGGAAAATATACTGTTTTTGCTCAGTTTCGTCCTCTTCTTCTCCAAGCACTGACCTCTGCCCTGGCCAATGAATTGATTTGTTGACGTCTGTCACCACGGTAACTAGTGTTGGGTTACATAATGTTGCAATTTCATAGTAGGAGGGATTTAGACTCCTGTCACCATAACGAATGTGTTTGAGTAAGAATTAACAGAGCGGACCATATGCGAAGGTAAACATTATACATTGGCTTTGCAAATGTTACTTTTCTAGTCTTAACAACATCTTCATTGAACCAAAGCCGACGTAACTGCTTTTAAATCAAATTTCAGATAGATACGTGCATGACAAAAATAGTAACATCAAGAAAAAAAGGTACGTAAAAAGCAACAACACAGTTGCTGTTTCCTTCGAAAATCTTTTGGTATGTCAGGAACGAAGTAGACAAGAAAGGAGGGACAGGCTTTCAGTGAGTATGAATACTAGTATATTGTAAGAATACTAAACTTATAATAAGATTTCAAAGTGATTCGTCATTAATTATCATGATGAAGGCGACAGTGGTCGTTGAAAATCTCTGTGTCATCCTTGTGTTGGAATAAAGTTCAACATTTTACTATATACTACCAACACAGATGAACTTTCGTGATAAGCTTATAATCAGTGTGATAAAACAGCCAACACTGTTTTCTGACCTGTATCCATGGCTGGGAGTCTGTGAGGTCGGGGCGCCAGCCTCCCTTGCGGAAGTCGAGGCGGGCCATGCCCGGCCCCACCGCGGCGTTCTTCTGGCTCGAGGCGGAGAGCTGATCGTCCGAGATCTCCAAGATGTCCATGCCCAGACCGAGAGGTACCGGGCAGGTACGGTATTCATCTGTGAAATGTCGAGGAAAGCTATGTCTAAATAAAGCTAGATTCAACGTAGAGATTACCTGAAGTCGACTGGCATACATGAGTTTCATAGCACAATGAAGAAACATTTGTATGTGTCAATTTAAACTCTGTGCACTGAAGAAGCCACACAGGCGAAACCGGTCGTGTGACAGGCTAAATGAAAGTTCTAAACGAGAACTCTGCGGCTCCAGATGTCTTACTGAGGGACGACTGCATGTGCGAGATGTCGGTTAGCTTGTATGTGTCAGTCTTTGTTCTGTGTTTGACTCTAAAGAAACTGTATCGTTCTTCCGCACAAAACCCATGGCCACATATGTAATACAGCATGAAGAGTTGATGAGGGCAAACTTATGAACTGAAAAGAAGATTGTCGATGCTGCAGAAATTTGTTACGTGTAATCCACACGTACCCATCTGTCCACACCTGTCTCCATGGAAACCGTCCTGACAGGTGCAGGTGAAGTCGTGCACACCTTGGTCGTTGGTACAGGTGCTGTTCTGTAGACATGGCGTCCGCAGGTGGGAACAGTCGTCTGTACAGGAGAAAAATGGCGTGCTTCAGAATGACCTACTTGTATGTTCAGTGCCTTCCTCTTGGAGAAAGCTACAGCCTACATGAGTTTCAGTATCGTGACTGCTTACATGAGATAAAAAAAAATTAAAACATTGAATGTTACAAGAATCTGACTTGCTGTAGCTTTCAAGGCTATTGAATACGTATACGTCAACGAATACGAAACCAATGAAACGTTATATCTCATTTATTCGATACTCTACTGTAGAACCTTAAAGCAAGTTCTGTGACCAAAGACAATGTACGATTATATATGATAATGAAGGAAGTCGTAGGCCTTTTTCCCACCAGGATAAAATTGCCCGGATTCGCTTTGATCCGGCTCGGTCCCGCTCGATCCGGCTCGGAACCGGATCAACGCGAATCGAATCCGGCTCGATCCGGACAATTTTATCCTAGTGGGAAACGGGCCATACATACCTTTACACGTGAGGAGGTCCAACTTGAGCCGTATGTCGTCCGGCACGGTGGAGTTGGTCGGGTACAGTCGGAAGAACCGCGCGGTCAGCGCAGACTCAAAACGGGTAGTGGTCGCCTTGACGCTGTTCACGGGAAATTGCTGTCAGGGAAAAACAAGTATTTCATCATTCCACAATTATTACCATATCATTATGATATTTCATTGTTTTGCTGAGTATCTGATCATGAAATTTTTCACTGCAACTTATTGCTCGCACGTATTACTAGGTCTTAACTTTAGATAGATAATAGATAAATCTATCGCACAACAGTTGTACAGGGTATAAGGTATGACGTCTACTATAGCTAGTACATATTAACTACATGTTCATAAGGCTAACCTAACTAATACAAGAGTGGGTGCCAAGTATGGGATAGGTATGAACTTTTACAATCATTGTAGGAGTTTCTTATATCTATACAGTCTTTTATGTATATCCCTATGTATAGCATGCAAGTTCATTAAGGCAAATGCTGGAATAAAACTTGATAGTCTAGTGAGTAGTGAATTGCGTTTATCAGTATATTTAGGACATACAATTAAAAAGTGATATTCGTCCTCAATTAGCCCTGGACAATATGGACAAACCCTCTTGATATATTACTCTCCAAGCAGAGGTTTGGGTTTGGGGTTATTTTTAGCATGTTTGTAGGCTTTTTTATCGGGGTTTCTCTTTTGCACTGGTGTTGGGTTTGGTGGGAAAAAATTCAGTGCAAAAGAGAAACCCCGATAAAAAAGCCTAAAACACGCTAAAATAACCCCAAACCTCTGCTTGGAGAGTAATGATATGTATGATAATGTAACCAAAACGTACGATATCCCTGTACGAAGCCGGGTCTGTGTACGGGGACCATTTGACTCCGTCCAGACTGGAGCTGACGGTGAAACTCGTGACGTAATACGCCGACCCCTGCTGTCTAATGCCCTCCGTGATGACACCCACGACTGTGGAGGTCACGTTAAGGTCAACCTGCAAGAGATATTACCACTTGACTGTTACGTTATGCAAGAATACTCAACCATCAGATTGCGCAGACGTATGTAAAGAACAACTGCAGCTATGCCACATTTGACTCAACCATCAGATTGCGCAGACATATGTAAAGAACAACTGCAGCTATGCCACATTTGACTCAACCATCAGATTGCGCAGACATATGTAAAGAACAACTGCAGCTATGCCACATTTGACTCAACCATCAGATTGCGCAGACATATGTAAAGAACAACTATGCAGCTATGCCACATTTGATACCATAGTTGTATCGCTATGATAGTGGAGATGTCGCGCATTGTTAAGATCACGCCACGTTTAGTCTAAAGAGTCAGGTGTGCCAAAGAATTCAAACGATTTTATGGAATTCTTACAGATTTTACGGCATTCATACGAATTTTACGAAATACATGCGATACATTACAAGGACACATACGATCCTTACTAATTTTGGTGACCTGCGCCTGAATCACCAAAAAGTTGTAAGGATCGTATGTTTCCGAGTAATGGATTGTATGTATTCCGTAAAATTCGTATGTTTCTGGTGATAGATCGTAGGTTTTTAGCGAAATTCGTATGTTTCCATGTAATGGATCGTATGTATTTAGTAAAATTCGTATGAATTCCGTAAAATTCGTTTGAATTCTTTGGCACCCCTGGTGAGGCGCAACGAAGTCGAAAGTATTCTTTAGCTTTCAGCTCGTACCCCTACTAGCACCTTGCCTTGGCAATGACTAAAATGGAAACGCTAACATTATCTAGCTAAGTCATATCTAGAGACGACAGAAGTGGGACTCTAAGTAACCTTTACACACACACACCTGTATCCAGGGATGGCTGTCGTCTGCGGATGGTCTCCACGGAACAACTCCGTGCAGTCTCCCAGCGCCACCTTGCGGGTCGTTCTTGTCCAGCGCCGAGGAGACGGACAACTGGCTATCCGTGATAAATCCATCCGCCAGGCCAACCTGGTGCCCACAACCAGCAAGGAGAACTACGGGGAAAAGTCACAGAGTACTAGAAAGTCGTCCTTTTGTAAATTAGATTTGAATAATAACGACATCAATCGTTAGTTTTTCAATAGCCCTAATATTTCGCGTCTTCTACTTTTTCTAGTGACTGGCATTGCTTCTTCACCAGTTTTGCTATTTTAAAGAATATCAACGACAGACATGTTGCATTATGTTCTGAGTGTTACTTACAGTCACAGTGTTGTCCCACATACTCCGCTGGGCATTCACACCGGTAGGCATGCGCACCCTCCAGACTGACGCAGGTGCCACCATGGCGGCAGGGGCTCAGGTTACAGCCACCTGTAACAGGTGAAGGGATTCAGGTTACAACCACCTGTAACAGGTGCAGGGATTCAGGTTACAACAACCTGTAACAGGTGCATGGTATCAGGTTACAACCACCTGTAACAGTTGCAGGGATTCAGGTTACAACCACCTGTAACAGTTGCAGGGATTCAGGTTACAACCACCTGTAACAGTTGCAGGGATTCAGCCGTTACAACCACATGTAACAGGTGCAGGGATTCAGCCGTTACAGCCACCTGTAACAGGTGCAGGGATCCAGCCATTACAACCACCTGTAACAGGTGCATGGATTCAGCCGTTACAACCACCTGTAACAGGTGCAGGGATTCAGGTTACAACCACCTGTAACAGGTGCAGGGATTCAGGTGACAACCACCTGTAACAGTTGCAGGGATTCAGGTTACAACCACCTGTAATAGAGGAAGGGATTCAGCCGCTACAGCTACCTGTAACAGGTGCAGGGATACGGCCGTTAGAACCTACGCCGTTGTACGTGGCTACGAAATGGTTCCAATGGTTGTATTGATCGATGTTATCGGCTAGGTATACCTGTCCGAAAACTAGACCGATTCCGGCAATACTTTTGGCGTGACTGCACTGGGCGCTTCTGCCATTTTTGGACAAATTTTCATCTGGGGTGTTCAAAGCATGGTAGTTATTACCATGATTCAAATGGTTGCTAAAGGTAGGCGGGTCTGCTAATCGGTCTAGTGATACAGAAAAAAAGCCAACCGTAGAAGCACGGTGGCATTCAAAAGCCACAAACTCTAGATCTAGATCAAATTTTGCTCATAAAAGACTACCATGTGTGGTCTGATATCCTCTGGACTCGAAGTGGAAGTGCAAACGGCTTCAGAACACCGTCATACTTTCATGGGAGGGGTCTAGACCGGACGGCACACTTCCGTTCTATTTTTACTACTTTTATTTTTCATCACTTATTTTATTTTTCATTACTCATGTAGAACATTGTAGAAGTTCAGCTTCCATAAGGACCCTGTCCGTCTCTTTGTAAATTTACAGAATTCCAAAAACAGCTCCTTACTTCAAAATAACATTTCGACCAGCTGTTTACCCTCTTACAGAAAATTCGAGAGCTAAATTCTTGGCACAAAACCATCCTGGTTGTCCTCGTGCCATGCAGTCCGGGGTCACACCGTTCAGACTAAATCACTGTCTCTATAGGAGAACATATGTTTTAAACTCGTGTTTTGTCGCCAAGATTTAAACTGATTTGATTGTGATCTTTGCTCAAAGTGACAAGAAGGTACACCGCATCATGAGTAATCGGTACTACACATATTAAACTTTTCACGTACGTGGTTGTTACCTTCGCCAAGAAGGTTATGTTTTCAGAGGCGTTCGTGTATGTGTGTGTGTGTGTGTGTCTGTCTGTCTGTCTGTCTGTCTGTCAACACGATAACTTGAGAAGGCCTTGATGGATTGTCCTGATACTTGGTAGGTGGGTAGGTCTTGATGAGACCTCAAAATGATTAGATTTTGGACCCCCTAGCGGCTTGTTATGGTACTGCAGCTGAACTTCCGGTTTTGATATCTCATGATCTAGACATGTTATGGTGATGAAATTTAAATGGTAGGTAGCTCTTGTGCTGGGGAAGAAGTGACGTGAGTTTGGGCCCCCTAGTGGCTTGCTCTGGAACTGCAGGGATATATTCTTGAAAATATTCAAAAGAGGATAACTCAATAACTGGTTGACGGATCGTCGTGATTTTTGGTATGTAGGTAACTTACGTGATGCTTAATATAATTATGTGACAATTATGCAAATATGGATGTAATTTGCATAATTTATGGGGAAATTCTATAAATCAGCTGCATTCCATAATACGACAATTGAAGCTTGTGACATTGGTAATTGACAACGAGAGAAACACAGGCAGATATTGATTATGTTAATAATGACTTAATTTGCATAATTAATGAGAAAATTTTATAATTATGTAATGATAACTGCCTGTAATTTCATACTTATGGTATTTGAAAGTTAAGTTGAGGTGAACATCATTAAACATAATTGATTCAAATCAGGACCTCATTTGCATAATTTATTAGGAAATACTAGAATGCCTTGTTTGTTTATATAAGACTGTCTTTTGGTTGAGATTATGATAAAATGATATAATTCATGAAAATTAGGTTCCTATTTCTTAAATCAGGGGGGAATAATCTAATCTATAATTTGTCAGTCATTTGGCGAAGGTATGAGATCGGGGAACTCTAGTTTTGTATGCTTACATAAAGATCCGACTGTGCCATTTGGCAGTAGCTGCGGGTGATTTTCAGTAACAAATTATATATATTGTGCCTGAGCCTTTAGTATTTGGAGTACTTTTCATTCGCCTTACTCCTGGATGATGATCAAGGGGATATTGCTTTGTCAAAAGATATGTTTGCTATCATAATCCTTCTAGGCCTACATGGATTATGATAACAAATGTTTTGAAAAATTTTAGGTCAAAAGTTCAGTAGGACTAACACTAGTAGCATGTAATTACCAGGCCCCCGGCGGTGTGCGAAGAAAGATCTTCTTGATTACATTCCTACATCATGATGTATCATAATAACAAACTTTTCTTCGCACCTTGACTCTTATTGTTTGATTCACAAGCAGATGTTAAGTTGGAAGGTTGTAACGTTTTTAGTGGCTGTCAGAGACGAATGGAAGTCAGAAAGGAAAGCTATACGATGTTCAACATTCCGTCCCGTTCTCCTTTAGCCTTACATGACCCCACACCGATCTCTTCAAGTCTTTTATAGTGTTTATGGCTATGTTCTACAACTTTTAGTTCATTCATATCACACATCTGTGGGGCTCTCAGTTTATCGAGGAACACAAAGTTACCATACACGTATCACCAAGACGGTGTTTCGAGGTATCTTTATAATAAATTGATCTCCAAGCAGATCATAGGGTGGCAAGTCAGTATAGATTGGCCAGAGGAGTGTCCATTAGCCACCGAAGCTATTTGAAAGGTAGTCTCTACCAGACTCCTTTGCAGGCTGAATAAATAGTAGAAATCGGCCTAAAAATGGGATATAATTGGCCAGAGGAGTTTGCCGGCCATAGAGGGTCCAGTTTGCTTGCAGGCCCTTATGCCGATTTTTACTGTGTATTCGGCATGCAAAGGAGTCTGCTGGATCGAGACTATTTGAAAGGACATGTAAATTTATATTTTTGATGCGTCTAAACAAACCCTGTGTCACAAACATGATCTGTCCCCACATTTTCTATTGTACAAAAAAGCGAGAAGAAGTTGACCACTCTGTATTAGCTTAGTAGCTAGAACACTTTGTATTAGCCTAGTATAGTACGTTTGTTATGTGTCTGTTAAGTCTTGACCTGTACCTAGCCCGTCGTGGCATGAATGTACAATAAAGGTATTTCATTATCAAAAGGAAGCAGCGTACCTGCTAATACCTCCCAGCTTCCGCTCAACAGCACGGCACACACCCAGAGAAGCGCGCCCCGCGGACACGCGTAGTACTGCATCTTGGCAACCACCTGTACAGAAACACGTTTGAGCAACGCCTGGCCTTCAACTAAGGCCTGGATGCCTTTAAACACGAGGGAGTTGGCAAAAACACGAATTGCATGCCATATGGTGTCTCAAGCCGAGGTCGTATTTTTGGCGCTAAGCTCGAATGGTTGCAAACCAGTAAAACTGGTTGATCAGTACAGATAGGACACTGAAAATTGCATAGTACGACACATGTTTTGTGTGGTGTGGGGACATGTGGCCTCAGGCGAAGTTTTATATACAGGGTTTAGAAACTGGTTTATTGCTAACCCTTTCTCCTTTAACAGCAATGCACGGAATAAAAAGACTCACACGTTCTTAAAACGTTAGCATTTTCATGCCCTGCAGATTACAGCATGGTCCTGACTTCAGTTCACATGTGAACTAGTAAATAATTACTGTTTTGAACTCACCTGCGTCAACCACCACTAGGCCCGAGTCTCTCACACAGCAGCGTAGATAGGCCTAAAGATTCAGCAAGACAGAATACTGCTGGCCTGCACGCACAGAGAACATTCACTGATATTTAGGGTTCCCTTCCCCTTTGGTTGGATTCTACCGTTTCCTCAGTTGTGATAAGATTTCTCCTAACAAAGTTGTGAAACAAGCACCACCGATATCTGTGCTACAATGGTGCTGAATAACATTACGTACTAGTACCCCATCCGCACAGTTCAGTCACCCGAGACTCCCCACAGGCCGTCTTCAACCTACCGTGCATAAACAACAGTAAGTGTTGGTAGAGATAAGGTAATGACTTCAAGATGTTGCACAAGCCTGGTTAGCGAGGTCAGCCCGCGCGCACTAAATTTTCGCTGACAAGGCAGCTGACACCGTAGCTGAAGTGAAGTGACGGGAGTTTGCTATTATAACTGTGTGTTGACTAGACAACCACTATATTGCGCAGGTAAAAAGGGAGCATGCAAGTGAAGAATTGTTTACTGCGCAAGGTTTAGTACACAGTGAACCAGTAACACCTAGCGTCAGTGCACAGTGAACCACAGGCTCTGAACCAGTACTAGTAACACCTATCCTCAGTGCACATTGGCCTTAACTTATCTTGGAGACAATCTGCTGAGTCGGCAAAGTCTACATTCTTGGCAGGTCTCTCTTAACACTGAACGTTAATTTGGGCACGTAGTCGGGAGAGGGGACCAGAGGATACCATAGGGGTTCTGAGAAAAGTTGTCATGTCAATGACGGATGCTGAAACTGTGTTGTTTTCCGACCGCAAGACCACAACTACACTGATACTGTGGTATCTTTTTTCCGGATTAATATCAGCTAAAAAAACACATATTACAGCAGCAGATCGTCAGACGATTTTGCATACTGCATACTGACTTCCCCCTCTCAACGTCCTTGTCCCTTCTCGAAAAACCTGAGACGATGTCCTAGCTTACACATACTTCATACATCGGAAATACAGGAACAAAACCATGTGAGACATAAAGACGAACAACAGAGATTTTAAAACTATCAAAAGCTGTATACGTAGAAGATAGAAAATGTACTGAAATGTTATAGAGTTGATCTATATGTGATACACTATAGGTGATAGGTACTTACCAAAGAAGACGACGACGCAGAAAAATATGGTGTAGCAACTACAACTGTGCCAAGTATGCCAACAGACCTTGGGAAAGGTTGAACGTTCTGCCGTGTGGGATGAATGTCAAAGCCCGGTAGATGTAACACAAGAAGTCCCGCCTCGAGCCGCAAGCTTATCGCACAGGGACCAGACATCCGCCACGGGCCGCCAACCACCTGGCAACCCGGCTACATTACAAATGTATATATATAAGCACGGAAAATGTCATGCATAGTGTGAACTTTGAAAAAATAGAAAGAGATGATGTAAACAACTCATAGACTACTGAAAGATTAGGTTTCCGCAAGGAGGATAAAAGCTGTCCTTGGTTTCCGGACAAATCGTACTTTCTGTACAGTATTCTGGCGTTCTCAAAATATCCTTCTCAGTGCACTATATAACGGTCCGAATCAAATGGGAGAATGAGGGAATTGCGTTTGATATGTCAAACTCTGAAATCTAGTAACATCATCTGAAAATCTACGCTTTATCTGCAGGAAAAAAATATTATTTTCCTTCCCAGTTCTTCTCTTCCTTTCACAATTACACGCACGCGGAGCTCCACTAGGCATTGGTGACAAAAAACGACAAGAACGTTTTCCTACTTGGATAACATACACATACACCATCACGTAACCAATCAGCATCAAGATTGCTAATCCTATAAGGTACAAGAGAGAAGGCAGATTGATAAAAAATGAATGAATGAATGAATGAATGAAAAAAACGACTAACGCTAAAAATACAATTTCACAAAAAAAAGGATCCAGCTGCGGTAAATTTTACTTGGATCGCTAGGGGTCCTCAATGACACGTGAGGATGACTAAACAAGTACTACATGTAGTATATTGGTCTCGATGCCATCATTTGTGTACACCTGTATACCGTGGCTCCCATACTCGGTGTCTATTTTCTCTTAGCACATCCCCATTTTCGAGTGGATGCTTGGAAAAGGCGCATATAATGAAGAAGATTCACAGATTTGCCCATTTCAATTTCACACAAAAAGAAATGGATCATTCTATTCAATGTCCTTGTTCTATTCTTGCAATCAATATCTTTTTCCATACAATTATTGCTTTAGGTTTTAGAACTACTAACAATGTATCATAATGCGTGTGTAATTAGTATACTAAGAAGTTTTAAACCATAGTCACATAGAGGAATGTATCTAAGGCTTGCCTACTGAAAGTAAACAATATCTTTTTTAACCTACAGGATAGATTATATCCCTTCTGAACTTAATACACATTGAGACTTTACATGGTTGAACAAGCAGCCTTGGTCCACAACAAAATACAAATATCCATTTCACTGATGGTTGTGCCAGGAAGAATGACTTTTGGCACCACTACATGCACAATACAAACTCAGACAGTCTCATCCAGTGCTCCTGGTTTTCTTTTGTAGTTCAGTTTAACAATTATTCCAATATTAAACCTGGAAGCTTTTATCAAAGGCAGAGTTCAAATAAGATAAATAAGGTTATACCATGGCCACGTTTCTTTTGAAATTCCAATGAAATTTAGCTTCAGCTAAACTACAATGTACTTGGAAGTTTATGAAGAGACTGTTATCAAAGAAAGAAATAATATCTCTGTGAATTAATTAACTATTTTACACCACCAAAAATATAATGCAATGATTTATATACATACGTTACCACATCTGTTCAAGCCATAAATGTACATCTGTTAACAGTTCATGTAGGGAAGTTAACCACACCAACATACAGCTTTCACATATTTATAAAACAAGTAAATTAAGCACTACCAGTAATACCAATGCAACACAGACACACATGAGTGTATATAGTCATGGACTTGCCTATCATACAAAGCTCATCACAAAAAACATGAATTTTGAGGCTTTTATGTTCATCTAGGTTGAAAAATAGTACTCTAATAACTCTGATGTTCAAGCATAATAGCCTTCAGTTAGTGTAAGTTACAGACCATCTCCTCATCATACACTTACATCTTTCTAAATGTCTCTTCTATATTCTTTAACTTACACTCTACAGCTTCTGTACTACATCCCCCTCTATCTAGGGCTCTAGCCAGCTCGAATTTTTTTTCATCAGCTCTGGCTCATGATTGGACCTGGGTGGAGAGTGCTCTACACTAGTGCTGTGTACCTAAACCCATGTTCAGGTCCAGGTCCGGATTCAAGTCCAGAGGTTTAGGTTCTAAGTCTGGACCTAAACCCAGGGCATATACAAAATATGGGACTTCTCAGTGAACATTTCCCAATGGAGAATGGGGCATTTTTACCACAAAATTTTGTAGCGAGCACTGAGCTACCAGGGTTTAGAAGCAAGATATGTTGTTTGCGGGGCATGTCTGCACAAAACTGTAGCCACATAATTTATGGAGGCCGACACTTGACAATGCCCAATGGCAATGTTTTCTTCATTTTGCAGCGCAAATTTTTTACTTTTGAAGACCTCAGGTGGACAAAAAGGGGAATGTGAATTTTTTTTTTTGTAAGTCCGGAACTGGTTCCAGACATTCAGGTTTTTTGGGACTTGAACCTAATACATTCAACGAGTTCCAGCAAACCAGTACACATCACGACTCTACACTACACTACAGTCCTGTTGTCCTGCCAGTTTCCCTACAGGACAGCCTCCTTGCACCTGTATATCCACTCCTGTCTGTCATTGCTGGGCAGGATGTGATGTCCAATCTGGAAGGAAAAATTTCCACGTCAGTCACAACTTCAGAATGCAAAGCAGTCCAAATTGTGCAGTCATTTTTACCATTCTACATGTACAGCCATCAGTAACCTCCATTAACATTTATCTTTCTGATGTGTTACATGATGTGTTACTGTGTTACTATACATGGTGTACAATGATGTACCGACTTCTAAGTACCTAATATCAGCCAAGAAAAGAACAAGAAATACCCATGCCTTCAAGTACCAAAGTTATCAATCAAGGATTGAGGTGTTCAAGAATTAATTCTTTCCTAGAACTAGAGTGGAACTCACTGTCACCAAGTACAGTAGGGTATTGTCATTAGATAGCTTTAAACAATGTTTAGAGTTAGATGTTCAAGGGTTAGGTGTAACAAGTCGTTCGGTGTAATATAGCCAGCTGCCACCGCGTCGTGTGCCTGCAAAGCTGGTGTGTTACAGCGAAGGGCGGTTATGCCAGCTATACAGATATGTTTGTTGTACTGATACAGATACATGTATCCACCACTTTGAAAACAGTGTGTTTGAGAGATCTCTAGAGCAGCAGCCCTCAGGTATGCACAGTTTAGATACTAGTATGCAGCAGTGCATTAGATTGGGGGATGTTGTATGCATATGCTTAATGCATTTTTCCAGGGTGACAGATATATGTGTCAGCATGGCAGAATTACATCTACATGTATGTTCAACTTTTAACCCTTGTTCTGCTATATCGTACATATGTATACAGGGTGCTATATAGATGGTACTGTATGTGTGACCCATATAGTGTATGTATGGGCCCAGCAGGACAAGGGTTAATTACTAGACTTGAACTCCAATGCAACATTCAAATGTACATGTATGAAGGATGTTCACACTACAAAATGCAACATTTCAAGAGGAAAGAAGGAGAACATGTAAGTCTCCACCCACTGTGGTTTTTTTAGGTGGAACCTCTGCAGTGTAGTCCAGGTCGTCTCTGTGGCTGCTGCAGTTTTTACTCCTGCTGCAGTCCAGCTGCACCGCAGCCTTCCTGCCAGCCTGCAGGCAAGAAGAAATTGAATTGACACAATAAAGGGTTGATGTTCTCTAGTAAATGTTGCTTTTTCTCTCATACTTTCCAAAAGTGCAGGTTTTTCTCACCATACATACATCAAGGTACAACTTCTTGTGTAACTCATGGCCTCAGAGTCTGCACAGGGTACTGTGTTTTCTATTGATGTTCCAGGTTTGGTTTGGTTTGGTTTGGTTTGGGTTATTCCAATCTCCATTTAGTGAATACAATCACTATAGTCTTCCTGGGGTCCATTAAGATACAATGTAATACAAAATAGTAGTAAACTACATTAGCAGCTGTAATGATCATGACGTATTTGTTGTACATTCAGACTGTACTTGATGCAGCTGTTACGATAAATTACTTCTGTAGATAGTCTTCACTAAAGCTCCCCTCCAAGTGTATAAGTCCCTTACATGTATCTTCCTGGATAATTAGACAGATTGTTGAGCAGTACCTTGTTCTCTACAGCTGTACTGATGCGGGAGTCGGTGCTGTAAGTGTACAGGACCACGTCCTTCCCTCCCTTCAGCTCACGAGACTCTCCTTTACTACTGATGAACCTGCAGACAGTACAATTATAGTACACTCATCAACTTCCTCTTATGTTCCAATGGGGTTGTGTGGCATAAATGGTAGCGTGTTCGGCTCAGGACCAAGAAGCCGTGGGTTCAAATCCTACCATGTCACCGATACAGTGCCGGTAAACGGCCTTTTCAGGCGTAACACACCAGTTTTGTACAATATAAGTACAAGCTGAGTAAGACCGGACTGTAAGGTTTGAACAACTCACACCGGGAAGGACACCTACTCTTTTGGTAAGTGCAGTGGGTTCTTTAACGTGTGTGGGGTGTGGCTCTCCCCAAACACAGGACCTCCATTTAACGTCCTATCCAAGGGATGTCCCTAGCCGAAGCTAGGTACTCATTTCCACCTGAGTGAAGTGAGGAAAGTCGTGTAAAGGGCACAAGATTGGTGACATGGGCAGGATTTGAACGTGCTACTGACTGCGCCACACGACCCCACTGTTTATGTCACAGTACTAAAACAGCATGCTGCCTTACAGTGTAGGTCTCTTATAGCAGTGATGGAAAAGTTTCATACTTGCACATGGCATCCTCAACATCTTCATTGTCCTCCAGCAAACCCTCCAGGACCATCTTTGGTTTACACTCTTCTGCATAGATGTCAATCACAAAGGGACAGGCCTGTATTGCAAAACATAACATAATGTCAACCACAGCTATGATTTACATATAATCAAAATAAACACTAATTTGTTCAAAGGAAAAATCCAAGGAAAAATCTACAACATATTTGTTAGTTTACCTCATCTTGTCTGAGGGCTTTGTTGTATCCCATGCTGCTCAGCGTTACCCATAATTCCTCTGTGTCCCCCTCGCTGTCCTGAGCCTCCATCAGGTTCAGGTCTGTGAAGCCCTTTCTGGTCAGCTCCCCTTTCTTCAGCTCGAAATTCTCTGTCAAAAAAGCAGATCCACACAACATTTTTAAATATGCAAGAGGAACTATATTTTTGGCAACGCCTCGGGGGGGGGGGAGCCTAATGGTACAGTATTGTGTGCAGTTTGCAAGAATTCTAGGAATCTAACAGGAATTTGATCCACAGGCATTGAATGTCCAGCTTTTTTCTAGTCTGCAAATTTTTCCACTGTGAGAGAGAAAACAAATCACTCAGCTGGCTGTTCAAACAAACAAACAAACAAACAAACGTTACCTTCCACGACCTCCCATGCCTCGTCGTCCACCTCCTCCCCGCTGGTGCGTACCTGGAACAGGTTAAACTCCTCACGACTCAGCAGGCCATTCCCATCAAGGTCCAGGATCTCAAAAATGTCTGTCAGAGTGTCCCTAATGCACGTCAAGAAGAAACACAATCATGAGCTCTAGAAGATTATACAATCATGTGTTAGTAAGTCTACTAAGTACAGTGTACACTTACAAGAAAAAACACAATGAGCCCTAGTGGATCATCTAAGTCTACTACTACAGTGCACACTCATCAGCATCAGTCAGTCGACAGTGTACACTAAGGAACCTGGTCCTCTCCAGACCTAGTCCAGGCAAATATCCGCATGTTCAATGCTATTCCACATAACTTTGTATGCAGGTCTTCAAGGTAGTGCTTATACTGCTACTAGAATACAGAAATAAAGAAATGGTATGTGTTGAACAAAAAATCTGTATTTTGAAAATTCTTTACTGTATGATGGTACATACAAAATTTAATGTAGAGTTTTTAAACTCTACATTAAAGAATTTAAAAAGTCTAGTTTTCCACCTCCCTGACTAACTAATTAAGTAAAGAGGATATTTGAAAGTGGCTATTCTAATAGCCTTGAATCACCTGAAAGGTCTGGACAGCTCGATCTCCCCAGACTTGGTGACGACCAGCGGGACTTCCTGTTTGGGCTGAGACTTTCTCTTCCGTAACCTGCAGCCGCTGGTGAAGGGCAGCAGTCGGTACGATCCTGACCGCAGGTCACACCGCAGACAGTACTTCTGCAATAGTCAAAGATACTTTGTGAACATTCTGTATACATGTTATAACCTCTGCCATTCATAGTCAGTTTCTTTTAACCATACAAATTGTGTGCTGTATGCATGAAATAGTTCTCCACTTCCAATTGGCAAGCTACTGGTAAGAGAGGCACATTATGCAGTTGGTCCAATGTTTTAGATTACATGTACTATGTTCACCTAGCTATGTTCACCTAATACCAGTTTACCAGTTTTTAAAGTCAGTTTATCAGTAATGCCATACAAAAAGAGCATGCTGAAACTGACACAATTTTGCTATACATGTAATTAACCACTTATTAATATTCCCACAAACCTCTCCATCCCTGATGTCTGTAAACTGGATGAAGCTGTCCCTGTCCCCATCTCTCAGGACCACCAGTGTTGTGTCTACTGGGTTCTCCACTGGCTCATCTACATGTATAACAGGGATATGTGGGGTTAACAGGGTTAGTACAATAGTGATGATTGCAGTATACTAGTGGGATCAACACACAAGCCGGTGATAGAAACATTAATTTTCTTCTTACCTTCAAAACAGCACTGTTGGTTTGTAGATTACCTTTCACAAAAAAGGCACATCTGCAAAGTCACATTATTTCTTAGCAGTTTGCGATCATCACTTTTGTTTTGACCCGGTAACAATAGCATGAAAACCTAACACATGTATATACTGCACTTCTTAAGTACTGTAAAGTCTAAATGCTTGATCTACTGGTTGACCCTAACCTTTATCCTCCCTGTGCAGGTAGAGTGGCTGAACAGTGATCCACACGTTGGTGGCGTGCGGCAGGTCCAACTTGTACTCATGGCTGATGATGGATCCATCCTCCTCAAAATGGAAACAACCTTTTCTCTGGACATGGTTCCAGCTCTGAGACAAACAACATAATGAGTGAATGAAAACATTTATTGTATGAACATAACCACTGGTTTAGGTACAGGTCACAACAAAAGAAGTCTAAGTTTAGATACTTCTAGTATTCATTCTCAAGCTACAATGTAGCAATAGTACTACGTATAGTCTATTTTGTGACTTTGGCTTCTCCTTGCTTCTTTGTGATGGTGGAAATGCCACAGTTATCAACCTTTATGGTAAAAGCTCTCAAAATGCTACTAGATAGTATTGTAGACTTTTCAACTGGATAGAAATTTAATAGCCGACGTTCCAAATGTTATTCCAACACTCTTTCACTGATGAAGATTGTTGGAATAACACTTGAAACGTTTGGCTATTAAATTTCTATCCAGTTGAAAAGTCTAAAATACTATCTTATACTGATTCAAGTTTTCTACCCTGGATGACTAGTCTTCACAAACATGATCATAAGGCCACACCGACTTAATATTATGGATGACATCCGCGCGCGCATTGATTTTCGCCTGATCTCAAAAAAAAGATCATGTCTTCCGAGGCTCTGGCCTGGATTTAGGCCTGGGTAGTCCTGGGTAATCCACGGCGACAACGAAGCCGGTGGTAACTCTGGAGGACGGCACCCAGGCTACCGAACCTCCACGAGTCACTCAGTACATACGTACAGTGTCGATTCATAAATTCTGCAAAAATCCAGCATGTGCCGGCCTGTCGTATACGTTGCTGTATAATGTGCCAAATTCACAATACCGGCTTTGTATACCTGTGGTTTAGTAGAATTTTTATTTTGGGCCGAATTTTTCTTTTTTCCGCCCACGCGCACTAATTTGGGGGTCTTCAGAGGATGTCATCCATAAAATTAAGTTGGTGTGGCCTAACAATTATGTGTTGTACTTGTTTGGTCCTTGCCCTTACCTCCAGGTTCTTGGGTACTGGTACTTTAACCTTCCTCTTGGCTACAGGAGACTTGGAGATTTCTGTCACCTGACCTCTTGGTGAGGGATGTGGAGAGTCATGGTCTGGAAAAAGCAAACCAAACTGAACTGAAATTCTAAATAATTCACTTTCCATTACATTTGTGTCAAATGTGAAAAATTCTAAGAAACTGCCTTCAATAAAATTATGCTTAATGTTTGTCACATTTTCAGGCTTATTTGCATGGCAGACACCCTATTACTTAAAATGTCTGTCTGATGACAAAGGTTAATAATGCAATACTGTTAGTTAAATGTATGTTCTGAAAACAATTTGTACACAATCACGTACATGTACATCTACATGTGCCATCATCAACCCGGTTAGTAGAATTTCCAACAATCACAATCAGAACTCAGTTTGCAGCAGAACCCACCACCTTCAAAGGAAGTCTCAAAGCAACTACAACAAGAACAACATCAACAACCAGACTAAGACTTACAAGGAACAACACACAGCAAGTCTGGCTCCAAATAAAGGCACCCCACTATTCTATGGAATCAGCCACACAACACATTGGTACCAAGGCCTCAGAGGAACAATTTTTCTTACAAGCTTGTGAGCTCTGGTTAAGGTACAATGTGATGAATAGGGGATGTACTCTTAAAAAAAGAGACAACTGAAATTGTGAACTTCAAAATTAAACAGAATTTCCTGAATGTTATCACAAAAGCCAATAAATTACTATTTGGACCAAAGATGTACATGTGACTCCTGAATCAAGGACAAAGCTTGGATTGGATAACCTCAAACATGTACGGAATACAAGCAGTTTAAAACAGGCATACATGTAAATACTTTGCCACCAGCAGTTACTCAGAGGAAAAAGCTAGCATGCTGCTATTATATATAATTTTTTGGTGAATAGCTGCTGAGCATTGAGACACAGCCCACAAAGAATGAGATGCGTATAAGAAGAAATTCTGCCTCTGGACCCAGGGTACTCCCTCCACCAGACTGTGACACACACAAGTCCCCACACCATGTGACCCACCAGCTGAGTCTTCATGTGATGTCTTGTCCATCAAACAGAAGTGTTGCACACAGGCCAACCTTACCACAAGCCTTCTGGCAAAGGATGTGGGTCTTCTAAGTGTGTCTGATGTGCATTTATCTGCTCACTTGTCAGCAACCTCAAATTATATAACTTAACAGCTATACCTTTTATAAAAATTGTCCAAGTTTCTGGATGTCAAGAATTTTACGAAGCCTAATTTGGACACAATAGATTCAATCAGTTCTAAGATTTTCAAATCTTCTACCCAACTGACAGTGTATTCTTTGACATCTTTTTAGATTTTGAGGAAAATATTCAATCCTTAGAGTTTTGTTCTCAATCGCTTTTAGCCCCCTAAAGTCAAGGCTATTAAAGGCTATCAAAGAGCTGAGGAGGAGGGCGGTTGGCAGATTGTGTGATTGGCCATGCTAGAAGCAAAAGCAGAAGAAGTGCAAGAGACTTCCTAACATACATGTATGGAACCCATCATTGGGTCTACAATCATGTCCAGGTACAATGTATTTTATTCAAAATCAAACAAAATTCCCATTAACATGCAAAATGTCACCTCATGTAAATGTATCCACAACCTTTACATAAAAAAAATCATCATCTTTTCCAAATTAATACCTGAGCATTGATACATTGTAATTATTTCATATGTTTTTTGTTAAAACAATAAGACAATGCAATATCACATGACAGCTTGCTATACTATACCATAACCAATAATACTCATTCCCAAAACAACCCAAGACAAGAGTGCAAAAATCACAAATTGTAAAGAAATTTCTGTAACTGTTTGAAGCCAGTAAAAGATAAACCAAGACAATAAAAAGATTATCAGTAACCTGTACACAATCCTGAAAACCCTGTCTTTTAGAACATTAAAATATTCTTCATTCCTACTGCACAAAAACTATAAAGTAACTGAAATCTCCACAACCAAAAAATAATCACTTTCAAGTTTTTAATCTTTTCCAACAGTCTTTGGGGATTGGCGAGGGGTCGATTTTCCAACTGTTTTTGGCGACTGACGAGGGGTGGATTTACCAACCGTTTTTGGTGACTGCCTAGGGGTGGACTTTCCTAGCGTTTTGGGGGATGCTCTTGGGGTTGATGTATTGACAGCATCATCTGTGCTGTCCTTACTGTCAGTAACTTCTGTATCAGAAGAGCTGTCCACACTTTTACCAACATTTTTTGGCGAAGCCCTCGGGGTGGATCTACTTACAACTTCATCACTACTCTCTTTACTGTCAGTAGCATCTGTATCTGAAAAGTCTGGTACATTTTTCGGTGAAGCTCGTGGGGTGGACTTATCCACAGCTTCCTCCTCACTCTCATTCCCATTACTAACATCCGTACCTTTTCCTACTGTTTTTGGCGATGCCCGAGGGGTGGATCTAGCAGAGGAGGGGCGCGAGGGTGGCTTGTCACGAGGCGACTCATCTCTGATCCTGAAAGATACAAGAGAATGTTGATCAAGGCATATGTCAGTCCAATGCAGTTACAGCTATGGAATTATAGAATTTCATGTGATACTGTCACATACAAGAAGCATTCTCCATGGCAGCGTCTGTCCTGCAGTAATACTACATTTTGTACTATTTGATACTCTGATTGGCTGACCGCTTGTTAATGGCCACGTCCCCAAGAGTATGAAATTGGCACAGTCTAGTATTATTGCAGGACAGACTCTGCCATTGCAGAATGACAACTACCCATACTACTAAAAACTTTGTGGTCAGTTTCTAGATAGTCTATGACTACATGTACTCATTAAGGTACAACTTATCTGAAAACCAACCTGACACCAAAGCTGGGAGGGTCCCATGTTCTATAGGAGAGGGAAGTTGCAAGCATTGAGAAAATGCACACAGTCAGTAGATACATTGTACATGTAGGTTAGTCAAACTTATTCATTACAATAAACAAATTTTGATAGTGAAGACAAATGCAAATTCGAGGCCAACATAAGACATATCTCCCTAAAAGATTTGACGTTCTAACATACGTTGTTAAACTGCCTGTCTCCCTAAATTCAACAAAAATCTTGTTAGCTAATACCTTGATGGTGGTCTTGATGCAGGTTTGGGTGACTGTCGGTCGTGATCACCAGGTGACCCGTCCCTGGACCGTGCCGATGACGGCCGTCTCTCCAGGCGCCGTTTTGCCTCCATTTTCTCCAGCTTCTCCATGGACTGCTTCTTACACTTCTCTACTGTAGACAGCATCATGCTGCAGAACTGGGTAGTAAAGTGGTGCAAATTTTTTTAACTTTAAGTTTGCAGAAGCAAAACATATTGTTGCCTCCGGGGGAGGAGACATCCTTCCGCGGAAGGGCTTTGTGAGAGTTTTAGAATTTCACGTTCGCAGCGATTCCTCGCGTTTGACTGGACGGATTCTTTTGAGACTCGGTATATGTTTTGCTATTGGTCTGCAGATGATGCACGTTCTTTTGTTTTTATTGTATATGTGTTTTCGGGCGTGAAAATGGAGCCTTTTGGTGGCCCCAGAACACCCCTTGAGTGAGAAAGTGGGTCGCGACCGTTGATCTTTTGCGTGTGTCAGATATAGTTGGTCTCGTCCACAGTCGCACAGAGGGGTGACGGGTCTCAATAAATTCTTAAGTCTTGCGGCGCGCAACAATTGTTGTTGTGCACATGCATCTTCTGTATGCGAGGCGCAACAAATGTTGTTTGGAGGGTATTTTTAGTACGCGTTCACAGGACGCGTGATCGGCAGCAAATTCCGGGTTGGTCAATGGGTCAGGGGTCAACGTACTCTTGCGCAATCTTTCTTTTGGCTGTTTTCGGCGTATATTACGACTACTAACTTACAAATCAACTATAACAGTTACATAACAAACAACATATAGAAATATACAATAAAAAGCCCGGAGGTATAAAATCTCAGATTTTACTTGTTTTTGCTCTGTTTCTTCCTCTTCGTCTTCTCCAAACAAACAAGGTCACTGACCTGAACCAGATGTCTGTCACCATGGTAACTAGTGTTGGATTTAATTTTTTTACATCATGTTGCAATTTTATAGCAGGAGGGATTTAGACTCCTGTCACAATATATGATAATATTATAATGATGTGTTTGAGTAAGAATTACTTATTATAATAAGAGGTAAACTTTATCGATTTGCTTTACAAATGTTATAGTTTGTCTTAAGTTTGAAAAAAATCTTCATGAGCAAAAATGTAGTTTATTCATAGAAAGGCAATTGTTAGAACTGCCACAAAATAAATGTAAAAAGACAATGATACAGCAAAATTGATCTCCTAGTTTGTTAATAGGGCTGTAGATGGATTTCTGACATAAAATTCAAGGTCAAAATGTTTCAAAATTAAAGATTGGAAGAAAGAACATTGCCTCTGTCAGTAACTCTAAGAATTGCTAACAACACCAATCAGTTGTAACAGTTCCTCCAGATTCAAAGTTTAACTGGCAGGCATATAACAAGTTATCCAAGTCACACTACATTATATATATATATTATATAAAAACATGAGATAGATACTATCACTTGTGCAATGTAATTAGCTGGGAAACCATGCCACACACTGGTAAAAAAAAACAGTATTTTGTACAAAACTATACCTCTCCATAGTCCAGCTTCCCATCCTTGTTACAGTCTGCATCATCTATCAGTCTCTTCACCTCGTCTCTCGTCATCTTCTCACCCCTCTAATAACATGGAACAGTCCAAGAAGTGTGTCACATACATTTGTTTATGCATGATTTATACAAAATCTATCATTGTCATAAATGTTAATTATGTACATTTTTTCTTGTAAACTTCAGAAAAAATATGAAGTGACAGGGCGAAAAAAAAAACAGGCCAAGGCACCCCATGATAGCCGAAAATGTTACTACAATATGAGCCATGACGTCAACATACCAGACTGGTTTATAATTCAAACTGTTACTGTAACAATAGATTTTGAACTTTTGATGAAACGAAGCTGCATTACCGGTATTAGAATAAAAACTTTTAAACTCCTGTGGGAAGAAAAGGGCTTTCTTCAACCGTGGGGCCAAAATACAATGCATGTCTTTCATGATCATTGAGCATTTTGGAGTTGATTTGGAACTTAAAATCTTCTCTTTTTTTTTTTTGCAAGTCAGAAAACAATGGACAGGCAAATCTGAGAAACAACAAATTAAATTGGTGTGGCCTTGTGTTTGAACCATGAAATTTACAAAACATTTATTATACCTTGACTTAATATCTCTCACAAAGGTTACATAGTGTTAGGTTGCATGGTACTGGTCTGACTTTATCAAAAATGGTTTGTTACAACCAACACAAGGGTCTCATACCTGAGTAAGAACCCTGTACAGCTCGTCATGTGTGATGTACCCATCCCCGTTGATGTCGATTGTTCGGAAGGCCTTGACCAGATCACCTTTTGTCGTCGCTTTCTCCTTCCGCATGATGTCACAGAACTCATCAAAATTGATGTACACTGAAATGTGGTCAGAGGAAATGTCTGTTTTGAATAATAAGTCAATAAAATCAATATATCCCATGGGTATGCAATTTTCACACAATTTTTAGCATGATCCTAGGGATGCCCCTAAGCTTGAATATATTATTCAGCTGTCATTCTATACTGTGAAAAATAGCCATTATTGTATAAGGTACCACACTTTGTTAGTGCAAGTCGTTTCTAAGTAAATAGATCAAGAGCTAAGTGCCACTTTTACAGAGTTACATTGTACATTGTATTTAACCTACATTGTACTATTGACAGGTTTAGGCCACAGCAAGTAATTTTTATGGATGGCAAGAAATTTTGTTGCCCTCTATCAGTGGGCAACATGCCAAAAATGGGCAAAAATGGCAAAAGTAGACAAGACAAGGCTCTGATTTATTGCTTTGTTTTTTAGTTTGATGCAGTTACTGTATTCATTCCTTTTATGTTCCCACTGAATCAAACCCATTTGTACAATGATTGAAAACTTTCATTTTGCAAGATTATTTCCCTGACTTAGCACAATATAGGTATCATTTCTTCTCATATCATAATTATCATTTGAAATGTAGGAATCTTGTTTTTTGGCCTGCTTTGTTTTTTTTTTTTTTTGCCCTATCGCATTACATTTGGAGTCTGCGGAGGATGTCCATCCATAAAATTTACTTGCTGTGGCCTTAGCATTTTTTTTTCTCACCTGTGTTTTTTGTCCAGTACTTGTCCAATATCTGGTTGGAGGGATTGCGGCCAGTATTCTGCAAGGCTGAGAAATAAATACAAAACATTAAAATCATGAAATTTTATACATGGGAGCATTTCCTTTGTTAGACCCATTTGCATCCTGAAAAAAATGTTCAAAGAAAGAAAAAACTTTGACCAAGAGATTACAATCTGAAATATAAAAACAAAATTAATACATGTTTAAGTCAAAGTATCTGGGAATGGATGGAAGACTTGAGTTAGTACTTAGTGTTATGTCACAAGCGATAATTTAAAAGCTTGCTATGTATATCATGTACATATACATAATTTTATATAAATGTACCATCACAGGAAAACTTCAAGAGAAACAACAATGTGGGACAGCTGTTACCAAGGCTATTTAATTTAGATCAATCATTTAAAAGCCTCACTATATAGGGTAGGCAAGAGTTTTCAAGTCTTTCTGTCCTTCATTTGACTGTTCTGTATTTGTCTTACTATAGTCTGTTTCTAGTGACTTTGCCATGATAGTCCAATGCCTTAGGTAATAAGCATCCAGTATTTGACTACAATTTTATTATTATTTAATATATTAAGCTTCTCTTTTGAGCAGTGATTACCCAGAGAACTTCGGTAGATATATGTAGTATGAATGCGCTAATAAGAAACTACTATGTTGTTTATCTTCAGGTGTTACTCAATCCTGGTGAACTTCACATCACTCAGAGACAGATCCAACTGTCACCTGATGAACAAAGTGAACTAGTTTCCATGTCAGTTGTTGAGGACAAACTCTCATGTTTAACTTTGTCACCGCGAAAAGAAGGCACGAGTTTTCCAAGCAAAAAATGGATGCAATGGAACAACGGCAAGCAAAGCGTATCAGCAAAATGCATTCTGCAAACTTCAGCCCAGTGTTGTGTGCATGGTTCCTGATGTTACTATCAAACACTGCAACGTCTCAAACTACTGACATTAATAATATTACTTTGGCATCTTTAGCACCAAACAGTACTGTGACGAATGAAACACTAATGAACACAACTGTAACTGTAACTCCAACACCAGTAAAGGGTGGTCCCACAATGAGAGCTGTGACACCTCCAACAACTAATGCTACTCTGACATCTCAAACATCTGCAACACCAAACACTCCGGCAGAAACACTCTGGAGGAGCGCGGATTCAAACTCTGCCTGCACTACCGCGACTTCCCAGTAGGGGCGTGCATAGCAACAACCATCATAGAGACAGTGGAGGCCAGCAGACGGACTGTCATCCTCCTCTTGCAGAATTTCGTGGACAGCGAGTGGTGCGCTCTGGAGTTCAAGGCCGCACATCGACAAGTGTTGGAGGACCGGCGGAACAGGATCGTGGTGATTGTCCTGGACGACCTTGATCTCCAGAACGTGGATAAAGACCTGAAGTTTTACCTGAAGACAAACACGTACCTGAAGTGGGGAGATCCCTGGTTCTGGAGCAAACTATGCTACGCCTTACCCAGGGTGGGGAGGGGGGCACCAGAATCTCATGACCTCATGTCTAAAGAGGTCACGACGTCAGATGTGAATATGGAGATGGCAGATTTTCGTCAGCTAGTTTCTGGTTATGATGTGAGTCAGGTTGTTGCAGAGGGAGAGAGTAAAAACATCAGTCGTATTTCATATTCTTCTGTTGTGAAAAGGTGATTTATTAATTAGTCTTGTCGATAGACTGATCGATGTAATTCAAGATAAATTTTAACAAACTTTTCTAGAGTAATATTGTTAGTATGAGAACTGTTGAACAAACATTTCTCGCACTGCAGTTTCAAATGTGGATATTTGCCATAAGGCACAATCTAAGCTTACAAAATGTAATTTAAAGCTACCAAATTTACATGTACATAGACAAAGACAATTTCCTGTAAGCTGTCCCATGATGAGACCTTTTCCTGTACTAATTATAAAAACTACATGTAGGAAAAAAATGCTGTGCTTCCAGTTACCTGACTAACCCTACCAAATACCTGCTGACCCTAGTCTTCTTGGCCAACCATTGTAAACATGGCGTCAGGCCAGAGGGACTGTATCTACAATGAAACATACAGGATTGGCACCACATAATGTAGATACAGTTCCCTGTAGCCATGCATGTGTGTAGATATGTAAAATACATACATTTGGGAATGCATCTATCAGGAGCGACACCTGTGCTGCAATGCATTATGTGAACCAATCAGAATTGCCCTGAGGAAGGTGACAAACTGTCACCGAATAAAAGACTTGCAATTGGTTGTGTAAAAAGAGTCTCTTTACTTAGTGTCTAATTTTTACCAACCTGAGGAAACTATGCGAGGTTGTTTGTTTTGTTTGCACTTTGGACATCCGGGGAACTGCCACTGGTCATGAGACAGGCACAGCCGCTACAAATTTAGAGAAGGGAAAATTTTCCAAACCTCTCTGGTAAGAGATTGCCAAATAACATTCTGCCAAGGTTAAGGGAAAATCTGAACTTCAAAAGGTAATTTTTTTATTTGTGTCTTACTACTACAAGTCATATACAAGCATGACGTTGTTACTCTGTACCTGGTAAACTTGGTATTTGTTACCTTAAGTAAACTTAATTCATAATCCTTGCAACAATGGAATAATTTTGTCTACCTTTTATCAAACTAAGTAGTACTTGGTTTGCTATCTTCTCGTACTAGTTCCTTTCCTTGGTTCCCACACATTGTACAATGTAGGTCTGGGAAGAATTGTAGGTAGAAAGAAATAGAGCCCTGCTGAAAGTAAGTCTTGAGTCTTACAAAAATCCCTACCATGCAGACATAGTATGTTTTATCTTACATTTTCCTCTGGCTTGCATTGACTTAGTTTTCTCAGTTAAAACATCACAGGTATTTTGGAATCATGTCAATATATCAGTGGAGCTTCATAAAGGCAGGTTGTGGAAAATTATGGGAAAAATAAGCGTCCAGTGGTCTACTTGAATTTTTCAAAAATCATTTCCTCAAACTGTGATGAGGAAACATGACACAGCATTTTTCAGACTGATTTAGGTTGTCCAACAAAATCAGCAAAACTAGAGAGATTGGCCATTTTGTTGTCCAGGTTGTTGCAAAATTTGATATATATAGAAACTGGCCAGTTTTGTGCAAAAATTAAAATACATGTACTTTAACAGTTACTGTCACAGTGGTGTTTGAGTGGTAAATTCTAATGGCTGTCTAGACTATCAGTCTTGATTTACCACACTCACCAACTTTAACAGAAAAAGTGATTGACAGAAACATTATTGCTTAACTTTGTAATGGAAACAATATGTATTGAGTGGCTACAGACCAACATAACATTTTAATTCTAGTCGAGACAACACACTTCTAGAAAAAAATGTTGGTACTGGGTGTTTGCCATCTGTGATTATAATCAGTGGGTGTTTGCCACCTGCCACTGTTACAGAGATCACACATTCATGTATTGTACATTACAAATATTTAACCTACTGGTATTGATAGATTAGTATTTTCCTTCTGTGTTTTTTGTTCAGTACTTGGCGATTGTGTGGTTGGGGGGATTGCGGCCAAAGCTGAGAAATAAATTCAAAACATGAAATGAGGAACTTTAAATTTATACATGGGAGCATTTACTTTAAATTGCTTGATCAATTTGCATCCTGAAAAAATGTTTAATTAATATAAAGGAAGAGAAAACTTTGACCAAGAGAGTACTATCTGAAATGTAAAATAAAATAATTTAAGTAAACAAAATGGCAATGGAAGACTTACTAAACAGTGTTGATATGTTACTTGTTACATGAGTTTCTATTAGTTTGTGATATTAAGTATCCAGTATTTAACTCTAATTTTATATTAAGCATCTCTTTCAGTAATCAGAGAGAAGTTTGAAATATGATTGTACATAAATGTACTTATGAGAAATTGTTGTTTTTTCTTCAGGTACAACCCAATCCTGTTGAACACATCACTCAGAAACAGGCCTGACTGTCACCTGAACAAAGCAAAGTTAATATCAAGGACAGAACCTAACATTTGTAAATAACAAAAGGCACCCTGGTTTCCAAGGAAAAAATAGCTGCTATTGACCAACGGTGGCAAAACTAATCAGTACAATGCCTTCTGCAAATTTCAGCCTGGTGTTGTGTGCATGGTTCCTCATGTTCCTATCAAACACGGCAACGTCTCAAACAACTAACACTACTCTACTAACATCTGTAAAACTGAACACAACTGTGGCAACAATAGACCTGTCCAACAGCAGCCTAACTTCCATTCCTCCTGACCTTTTCAAGACCCAAACCAATCTTCAGCAACTTGACTTGAGCAACAACCAGATTTCTTACCTAAATGGGAGCATTTTTGCATCCTTGGTCAATCTGGAGACTCTCATTCTCAGTAACAATGTTATAAAAACCATCACAGTCGAAGTTTTCAGGAACCTTACAAATCTTATGTTCCTGGACTTGTCTCAAAACTCTATCAGAGATCTGCCGGACAATCTGTTTGTGGACAACATAAACCTACAGGTCCTTAACTTGGATGGCAACAACATTTCTGAAGTTAGGAGAGATACTTTTGTAGGTCTGAGGTCCCTCAAGCAGTTGTTCCTCAATACTTCTGGTCTGTCCAGCATACACTCATCCAGCTTCACACCCCTGGTGGAACTTGAAGAGCTTTACCTGCAGGAGAATGACATTGCCTTTCAAGAAGACTACACAGGAGTCACAGGAAACATTTTCCGGAATCTGCGAAACCTCAGACTCCTGGATCTGTCTAAAAACTCCATCACATTCCTGCCAGACAACATGTTTGAGGACCTAATACAGCTAGAGGTCCTCCGCTTGGATGGTAACAAATTTTCTACAGTCAGGAGAGATACTTTTGTAGGTCTGACGTCCCTCAAGCAGTTGTTCCTCAATGCCTCAGGTCTGTCCAGCATAGACATATTGAGCTTCACACGCCTGTTGGAACTTGAAGAGCTTTACCTGCAGGAGAATGACATTTCCTTCCAAAAAGTCTTCAGAAGAATCACAGCAAATGTTTTCAGGAATCTGCAAAACCTCAGACTTCTGGATCTGTCTAAAAACTCCATCACATTCCTGCCAGAATACATATTCGTGGACCTGATAAAGCTAGAGGTCCTCCACTTGGATGGTAACAACATTTCTCCACTTAAGAGAGATAATTTTGCAGGTCTGAGGTCCCTCAAGCTGTTGTTCCTCAATACCTGTGGTCTGTCCAGCATAGACCTATATAGCTTCACACCCCTGCTGTTGGAACTTGAAGAGCTTTACCTGCAGGAGAATGACATTGACTTTCAAGGACTCTTCCAAGGAACTTCATACCCAGACATTTTCAACAATTTGCAAAACCTCAAACTTCTGGATCTATCTAAAAACTCCATCACATTCCTGCCAGAATACATTTTTTTTGGCCTGAGAAAGCTAGAGGTCCTCCGCTTGGATGGTAACAACTTCCCAACCATTACAGATTCTACTTTCTATGATCTGACGTCCCTTCAGAAACTGTACTTGAATGATACTGGTCTGGAAATCATCCATCCATATGGCTTTGACTTTGGCGGATATCCCAGATGGGAGCTGAAAGAGCTGTACTTACAGGGCAACAACATCACATATCTGCCCTGGGAGGGTTTGCAAGAACTGCATTTGACAGTGCTAGACTTGGGGAACAAAAATGAGTCAGAGTACTACAGCTGTAATAAACTGCCAAATTGCACATTCAACAACAATTACATCTATGAAAACACTGCCCCCCAAATTTTTTGTTGTAATTTCACAATGTCCTGCAGAATAGATCCTTCGATTGGTCTTTGCTTGAATTGGTGGGGACCAACATCACATCCTGATCCATCATATCTGACACATGTGTATATACATGTAAATCTCATGACATTTGCAGGATTGATAGTAGTGTTTATCATTGTACTGTATTGCAAACGGAAGTACCTACAAGTGTGGCTGTATATGAAGTGTGGTTGGCGTTTTGATCCAAAAGACGATGATGATGATGACAAAACGTACGATGCCTTCATCTCCTATAGCAGCAGGGATGAACTTATCGTGATACGGGAGCTCGCACCTGGACTGGAGGAGCGCGGATTCAAACTCTGCCTGCACTACCGCGACTTCCCAGTAGGGGCGTGCATAGCAACAACCATCATAGAGACAGTGGAGGCCAGCAGACGGACTGTCATCCTCCTCTCGCAGAATTTCGTGGACAGCGAGTGGTGCGCTCTGGAGTTCAAGGCCGCACATCGACAAGTGCTGGAGGACCGGCGGAACAGGATCGTGGTGATTGTCCTGGACGACCTTGATCTCCAGAACGTGGATAAAGACCTGAAGTTTTACCTGAAGACAAACACGTACCTGAAGTGGGAAGATCCCTGGTTCTGGAGCAAACTGTGCTACGCCTTACCCAGGGTGGGGAGGGGGGCACCAGAATCTCATGACCTCATGTCTGAAGAGGTCACAACTTCAGATGTGAATGTGGAGATGGCAGATTTTGGTCAACTTGTTTCTGGTTATGATGTGAGTCAGGTTATTACAGACGGAGAGAGTGAAAACATCAGTGATGTTTCATATTCTACTAATATGTAATCCAAGTGTTGTGTGATTTCTTAATTAGTTTTATCAATAGACTGATCAATGTATCAATATACATGTATACTCTAACAAACTTTTCCAAAGTAATATAGTAATTGCTACTAATATTAGTATGCGAACTCTTGAATGAACATTTCTCGCACTGCAGTTGTGACATAATAGGCATGACCCCAGAATAAGCTACCAAATTGTACATACAAGTAGACACTGAGACAATTTCCTGTAAGCTGTCCCATGATGAGACCTTTTCCTGTATTACTAGGAAGAAGGAAAAAAATGCTGTGCTTCAAGTTATCAGACTGACTATCAGACTGACTGGCTGGGAAAAAACATGCAACACCCAACTTCTTTTTATAACTGCTGGCAATTGAGGCACAAAAATTCTGAGTGACAAATAATTTATCATTATTATTTTTTAATTGTTGTACATGTAGCCTTGATAGTTGAACAGTGTAACCATTTACTAATAGGTACAATATAAGACAACTTTTGCAGTTCCTACATGTGACTTTTTTTCTAACCTGTTGTTCAAGAAAAAAACTGTAGAGTGTCAGTGTGTTAACAGTTATTCTGTCAACAACACTAAATGGCTGATTTCTTAGAAGTCTGAAGAACTGTTGGTTCAAAGTTGCTGAGATACATGTACTTGTTAGTCGAGTACAAAATTACTTTGTAGCCAGGCAGTTTAGGTCCCAAGAAGATTAGTCACTGTCAGTGGCAATTGTTTGCTTACAGTTGACAGTGGTACATGTAATATGAGTTGAACTCCTCCCAATTTCCAACATAAATTTACAGGTAATCAACCACCAAGGATGTAAGGAAATATCTCTAGCCCATGGGAGCTAGAAACCACTAATGTCATATTGAAAAAATTTGTTTCCTTACTGATCATAGAGCATGAACTCCAAGGAAACTGTCAGCCTGTCCACAAGTTATGGCTCAGTGGTTTAGCCCCTGGTCTACAACAGTACAATGCACGTGTGTCATGACTAGTAACTTTCCATGAGTCCATCATTTTTCAAGAAAAATCATTAGTTATGACTTTAACCGTTGACATCTTACAGGTGTAACATTTCATACCATGTAGTTGATGTCACGTATCCATGCTCCTGCACTTAAGAGCTGAGAGTATATTATATTATAAAACTGTAGGTCAGGCGCAATATAGTGTTATTCCTGTTTTTTTCACGGTACTATTTTCATGGTCATTTATGTACTGTAAACCTATCATTACTGTTTATCAAATCAAACTTTCGTCTTCTTTCCTGCACTTGTTGCCACCATGTTGATTAAGTTCCGTGAACACGTACATTTTTCTAACACTTAAAAATTTTGCTACCATTAACACAAAGTGAATTACAGTATGATTGTGTTTACTAGAAGTCTACATAATATTTCATGTATAACCTTAAGTTCACCTTAACAGGTGATACGACACTGGATGCGCCTGGGGGTTAGAATACCTGAGTCATGCCATACACGTCAAGGCGCCGAGTTATTTTTAGCAACTGACATCACAGGGTTTTTTGGTAGATGTCATTCTTGATAGTGCACCCGGACAGAGCATTTACACTTCCTTCAAGAAGGGCAACCAACACAAAAAAGAAGGTTGGTATTATATAAACTTGACTGTATATCAGTAGTTTTGTTCCTTATTGGTTGACACAGAATTAGGTGATGTATAGAAAGAAAGTATTACATAGAAAGAGTCCAAAAGTAGCTTTAATCTCACAAAATGTATAACTTTCATGCACTGCCAGATTAGCATGGTCTATCTTACATTTTCCTCTGGCTTGAATTGACTTTGTTTTCTAACTAATCTAAGTTTAACATCACACAGTCGTGTATTTTGGATTCATGTCAATACAATTGATCCATGCATATGGAGCTACATAAAGGCAAGTCGTGGAAAGGTTATAATATATATATGATGGAAAAAACAGCAGCTGCTCTACTTGCATTTTTTTTTAATTTCCTTGAACTTACTGTTGGTGGTGTAACAGTGGATCAAATTACTTGCAGGTGTGCATTCTACTGCCACCGATCCCATCCGATCCGATCCATAGCACGTATAAACAACCAAGCAGTTTGCTGTGCAACCAAACCAATTTAATCAATCGGATTCACACGTTTCATTTTATAAAATTTCCATCACATGCCGCAAAGTTCAAGAAATTAATGTAAAAACTGGTGCTTGTAATTAGAGCTCTGGTTTGATATAGAGTTTAAAAAATTCATTGTTTGAATTACAAACCGGCTGGACTTCATGGCTCATAGGATTCCAAGACCTGTTTTTTTGCCCTGCTGCAGACGCTTCATGTCGTTAGTAATCTTTTTAAAAAAATCTGAGAACCAAAAAGTTGAATTGCTGAGTCCTAACTGTGGAGTTTGAAAGTTACGGTTGTTGGCTGGACTAACAGTATTGGTTTATAACAGTTATCTTTTATACGTTTAATTTTCTTGCTGCTGTTTCTTGTCTTAGGGCCAGTTTACACGGGGCAACAAAATTATTTGTCCTACAACGATCGCTACATACGGTATATTCGGTGAGTATATTCCTTTTTTTTTCCTCAATTGTGTTTTTGTCAGTACATGCATGTACTGATACAGCTCTCTGGTTGGAAGGATTGCAGCCAGTGTTCTACAGGGCTGAGACATATTGAATTCAAAACATGAATTACAGCCCTTAGTTACTAGACCTACATGTTATATTAAGTCTGTAATACAATGTACATGTAAGTAATAAACATATTATTAATAATAAACATAGTATTTTTGACACCTGTAGCATGTCTTTAGAGTAGTGTTAAATGCACTGAAAATATGGTAGAAATATGTACACCTACATTGTATGCAGTGATGAGAGAGTATGTTGAACTTCTACTATTTGGTTTATCTTCAGGTATTACCCAATCCTGGTGAACTTCACATCACTCAGAAACAGGCCAAACTGTCACCTCGACAAAGTGATTAGTTTCCATGCCAGTTGTTAAGGACAGAGTCTCACATTAACATTGTCACTGCAAAAGGAAGGCACAAGTTTTCAGAGCAAAAATTGATTTGATTTGATTTATTGAAATTGCAACAGTGCAATACACGCGGAACAGGAGGCAGCTGTTGCTGGTGTTGTGTCCCGCACATACATGTAGAAACGAATACTGGACAGACAATACTCATTTTCACTTGAGTCTAGTGGGGACAGTCGTGTAAAGTGCCTTTCCCAAGGGCACAAGATCGGTGGCATGTCAGGACTCGAACCCGGGACCTCTTGATTCCGAGTCGCGCACACTGCCGTTGCGCCACACGACCCCATAAATTGGATGCAATTAACCAATGGTGCACCATGGCAAAGCTTATCAGCACAATGTACTCTGCAAACTTCAGCCCAGTGTTGTGTGCATGGTTCCTGATGTTACTATCAAACACTGCAACATCTCAAACAACTGACATTAATAATATCACTCTGGCATCTTTAGCACCAAACAGTACTGTGACAAATGAAACACTAATGAACACTACAGTGACTGTAACTCCAACACCAGTACCCACAATGACTGCTGGGACATCACAAATAACTAATGCTACATCAACACTAACACCAGTAATCACTTTGACATCTCAAACACTTAACTCCACTGTAACATCTGCAAACACTACACAAGTAACAACTCCAACTCCAACACTAACAACTCCAACACCAATAATCACTCTGACGTCTCAAACACTTAACTCCACTGTAACATCTGCAACACCAAACACTACAGCAGTATACATAACAACTACAACTATAACTAGAACTCCAACTACAACTTCACCTCTAACTCTAACTCCAACTCCAGATCCAACTACAACTACAACTCTAACTCCAACTACAACTCTAACTACAACTACAACTACAACACAAATACCGGTAACCACTGTCACATCTCAAACACTCAACACCACAGTGAATGTAACATCTACGACACCAAACACAACTGTGGCAACAATAGACCTGTCCAACAGCAGCCTAACTTCCATTCCTCCAGACCTTTTCAAGAACCAAAGCCATCTTCAGCAAGTTGACTTGAGCAACAACCAGATTTCTTACCTAAATGGGAGCATCTTTACAGCCTTAGTCAATCTGGAGACCCTCATTCTCAGTAACAATGCTATAAAAACCATCACAGTTAATGTTTTCAGGAACCTTACAAATCTTATGTTCCTGGACTTGTCCCAAAACTCTATCAGAGATCTCCCGGACAATCTGTTTGTGGACAACATAAACCTACAGGTCCTTAACTTGGATGGCAACAACATTTCTGAAGTTAGGAGAGATACTTTTGTAGGTCTGAGGTCCCTCAAGCTGTTGTTCCTCAATACCTCTGGTCTGTCCAGGATACACTCATCCAGCTTCACACCCCTGGTGGAACTTGAAGAGCTTTACCTGCAGGAGAATGACATTTCCTTCCAAATCCAAGCAGTCTTCAGAATTCGACGATTCGCAGCAAACATTTTCAGGAATCTTCAAAACCTCAGACATCTGGATCTGTCTAAAAACTCCATCACATTCCTGCCAGACAGACTGTTTGGTGACCTGAGAAAGCTAGAGGTCCTCCGCTTGGATGGTAACAACTTCCCAACCATTAGGGCAAACACATTCACTGGTCTGAGCTCCCTTCAGAAACTGTTCTTGAATGATACTGGTCTGTCAACCATCCATCCATCAAGCTTTCGTCCGACAAAGGAGCTTGAAGAGCTGTACTTACAGGACAATGACATGAAATATCTGCCCTTGGGTGCTTTGCAAGGGCTGAACTTGACAGTGCTAAACTTGGGGAACAATAATCTGACCCATAATGGGTCAGTGGAGCACAACTGTGATGAACTCCCAAATTGCACAATCAACAACCCAAACACCCCATTTTTATGTTGTAATGATACAATGACCTGCGGAGTAGATTCTTCGACTGGCCTTTGTATGGTCAAAGCTACAGTCACAACCCCATTGCCAACTCCTTCAAAAGTAGCTCCCAATGAGGGGAATATCGTTATAATAATCATGGCAATACTCCTGACATTGTTCATTTTCATTACAATACTGTATTGCAATCGTAAGTACCTACAAGTGTGGCTGTATATGAAGTGTGGTTGTCGTTTTGATCCAAAAAATGATGGCGACGACAAAACGTACGATGCCTTCATCTCCTATAGCAGCAGGGATGAACTTATCGTGATACGGGAGCTCGCACCTGGACTGGAGGAGCGCGGATTCAAACTCTGCCTGCACTACCGCGACTTCCCAGTAGGGGCGTGCATAGCAACAACCATCATTGAGACAGTGGAGGCCAGCAGACGGACTGTCATCCTCCTCTCGCAGAATTTCGTGGACAGCGAGTGGTGCGCTCTGGAGTTCAAGGCCGCACATCGACAAGTGCTGGAGGACCGACGGAACAGGATCGTGGTGATTGTCCTGGATGACCTTGATCTCCAGAACGTGGATAAAGACCTGAAGTTTTACCTGAAGACAAACACGTACCTGAAGTGGGGAGATCCCTGGTTCTGGAGCAAACTGTGCTACGCCTTACCCAGGGTGGGGAGGGGGGCACCAGAATCTGAAGAGGTCTGAGAACTTCAGATGTAGGGATGACCACTATTGGTCAACTCGTTCATGGTTATGATGTGTGTCAGGTTATAGCAAATGGAGAGAGTGAAAACATCAGTGGTGTTCCATATTCTTCTACATGTATATATTAAAATCAACTGAGTGACTACACTTTGTACAATCAGTTTTTCAACATTGTCATTATACATGTAAGTGTCCTCATGTAAGTTTTACTTTGTTAAACTGTAAAAATTGTATAAGTTGGATCACACTAATAAGAGATCACCAAAGTCTAGAAAAAAGGAAAAGAAAAGAAAGTTAGAAAATCCCTACCTACCGACCTATTTTTTTCAGGACTGAAAAAGAAAACACAACATTCTTTCCCTTTGCCTTAGTACTGACCAAACAGTCACCCATTTCTGGTAACTGCAGTTTCAATTGTGGGTACTAAGTATGGAGCCATGATCCGAGCTACATGTACATACATATAGTAAGCATGTTGTTCCATGTGCATACTATTAGGCACTGAGACAATTTCCTATAAAGTGCCCATAATGAGACCTTTTCCTGCATAAATATTAGAAAAGGGAAAAAAAATTTGCAGTTCCAGTTGTATACCCAACTGATCCTACCAAAAACCTGCTGACCCAGGTTAAAAAGCCTTTTTGGTCAACCATTGGCAAGGGACATATTATAATTCTGAGTTACAAATATGTTGTAGATTATCAATTTGTAACATGTTCTCCTCCTTCCTGTTGCAGAAAAAAAGGTGATATAAATTCAATATGTACATGTATACTAAATATTGTTCATGTAAGTTCTTTGTTCAGTTTATATTTTATCTTAACTGTGTTGAAGATGATGAAGAACATTTTGTTTTAGAATTCTCATATACATATATATATAGATGTGCAGAAATCCTTTATTAGTTCCTTACAATTAGAAGAGAAATATGCGCACTTGCTAAAAACAAAATTGTTCAAACATATTATGACATCCAAGAACTATGATATAAGATAATGAAAGACTATGTAAATTTGTTCAAACATGTTTCAAAAAGAGAGAAGAGCAAATTAACACTAAGTCTTGTTCCCGATACCCTTGTACCTCAGTTACATTATATTCTAACTTAGACAGTGTACTAGTATTTTGCCCATGTGGGGCATGAATATAATTATGCATATAAAGTTTATTGTCATTATTAGTAATTGTGCTTGTACAATGCCAGATTCTGTATGATTAAAATATGATGCTGAAAATGATAGTGTCTCAATACGTTTAATTGTTTAAGTGTACTTATTGGATTATTTAACTGAAATCTGAGAAAAAAATCTAAGAAAAAAAGAAAGAGAATCCCTACCTATTATTATGTAGTATCATTAATGTCACTATTAAAAGAAAGAAAGAAAGAAACCCTATCATTTTTTCAGGAACGTAATCTGAAACTTCTAAAGGCCTATAGTAAGTTTCCTCCCCAAAATACTTCTTTTGGCTTCATAAGTGAACAGAGAAACACAGGAAGTGACTGTGCATTTGTGCAGACATCAGCCCACATCTTGCAAGTGACTGTCTGACATCTGCGTCTGGAAACAGGTCAGCCAAGGACCTCCAGATCTGAGGCTAACAAGGGGGTTAACAAAGCTTTTTTATACATATATATTACTGTAATGAGCAACACTTGTATCATTTTATCTTTAAAAGTTTATGTTGATCATCTTCCTCCATTTCACTGCATTTTATCATGTAATAATAAAAACAGCAGTTAACTGCCAACTGGTCAGCACTACAAACATCACAAGCGATAACTTGGTAACCCCTTTGCTGACCTCCAAGGAACTTCCTGCACACTTGCAATACTGGGCTGAACAAGCGTGGCTGACACTATAAGTCACACTTCTGTAAAATACAGTATTTCAGAACCAACACAACTCTGGTCAGACAGAAGGACTGTGTAAAAAGGTAAGAAAAGTCTGTTGTTCCTATAGGTACATGCACATGAGAGTGACTCTGATGTAAGCTGTTGTTCAAGAAAAATGTTTCGCTTTAGAGTCTGTTTACTGTACAGTTACACACAATCTGATAACTATAAAATGGCTGATTTCTCTGTAGTATTATTTGGGATTGATCTGAAGATACAATGTAATAGCCAGAACTGTTGGTTTATTCTTCCAGGTTCCTGACAGAGATATTTGTTAGTCTACTCTTAGACTAATAATAATGATAGGCAGTTTAGATCCTGATGGAGATTTAAGTAGCAAATATGCAAAAAAATTGTTTGCTCACAGATGATGTAATATGATACTAGATGAATTCCTCCCCAATCTCCCATGTAAATTTATCATAAGGTAAACAACAAGGGTGTAAGGAAATACCTTAAGCCCCAAGGTGACTAGAAATCACTCTTTATTTCACTGTTGGCCTGTTCCCCAAGTTTAATATGGATCCTAATATGGCTGTGGTTACGTTATCCTCAGCTAGGCTGAAGGCACATGTGTCATTATGACTATACCCTGTCAACAAGTCCATCTATTTTACTTTACTTAAATCATAGAGAGAACATACTTTAGGGGTGTTGTCCTTGACATCTTACAGCTGTGATCTTTCAGACCTATCAGTACCCTTCAACTTTAGAGCTGATTTGGTGTATAGCACAGGTCCAATATATGCTTTCTAACAGATACATTGTATCTGCAGTTAAGTAAGCTTATAACAACAGTGATTGGAATCCTGGTTGGATTACCCTCTATGTTCCACAAACATTTTTATCTGTAGAGATAACAGAGATTAGGATCACAAAAGGACATTCAGAATCTGATCAGCTACTAGTAAATACTTTAGGCTTATATCTTTTAATGGACCTGTAAAATATATAACGCACTCATCAAAAAAGTCTAGGATAACAACATTTATAGCAAATTCGAAGTTTGAAATAGAGAATCTTTTCTGTTTCCAATCAACATAAGCCTGTAATCATTACCTACAACAGCCCAGGGGTTAAATTTTTCAAATTCACGTAGTTACAAAAAAAGTCCCTAGAAAGTACCATAATTGTACTATGTTTGATTTCCCTGCAATGATTCCAAACTACTAAATTTTGCAATGACAAACTAGTACAAGTACGTATGAATCTCTATGGTTAACTTATGGTTTGGCCTAAACAATGGCCTGACTTCCACTGTATACAGTCCCACTCTAGATAATGTCACCAATTATCCGGGCTACTGAGCCTGACCTTTCCGATGACTCTGTCAGTATCTAATGTTCTTCCTCCCATTCAACAGTTTCCCATCCCCAGAATGCAATGCAAAAATAGGGGGGTAACCCTCATTTGCATAGGACTGGAAGGCATCGGAATGATCCTGTTGATGTTAAACAGCATGCTCCTCACTGTGTTTTGAGGTGTTGGCAGGGGCATTTTATGCTCAACATTAATTAAATTACTATGGACCGTATCTGACAACTAATACTAATAGAGAATAAAGTTTTTAGTGTTCTTTTCAACATGGAACATGTGGTTTGTAACGTTACAGTATCAGTATAGCGTTACCACTATAAACCACAATATATTCAACAAAATTAATTTGTTTTCAGACTCAACCCATAGTAATTTGATTAATGTTGAGCATAAAATGCCCCAAAACCTCAAAACAGTGAAAAGCAAGCTGTTTAATGTCAACAGGATCATTCTGATGCCTTCCAGTCCTATGCAAATGAGGGTTACCCCCCTATTTTCGCATTGCATTCTGGGGATTGGAAACTGGTGAATGTTTTAACTTTTATCCCCTGTTTATGTTCAAGTGGGCCAGGTGCTTAAGTCAAAGAACATCATTTGATAAACAAATCCAGAAAACTATACTTCACCAACAGGTGAGATGACACCTGATACCTGGAGGCTAGAATACGTCATGTATGATTCACACCTGAGTAGGTGAGATAATTTGCCATAGGACAAAGACGCTTCTTCAGACCCGGAACAAAATTTTTGTAGTCATTATAAAGACAGCACAACAGGACACAACATGAACAGATACTTCCTTTAAGAAAGGCCACGAACACAAAAAACAAGGTTGGTAATAATGTATGTCGTATTGACTTTGTCAAAGTGTCAGGTACAAAATTGTATTGTATGACTTGTTCATAACAATGTCTAATTGAATGTAGAATACATGTAGGTCAAGCTGTAACAGGCTTAATGTATTACAAACATTTGCTGGTTAATACTGTCCATTATAATTGTAAAACCCATCTTGACCATTTCTAAATTAAATCACAGCATAATTATGTGGTATTTACATGGCCAGTTAAAGCAAAAATGGGAAACTTGGCAAATATAATGTAAATATTATAGACAGAAATGATGACTCAGAATGGCACATATTACCTCAATCATACATGAGTGAGTGGGTGGGTGGTAAGACAACACTACTAGTATTGTACCAAGTGCTGTCATGAATATCCTTCAATCTAACTAGAAACAACCTGTCCAAATACTTAATCATGCTAGGGAAATTTTGTAATCATTGAAGACTGTGCAACCAACTTTGTATTACACATATTATTTTAATTGTATGACTGGCATAATTGGCAACCTACAAGCAGTCGAGTGGCATGCTATATGTTCTATGTGAATTTTGGATATGAAGAAATTAGTTTCCATCCTGACACTCAATATCAGCACTCAACTCCAAAATAATAAAACTGTCTGTTCCATCTCTAGGTGTGGCCCACCCTAGCAACGAACTGAGAAGCATCTACAGTAGGACAGACAAGCCTCCTAGCAATCACCATGGTTACCATCACCAAGGATACAGACATAGGGACTGTTGCAGAAGTTCACACCACTATCTAAGTGAAATGAATTTGAATGTAGTCAAGAGCCATAAAGCAGGCAATCCCTTTTCCAGCTCAAGATGATGAAATTGAAGATTTCATTCTAAACGAATTTCCCAGCTGAGGCATAAACTGTCACTGAAGAACATTTTGAAGACTGTTACGACAATGGAGACAAAATATCTTAGTCTGACGCTGTTGCTACTTTTGGGCTGTGGCTGTAACACTGGTGCTTTAGCTGAAACACCGTGCAGCTGTGAGCTGAGACATGGGGAGGAAGGAGGAGCAAACTCCTCAGCATTCTGCCACTGTCCCACCATCAGTAGTCTGTCATCTCAGGAAATCCCAAACTATAACAACATCACCAGCATGGTGGTTTCATGTCAGGCTGCAGAGAGCCCTGCTGAACTATCAATGTCTGACCTACACTCTATCCAGAGTCTTTCTCTCTACAACTGTTTCTTTGTGGTCCTGAACTCAACATTCAGCAGTCTACCAAGTCTGCGCAAGCTCGTGCTAGATGGATGTGACCTTGATCTTGACCCCTGTAACTACTTCTGGGTGAGGAGCGACAGTTTCTTGGAACTCCCGAACTTGGAAGACCTCCAGCTCATGGTTGTGGCCGATGTACCAAAACTCCATGGTCTTCCAAGTCTGTTATCCCTCACACTGGCAAACATTTACCAGGGCATTTTGATAAAAAATTATACACTAGTCATACAGCACCCAAACCTGTTACACTTTACCCTTGTTGGCTGCGTTTCGGACACATATAAAGTAGAAATAGTGTTGCTAGACATGCCCCTGTTAGAGAGAGTGAACATCACGTACAACCCTCAGTCTCTCCATTGGTCTGTTCTCCCAGAAAACCTGTTCCAGCACACACCAGGGATCAGAGAACTATCTCTTACACATGACAGTATCCGAGTCTTAAGTCACTATGTTCTGCATCCAGCTACAAACTTGACAAAGATTGACCTCTCTAATAACAAAATCAGCTTCGTACCTCCTCGTTTTTTTGAGGGGCAAGACAATCTTGTTAAGGTTGACCTGAGTGACAACAAGATTTGGTACATCACCCGAAACACGTTTTCTTACTTAGTTGCCATGGAGATTTTAGACCTTAGCAATAATGTTCTAACAAGCTTGGAAACAGGAACTCTTGGTGGTCTCTTCAATCTCAGGATCATTGACATGTCAAAAAACTCCCTTGGGAACCTGCCAGCCAATATCTTTACCGACTGCACGAATCTCACCGAGCTCCAGCTTAGCAAGAACAACATTTCTTCCCTGGACAACACCATCTTCCATCCTCTCACCAAGCTCGAGGGCCTCTACCTGAACTACAATGAACTGCAGGGCATCAGTGGGCAGCTGTTTGAGAACCAGGCAAGCCTGCAGGTGCTGCAAGTAGGGGTGAACCGGCTACAGACGGTGGACTTTGCCTGGTTTTCCCACATGTCAGCATTATCCCAGCTGCTTTTTCCTGTTAACAACATCCAGGCAGTCTCGTCTTGGTGGGTACTTGAGTTGTCCTTCCCTGGAACCTTACAAGTCGACTTGGTCGCGAACAACATCAACAGTTTACCTTACAGTGAAATCACGCAGTTGGCCTCTTCTTCAGATCAGGTTAAACCCTTACCGCAGGTCTTGCTTAGCCTCAATCCTTACAACTGTGACTGCGAGTTTCTTCCAATCAACAAAATTCTAGCATTGCCTCGGGCAATAGACGTATTCCCTGACCTGGCCAATGTGTCTTGCATGAACCCACCTGAGCTGAGAAATCTTCAAGTCTCACACCTGCCTCCCAGCTCCTTCAGGTGTTCCTTTGAGGATCAGTGCCCTGCGTCTTGCTCCTGCTACAGTCAGGGGCTAAAATATACCGGTGACGCTCTACAGAGAATGGTCAACTGTTCAGCCACAGGACTAACACAAATACCTTCAACGTTTCCAGAAAAGCTTACATCAGTAGACCTGGGGGGAAATAGCTTCCCAACACTGACTGTTCAGAGCTTTTCAAATTTTACCGACACTCAGACCTTGATCTTATCAGGAAGTGAGATCTCAGCGTGTGAGCCTGGAACGTTCAAGAACCTGAATTCGGTACGAATTCTTTACCTGGATGGAAACAACATTTCCACCATTGAAGAAGACACTTTCCAAGGTTTGGACTCACTTCAGGTTTTGTTCCTTAATAACTCTGGTGTCTTAGACATCCATCCATTGAGCTTTTCACACCTGAAGAATTTAAAAGAACTTCACCTGCAAGACAACAACTTAAAACACCTGTCAAAGGAAACTTTCAAGGCAGCATCAAGACTACATGTTTTGGATATAGGTTGGAATCCTTTGGAGTGTAACTGTGATTTGATAGCATTGAAGGAGTGGGCAGAGACAAACATTCACTCTGTCTCCTTTGACTTTAATGTCACTTGCAAAAACCAAGGCAACAAAGTGCTCTCGTCTGTAGTTCATGTTATAAAGACAGAGCTCTCATGTGCACCTGGTAACATTCATGTGTATGTTGTCATTGCACTGGGAATTGCTGTAGTAATGCTGCTTATAGTACTGTTGGTGTATCGGTTTCGAGGATACCTACAAGTGTGGCTGTACATGAAGTGTGGTTGGCGTTTCGATCCAAAAGACGATGGCGATGACAAAACGTACGATGCCTTCATCTCCTATAGCAGCAGGGATGAACTTATCGTGATACGGGAGCTCGCACCTGGACTGGAGGAGCGCGGATTCAAACTCTGCCTGCACTACCGCGACTTCCCAGTAGGGGCGTGCATAGCAACAACCATCATAGAGACAGTGGAGGCCAGCAGACGGACTGTCATCCTCCTCTCGCAGAATTTCGTGGACAGCGAGTGGTGCGCTCTGGAGTTCAAGGCCGCACATCGACAAGTGCTGGAGGACCGTCGGAACAGGATCGTGGTGATTGTCCTGGATGACCTTGATCTCCAGAACGTGGATAAAGACCTGAAGTTTTACCTGAAGAC